AGAATTCTGAACCTCGAACCACCCTGTATCTGTTCCGATTAAATATATCAGTGAATAGTGAAGCAAAAGTTAAGATAGGGTCATCTGAGCCGTTTTGACCGATAATGAATGTTTTCGACACAAAAAAATCCTAAAGTTGAAAAATATCGATTTTGAACACCCTATATCTCTGTAATCATTTTCGATAGACCCCAAGTATGATACATCGATGAAATCAGCTCTTCAGGGAGAATCTTAAAATGCGATGAAATACAGGGTGTTCCGTTCCAAATATCAATGTTGCTAATACTTTGTAGTAGAAGCTGCATTGTCGAACATATCTTAAATGAAAAGAGCGTATACCAAAATATAAGCATGCACATATTCATAGATTACTCCCAACTTATTCTCGATTCAAAGATAGTGTAATAAGCTCGTCGTGACATTCCCTGTATAGGGTAATGAAGTTAAATGAATACAGGGAAATATGAGGAAAAATTGAGAGAATTCCTCTCCACTGACCAACGTGAAAATACTGAGGCTTTGATGAAACAACACGAAACACTAGAACAACACACGATCCCGATATTATATCATTATTCAATCGAATGAGGAATACAAAAACACTATATACGAATCAATACGATCACTCAGTTTTTAGGGAACACTAAGTTTGAAACGATATTCCTTTCGCGTATTTTTCGATGTCGATCACAAAATTAGACCGTACATGATGACATCTAATATAAGACTGTCTTCATGTCTTGATTTACCACCTGGTCCCGAATGAATGACTAATGAGATGAATCATGATGCTAATCGATTAATTTCCGAACAAAAAATGTTTTATCTATGACTAATGATGATAATAAAATTGAACGGGGCAGGTGAGATATTCTTGTATACAGGTGGTATTTTTTTTCGAAAATGTTTTTCCTGTTCCTTGCAGATATCAGAACATATCTCAAAATTCAAATATAGTGTTGTTATTGAGAAAGAAGAAGTTTTCTGTTTTGCCTGAAGACGGATCTGGATTCTAAATTCGATTCCTATTTAGTTTTGATGAGTGATATGAGTTGAATATACCTATCAAGTATGAATCGATTATACACAGTGTTTCAAAAGTTATAGATATAGATGAAGATTTTGCCAAAATCGAGAATACGTTCTGTTTCACAGTTATTAATGATGGTAGAATCTTAAAAAATACAGTTTCGAACAGAAAGCACGAAAATCAGATGAGAGTATTCCTCGATCGGAAAAAATACAAAAAACGGTACGAAACATACAGGGTATGTCACGACAAGCTTACACTATCTCTATATCGAGAATCAGTCAGGAAAAATACATGAAAATATGTATGCTTATATTTTAGAATACGCGCTCTCTTCATTTAAAATAATTTCAGCAATGCAGTGTTGCCGTTTCTATCAAAAAGTAGCAACAACTTTGTTATATCAAATATGGAATACATTGCATTTTTAGGTTCTTCCTGGAGAGCTGATTTCATCAATACATCAAACTTGGGGTCTATCGGGAATGATTACAGAGATACAGGGTGTTCAAAATCGAGATTTTTCAACTTCAGGATTTGTCTGTGCCGAAACTATTCATTATCGGCCAAAACGGCTCACATGTCCCTATCTCAACTTTTCATTGACTATTTACTGATATTCAATCGTAACAGATACAGGGTGATCAGAATTCTGAATCTTGAACCAGCCAAAACACCCAACTCCTTGCGCCTCGCCAGTCATCAATGTACTTTACTTGTAAGGGAATAAATTGCTTTCGATTGTGAAGAAATGACGAGAACCAACTAAGACATACGCCTCTTATTTCATACATTTCTAATTTCGACCTCAGTTTTTGATGGTTGACACAGTCGAAAGCTCGACTAAGATCACAAAGAATTACCGCTGAACATTCACCTGAATCAACGTATTCTATGATTTTGTTCAGTAATGAAAACATAGCTGTGTTCGTAGATTTTTCAGAACGAAATCCATGCTACCTATTACTCAAGACAGAATGTTTGCGAGGTAGGGAACATATAATCTGTACTAAAAGCTTAATATTAATATTAATATTTCACCAAAAGAGAGTGTTCTTAGACTCTATACCAGGGTTGACTGAATTGACTGAATGCTTTCTGATTTCAAGCTGAGCAGTAGTTTAACTATGAGCTGAATGTGCTGAGCCTTATGATTGAGAAATGCTGAAAACCTTGATGTGGGTATCTGAACTACTGATGTACTCATGTCATGTGTGCTAAATATTTTTTCGGAAATCTAACTCGGAGAAAAATTTATATGGAGTGACTAATTCTAGGACAAAAAGTAGGCTTATAAAAAATAATACGTGGAATTGCAGGAAAATGAAGAATAGAATATACTTTTTCCCCATGTTATACATATGATTTTTCCGTCTCCCTTGAATAAAAAGTCATTTCCAAATAATTTATTGATGAAATTAACAAAGAAGTAGGTATACGTACAGTATACCTTATGGGCACGTTATTTTCACTCTTGCATCCTACATATTTTCAATTTGTGGTAGAGTACTAATCATATAAATTAATGTTAAAAGTGCAGTTATGAGCAGTGGTTAATTGAATACCACTAGAAGTGAGATCTAGAATGCTGTTCTCGTGATATTTTCATAAAAAACTTCAGTGACTCACAATTTGGTTCGAAATATTTTGCTATTTTGTGAGAGATTGCTGCACATACCCTTCAGCGATATTCGTAGACTTAGAAGCAAGAATGTCTCCTCCAGAATTTGCAAGTAAACTTGCCGAGGTTCTTCTGTAACTCCCAAGGGAGAACAAGTACGACGTTGCGCCCTACATCGAGGCAAGGAAAAGTTTAGTTTGGATAAAGGTAGGCGGAAAAAGTTTTTTCCGCACTAGTGCATCTGAAAATGTGTAGGGTGATAAGCACAATAAAATAGTATACGTGATTTTTTATCATTTTTACCACGCATATATTGCTGAATTCACCGATTTTCCAGTTGCAGAGAATAGGAAAATATCGCATTCAGTAAATAATATCCTTATTTAATCGTGTTTTTATTTTCTTGAATTTTATATATCATTAACATTCAGAAATCATTTGACAAGACTAATAAGAACTCCAACTCTAAGAAATCCTTCCCATTCTCCCCCACCCCTTTGGTTACCTTCAGCGAGATTACCTTTATAAAGGGCCTAGCCCTAGGTCACTGCGACGAACACCTCACATATCCTCTCACATTCCTTGGCCAACACCAGCCACCTCTGCGCCAGTGCCATAGCTATACCGGGTGACCCGGAACCAATTTACCCCCCTGTATCTTCGTTGTTATTTTGTATAGATGTTTCAAATTCGGTACTTCGATTTAATGTTATAAATGTACAATTTAGCAAGTATCAATCCAAATATGCCACTTCCGGTTTGACCGGAAGCGCATCCAATTTTTATATTTCGAATAGGAAGTATTATTTTTTTTTGAAAATTACAATTCGGTATAGAATTACCTTTACAACGACATATCACAATCATACTTTCAATTCACAATCTGCTGGTATAATTGACATTTTATAAAAAAAATACTTTTTGTGTTCCCCTCGTAACGGAACATTTTCATGAAAGTATGCTGTGGAAGATTGAACAATATCATGTAAGCAACAATAATTCAATCTTCCACAGCATACTTTCATGAAAATGTTCCGTTACGAGGGGAACACAAAAAGTAATTTTTTTATAAAATGTCAATTATACCAGCTGATTCTGAATTGAAAGTATGATTGTGATATGTCATTGTAAAAGTAATTCTATACAGAATTGTAATTTTCAAAAAAAAATACTTCCTATTCGAAATATAAAAATTGGATGCGCTTCCGGTCAAACCGGAAGTGACATATTTGGATTGATACTTGCTAAATTGTACATTCATAACATCAAATCGAAGTACCGAATTTGAAACATCCATACAAAATAACAACGAAGATACAGGGGGGTAAATTGGTTCCGGGTCACCCGGTATATTAAGTAAATGTGATAGACATATGTGTTGTATTTGTAAAATGTAGAAGATGAATAAATGACTTTAATATTTTCTCCGATCGAAAAGTCCGGGGTTCGAATCCCTACTCCAGCTAATCTTTTTCTTTTTCGAAGTGATATTCCGATATTCAATTGGACTGTGGACATACCTATATTATAAAAAACATTACACGATTCCAGGTTACGTCTCTTATGAAGCTCATAGAAAAGAGTTTGGACTGATCAAATTAGAACAACGTGCAGATATTAAAAAAATCGACGTTTGTTTGCAAATTGCTTGCCAAATCCATAAACAGTCCATATCTCCTTTCTCAAATCAAATTCATGGTCCCGTCTCGAAATTTGAGACCAAAAAAATCTTATTCTCGGTCCCTAGAAGGCCAAACATAATTGACAATTGTTGCTCTCTCCTGAACAAGTATTCGAATGAGCTTGACATAGACGTCTTCACTATTACCGTGAGTCGTTTGAAAGCTTCGATGATGAAATCACATTCATGAAAAAAGTGTTTCAAGGCATTATGAATAACCATGGTACTCTCCCTCCAGGCTAGCCTTCATCTTGTCTTCTATATATTTTACAATCGAATTTTTCTCTCTCCTCTGTGCCTCAATATACCATACGAATTTTACAAATAGAAATTATATATGATATCGGACTCTACCAGGCATATGAAGGTATATTAGTATAATAGTTTATACAATTTAAATAATTTACACATAGTTTCTAGGTAGGATTAGGAAAAAGAAATCATGTAATTAGGACCTCGACGTCCTGTTTGTATTTCTTCAATAAATCAATTGATATAAAATAATACTGTGGAGGTATTCATCATTCGTTAGGCCGATAGTGATTCGCTACTTCAATGATGGTTCTTCACAGGAACATTTTCTAAACGCGAGCAGCGAGCGAGGCGCAATATTTCCTCGCTATGGTGCTATGGCTAGACTCTAGTCGGTATCGCTATTGTTCCAGCCTTATCCTGCGCATGCTCGGAGCTGGAACGCGCCCACCCCAAACTGTTCTCGCGGGTAGCCCGCCAGACGGGGCGGGCGCCCGGCACCGGCATCGCTGGCGTCCTCCTCGCCGTGGGGCAGCACCTGTTGCGCGCGGAACCCACGTGGGGCAAAGTGGCGGCCGTGTACTCGGTGGCGGGCGGCCTGGCGGTGGACAGCGCGCGGCTGGGCCGGCCCGAGGACGTGCACGTCATCCAGGAGGACATGACGGAGCTGCTGGAGGAGCGGATGGCGCTTTGGGTCCACACCAACGGGGGATGGGTGAGAGTACAGCAATGAACTCAATATAAACAACTGAGTTCATTGGAGTACAGTGACCAGTGGCTCTATACAAGACAGTGGCGACAACATAGGCTTAAAATCTCCGCCCATCCGCCATTCAGAAGCAAATTGGTGCGCGAAAATTTTAATTACCATTTGCCTCTTCAGTGGGTTATTATTTACGTTTTCACTCTCAATTTACCATCGGACCATTCTCGTTTTTGTATTTCTTTTAGTAGTTGCTCAACAGATATATTTCAGTAGCTTTTGTGGTTGTTATCACCAACACTAGGTAAGTGTTGATTCTATAATTGTTTTTATAAGCAAATAGTATCAATGGATACTTTCATTAATGTTGTGTTCAATATGGTCCAGACTTCTTTAAAATTATTGAAATGGCCGGTTGACACTTGAAAATTCTTCATTCCCTCATTCGTCATTCATGAAGTTATCAAAAAACATATATAATACAAAAAAAAACATGAAAGTATATTCAATAAATAAGTAAGTATTCATTCATTGTAACATAACAACAAAAACATAATATAGAACTGAGACTCTGAGATCCTGAGGTACACGTCTTACAATTTCACAGAATGAATAGTTACAGTATACATACCTCACAGAGAACTGATGAATCTGTAGGGACCCATTTATTGTCTTTGTTTTGTTGGCCAATGGCCATTTGTTCCTGCAATTTTGGTATTTTGGGATTTTTTTTATCAAAAAACCTTTTTTAGCCAAATTAACACAGCCCACAGCTACACGACACCTATGCATTTTGTATTATAACTGAAACGAAAACTGCAAGATAAAACTTGGTATGAACGCACAGAATGTTATATTACGACATATATTTGATATGATATGGGAATATACCGCTCGATTTTTGTAAAAAAGCACTACCAGATATTATACGTTTTATATGATGATACCAAAATTTTGAAAAGTAAAAGTGAACTACAAGAATAAATTTAATCAACGCAAAAACCATTTAAACCCAATGTAAACATACAGAAAATTTGCCTCCTAATGGCGTCTGCAGCGAAAGCCAATTAAATCGTTGACAACTATTATCGCTACTGTCTTGTATAGAGTCACAGTAGGTGAGTGGTCTTTTATTGACCCAGATAGCACCAGATATTCCATGAATCTCCCTATCATATTCCTTTTGGAATATTCTAGGAATGATCTGGGATATTTTAGAATAACTGGAATATTCTCTGAATATGCAAATGATAATTCCTTTAGATGTTGATAGAATATGTCCAAAAGAATATGCTATGGTTCTCTATAATATATTCTAGGAATATTGCTTGAATGTTCCTGGGATTTTCCAATCAAGATATTCTAGAATAAAAAAAGGTGACCCCGGGATATGGACTCGAACCCGAATTGAATATTGTACATAACAATTTCTTGAAAGAGCCTTGTTCAGAATCGGATCATAAATACTGTTTCTTTCAAAATGTCCTTACATGTAATGGATGTTTGATATTTAATATGTAAAATGGAACATTCAAACAATATTCCTATAATATATTCTTGAGAACCATAGAATATTCTTTTGGACATATTCTATTTATATCTGAGGAATTCCAAATTGCATATTCAGACAAATTCCACAGATATTCTAGAATATCCCAGATATTGTTGCATTCAACCAACAAGTGTACAGTGTGTCCAGTTTTCGCGGTCCTGTGCCACTATTTTGTGCAACTCAAGATGGTTTAATCAGTTTTCGCATAACTGTTTCCGTTTATGAGAAACATGACGATTTTGAAAATGTATACTTTTTGAACCCCCTTTATATCTCTACGAAGTTACTTAGCGAAAATGTCGTATTTTAATCGCACTAAATTTTTTTTTTTCGTGGTTGGTTTTATTTTATAAGCTCATCAAATTCCTTATTTTTCCCCTTCAAAATGTATAAATGTAGGATTTTTAAAAATGCTCCAAAATCACTAAAACATTGAATTTCAATAGTGGGCTATAGATTTTTCATAAAAAAAAGTTCCAATTAAAGTCATATTCAACAATACCAACACTAATTAACTAACAAAACACTAAACTTATGTACCTGATAGCAACAATTAAATAGTAATAAAAAGTTCATAATGTAGAATGAGCACCTGATTAAATATTTACTAAAATAAATTGAATTTCGAAATTATTTAGTAACTTTATTCATTGAAATTGTTCAAATTGATGTCCATTTTCTCTCACACACTTTCTAGAAACACACAACATACATAATATATTATTTCATTACGAATCATAAACACATAAAACTAATTTTGAACCATTTTGCGTAAACTGCGGTCTATTTCCGTTGAAACATCATAGGTTTAGATATGTAAGTATAGTTTATCCAAAGTCAATTGGAGCATCTCGAGACCCTCTTCCATCTTTCTCTTCAATGCTACCAACCTGGCCGAATGGTCCGATAAATCTTTCCCTGTCTAACCTCAAGTCTGCGCCACCGAACTATTTTCGATGTTATTCGCGATAGAAAATAACACGTCACTCCACCTGACGGTAACAACTTGAACTCTGAGTTGTTTGTTTTGATAATGGGACCAATGAGCACGAACAAAAAACAAATATGAATCAATGAAAACAGAGTAAACATGCCGCTTCGACAGCTGTCAAGAACTCCGATAGGCGGCGTACGCTTATTTTCTATCGCAAATAATGATATTCTTTCCTTCTAAAAACTGGCAATTCTTTCGAAAGAACACATAACTGATTCAGTTCAGTTCTAGTGAGATATTTCAGTTAGTTCGTATTATAATTTTGATTTGATATATGTCTATGTCATAAATGTAATTGACTGATAATCTTTCTAATTTTTTAAATGAAATTACAGATTACATCATACTTATTATTTCGACATATTTTGTTAATATCGTTAATTTGACATTTTGTTGAATTCAAAGATAGTTCAGTGGCACAAACTAGACGTTAGACAAGGACAAATTTATCGGACCTCTCTATATTTCAATGCGGTCACGTTGGTAGCATTGAAGAGAAAGATGGAAGAAGTGAGAACTTTCCTCTCTCTCGTTCAAGGTAAAAAAGAGCTCAATTGACTTTGGATAGACTATACCATACCTAATTACATGAAATTACATATTTTTCAGAATGGATTGCTAACACACTGCAAAACACAAGACCAAGAGATATCTGTAATGGAGTACTTTGCCGTTTTTGGCCTGATGGGGATCATTTTATTGGTAACATACTTCTTGGTGAAATTTTGCCTAAAATTTGGATTTTGAATGATTACACCAGATGAAGCACTCAAATTACTCCAGAAAAATTAATGAGCACTTTTCGAAATTTGGCAGGACCAGAGGCAACTTTGTTATCCGTTGGATCTATACAACGAACATGATTTTCACATAAATCATTGCTTTTTCCTTCCAGCATTTGGAAAATTTTAATCAACTACCTCTTATTTTCCTCATATAATTTAAAAGGTGCTTACATAATATTATAACGTCTACATATTATGAGAGAAATATGAAAAAATCTAGTCTGATATATGGTTTTGGTCGAAATTATCAATAGTACCTACATAGTGATGTAAATATTTATAAAATAAGTAGATTTTATCAAGTGTTTTTTTATGAATAAGTCGTTGAAGCACTACGACGTCAATAAGAACATTATTTACTTTGCATGTTACATATTTTATAATCAATTATTTTCTGTAACTGTTGGAGATAAAGATAATATGGACATATTTTTAAATTTTTCAAATTATATGAAATTCTCTTTTTCACTTTTTTGTGGTGTAAGATAGTAACCATGCGTGGTTATTTTGTCTTCATTATACCTCTATTCGGTTATTGCTAGTACATCCCTGCTAGCACTATTATTTCTTCTGATTAACAAATAACCTTGTATATCATGTAATTAGTGAATGAAGTGGTACATAATTTCACAAGTAGAAAATATTGACAATTTGACTTATTTTAGATATATGTGGTATGAATAGTATTAGGCACCTACACAAAACACAAATCAAGTGCAATTTTTGCAATTCTACAAAACTATTTATGTTAATTATACCAATCTAGAGATGTAAGAATAGGCTATCAAGCCTTAAATAACCGAATAAAAAAGAAAGAAAAACAATGTTGTTTTCATTACAGGGTTTATCAATCAATTCGTTGCCTTCAATCAACAATCAATCAGTTGTCACTTTCAACGAACTTTAATAGGTATATGTACTTACCTCTATGTGTAGTGTGTATATAATAAATTATTTATAGCTACTTGTTAAAAATAGGTCAACGGCAGACTAAGAATAAACTATCGAACTCTTTTTATAAAAATTGTGAAGTTATTTTTGATGAGATCATAAAATTGCATCAAGAAAATTTAACAGTGTGAACTTGTATTTTTGAGAAATTGAAAATTTAAAATATATAGTATATCGGACGAGGTTTATATGCCACTATGCTAAAAACTGGAGATTTATCACAAGACCATTTAATTTTTTCCCCAGATGAAATTTTCATCTATAAATTTTACTCCAAAATATAGTATTCATGTATCAATTTCATTACCCTGAGTTTCAATTTTTTTCTAACCCGTTCAAAAAAGAAAAGGGGGAGAGGACATTATGAAAAAAGCACTGCATAAGTATGCCATCACAATTTTTCGAAGAAATCTTTCACGCGAAGGACTTAATTGCAAATACAATAACGATATTTACTGCTTCATACTTTTCCGAAGAAAATTATTCTTTTTTTTTACCCCACTGAGCAAAGTTGACGGACGTTCAGGAATATTGCGAAGGTAAAGTTTGATGATGTAGCGTTCCAGCAATATTACATGTTGCTGTGACATTACTGGAACGTTACATTTACAACTTTTCATTTGCAATATTGCTGAACGTTCGTTTCAGTAATTGCTACAACCTTGCATCAACATAGTTTCCAAATTCAGCTAGTAGGAAACTTATACCAAAATACAAAATTTAAAGATATATAGGTCGTAGTCCCGCGATATAAAATTCTGAATTATAAGTCGGAATTTTAAAACTTAAAAAGTTAGAATTATGAACGTTTTTTCAAAGAACATTTTATGAGATGGATAATTATTGCGAATGTTTTGTAAAATAAAGAGTCCTCGGTTCTGGCAATACCAATGATGTTTTCTTGTAATTCGCATTATTACTTATCGAGACATAAATGTGGCATCCCAGGAATGTTTGTGTTTACTGGATGGGGCCTATAATAGCTAGAAAAATGGATTAAGAACGAATGTAAACTAGAAAATAGGGTCGAGATCTATGACAAGGAATTATTGTCACGTATACAGGGCGCACCAAGAAAATCAAGAGAACCGAAGTACATTTTTTTAAGCATTTCAGTGACCTCTGCAACCACCTCTAGAATATTATTGGCTATGTGTCAATCACTTGAAAGTTATGATTATTTTTGTCGAAATAATGTTATTCACAGATGCATACTAGGAAGTATACCTACTCTGAAGTCATATATATTCATCAATATTAAAAAGAAATATTATTAGAGTTATTCAATAGATAGAAGTGTGATACCTATTTATGATCCATTCTCATGCCTCATAATTGTACAGGGTGATCAAGATCATTTTTCAATTTGGAATTTTTCGAATTGAGTTTTCACGTTTTTCAAAATGGAACACCCCATATATATTATGTTGCGTTCATGTAATGTAGAAATGAAATACGAACACTTCCAGTACCTATCTCTAAAGCAATTCCTATATCCATTTTCGAACTATTTTTTGAGTTGTTCATTTGCACTCTGATACACATTCCGATGTGTCATATAAGTTCATCAGTGTCCAATTATTAATTGAATTTCAACTTCCTTTATGTACGATCGACTGAAACAATAATTCAGGTATATTGAAAATCAATCTTCTATTAATTTCTAAAATAGCTAGAAGCAGGTTCCGATCTGAATATAACAGAATCCAAGAATGTTTAGTCTTATTTATACCATTTAATTTTGGCAAGATATCAAAGTCGGCTGCGGCGATCCTCTATTATTAGTTGGATGGCCAGTCACTGTGCTCGCCGGCTTAGTTTTGAGTCTATGGTTATGTGCACTGGGTTTTGAGCGACTTTCTCTCCTCCACTGGGATATTTTTGCCACCATCATGAATGTGAGTCGATTGTATTTTTAGTTCAAACATCTGCCGTTTGTTTAGGGAAAAATATACGGCGCTAGTGTCGTATTTTCCAGAAAATATCGGTTTTTCGTTGGGTAGTCATAGATAATTTTGAGCTCTCTTTGAATCCCACCATTATTGGTAACAATAATTTCGTGTGTTATATAACGATACGAGGCTCAAGTTGATATTATTATTATTATTGAAAATAAGGAATAGCGTGAAGAACAAAACATATACAGTGTCATTTATTACCTATAGCAACTTTATTTAGGTAGTTATACAGGGTCTCGTCGATTTGATAGGTACATGCGCAGTCATATATTGCTATTTCCTAAGCGGTAAAATAGATAGAAAGTTGATTAAATTAGACAAAAGTTGCATAACTTGAACCTCTTCAATATTACATTTTCAATCTGGAAAAAATGTCAGCCGTTCCTGAAATATTTTGAAAAATCTGAAAATCACTGATTTTGTTTTCATTTATTTTCTTGGTTAATAGAAAGAAATTTGAAATAGTGTGTAAGCAGGTGATTAATCAGGGCAAAGTACTTGGGATTGTCAGAAATATTCTATCCTTATTATTTTCAGAGATTTACCATGTAAATTTTGTTTCCTTATGGGCGCCATATTCGTTTTTTATACCATATTGAATACAGATAAAATTCCCCTTCCCAGCCATTTATGATATGTTGACATTTTCACATGAAATGGCGCCAAAAAAAACGGTAAAAACATTTTCAAATGCGGTAGGCCATGACAATAGGAAGACAAAGTATCAGTCATCATGACTACAGTATCAATACCTACTTCTTTATAGCGAAGAATAACACGCCACATTTTTATGCAAAAATGGGAAAAAATGCACAAAAAACAAGAATACAACTTTTTTGTTAAATAATCAAAATACTGTTACATATTCAACTATTATTGAAGGTTTTCATCTAGTTTTAGATTCGTTCATGATATACTATGGGTTTGTTAATAAATTTACTTATCCTCCATCATTGAATTTGATATCAGAATTCATTACAGGGAAACGTGAAAATCATCAGATATGTAGGTATATGATTTTTTCTACAAACGTCAAAAAATGACAAGGTTCGCGCATTGTTAAAAAATTGCGAAGTGACACTTTTTTTTCAGTTTCCCACGTTACTATTTTTTAACTCGGCTACGCCTCGTTAGAAAAATCAGATCTCGATCACCAAAGTAGCATTTCGCGCTCTAGATACAAAAATAACTATTTAAGGCAAGTTAATTGTAGGTAAACGTATCTCGATTATTTAACTAAAAATGTGTGTCCTTGGTTTTTCTGTGCCTTTTCCTCCTTTTCGCATAATAATATAATGTAGCATTGTAGCGTGTTATCCATGGCTATGGTCTTTTTAATCTATGAAAGAAGTATTGACTTTGTGGTCATGCCGTTTGATATTTTGATTTCTTTATATCATGGCCTACTACATTTGAAGATGTTTTTACTGTTTTTTGGCGCTGTTAAATGTGAAAATGTCAACATGTTATACATGGTTGGGAAGGGAAGCACTATTCAATGGCATAAAAAACAAATATTCCTTAAGAAAAACAAAAGTTGCATCGTGAATCTCTGCAAATGATGAAGATAGAATATTTATGATAATCCTATATCTTCTTTGTCACGATTTAATTACTTAATTACACAACATTTCAAATTTCTTCCTATAATATTAATGAAGAAGATGAATGAAAACGAAATCAGTGATTTTCAGATTTTTCAAAATATTTCAGGACCTGCTGACATTTTTCCAAATTGCAAAACGTCATAATGAGGAGGTTAAAATTACGTAACATTGTCTAATTTAATCAACTTTCTATCTTTTATCTTTAGGAAATAGCAATACTGTCCCTAATAAATCGGCGGGACGACCCTGTATACAGTGCTTTCTTAAAGTACTGAATAATTTCATTTGTAGTCAAACTATCTTTTTTTCAGAAATTTCCTGAGACAGGTCGATTTTTATTTTCAATTTGCCACATTTATGAGGAATAGTCAAATATACAGAGGGTGATTCCCGTTTGAGTTATGCGGTTCGCGAACATTTTTTCTACTGAATATAAACCCCATATGTGATATATTTTTGAACCCAGCTTGGAGGGTGTGTTCTATTTGGGAAAATCGTCACGGACGTAATAATTCAAACGTGGATCACCCTGTATATATTCAATTTTTCCTATCAAATGTAACAAATTGAGAATAAAAATCAACCTATCTCAGAAGCTTCCTCAGAAATATATATAGATATGAATACAAATCCTGAGTGTAATATATTTTTGGATTAAGCTTTCCATAGAGATCCCAAACATTGAATGATATGTAGCATGTAGGAAATGGAACCATTTGAAAAAATTGTCGACCTCATAACTCAAACGTGGATTATCACCCTTTACATTTGATTTTTCCACAATAATGCGGAAAATTGAAAATTAAAATCGACCTGCCTCAGGAAATTCCTCAGAAATAGATATTTTAGCTGAAAATGAATAAATTCAGTACTTTATTACGAAAGCACTGTACACATTTCATTTTAGTAATTTCATCTTGTTTCGCTACAGGGGGGTTGTGGTAACTTTGTCTCCCATATATATGTTCTACGCCACAGATAAGATTTTGATTAGTTTCAATTTCTCTGATTCCCTGTTCATTTTTGTTGAACAAACGCATAACCTTCAACTGAGGTGAAATGAGCATTTTCAATTGAGCAGATTACCACAGAAAGTATTTCCGAGTAGTTCCCAGTAAACACAAACATCCCTGGGATGTCACATTCATGCCTCGTTAGGTAACAATGCGAGTCACAACAAAACATCATTGGTATTACCAGGAGACTCTTTATTTCACAAAACATTCGCAATATTCCTCACATTTTATCAAATTTGAGACCTGAAATATTGGTGAATTTATGAGTCTCCCTAACAACCAAGAGACTCACTGAAACCTCACATCCTTGTCTATTTATGTAACGAACGGAATAAATCAATTTTTATGTTGAATGAGGAGTCGCATAAAACGTACTGTGATTTTCATTTGGCATCATAATGTGAATCATAAAATGACCAAAAGGGTCCGAAATAGCAGTCATTGTGATTTCACTAGGCCTCTCATTTCGAGTCACAGATGTGATGTGTGGCATGAATGTGATGCCCTCTTACATCTCTGGGATCAATCTGTGTTAACTGGGTTCTTCAGATACTTCTTAGTTTATGCAAGCTTCTGTGTCAGATATCTCGAAAACTGAATGTTAGCTCAGTAAAAAGTTATGCGTTTTTCAACAAAATTAAACGGGTAAGTAGTTCGAAAAATTGAAAATAATAAAAAAGTTACAAGTTTCGCGTCACTGGATAAAATGAACGAAGTTATTGTATCGTCAAAAATAGGAATACCGTTTTCGAGTTATTCACAAAAAGCGATTTTTATTCTCCAACATTCAACACCCTGTATCTTTTGAACTAACTGAGGACCGTATATGTTCCTGCCTAATTCATCGAATCACGAAGGCTATCATAATACTTATGTGAAGCTTCTATCGCAACTCCCTGGTATACACTGTGTGATGCGATTTAATAAGGCGCTATCAAATTGAAATCCATTTACCGATTTCCAAAAACAAAAATTCTATACTATAGTACTCAACAAACTCTCTTTAAAAATGTGGAAAAATCTTGAATGATTCTTAAGGCCTATACTATTGTTTGTTGATGGGGTCAAAATTTCAATAACGACAATTCGGTATTCGGTGTGTTCCTCTATTGAATGACTATACTTGACCGGTTATATCAACTCCTTGGATTTTGATACAGGGTGAATTGAAAGAGCAAAATTATTTAAATTTGCCATTAAATAACTAACACCCTATATATTATGAGTTTTTGGGATAAAATTGTGTATGGGGTCATTTCAGCTATGCCTGAATCGACTATGCCAATAGGCCATCCACTTTTTCAGAGAAAAATGCCTAATACTCGTTATTGAAATTTTGACCCATTCAACAATCGTAGGAGGCCTTGAGAATCTGAATATTTCAAAAGTGTTGCGAGTTGAAATTGTACACCTTGTATATACCATGTCATATCATAATACCTAATCTTGTGGTCCCCATCCCAGACTATTTTTAAAAATAGCCCTGCACTCATTCTAATTCCAAGGCAGACAATAATTATTGTAAATTTGAATGTGTTATAGGTTCGATCGTTATTCAAAATAGAGTCACTGGATAGTATTAGTACATACCATCCAGTGACTCTAATTCAAAAGACCATGTTTCTTCAAATCTTATATACTCTGTCTGTACCAATAATATCTGCAGTCAAATGTGATATTTTTGACACCATGATAATATAGTGTTGTTAGAGATGGTTGATAATTAGTTTAAATAGTATACACTTTGCAGAACAAAAACGACAACAAATGGAAACCTATGTCTATTTCAAACCCATCAACTCGTCTGAGATTAGCCAGAAATATGCCTCAATGGGTGGTAAGTATATCCATTTATACTCAAGAGGTAAAGAGTAGGTATATCAGAGAAGTTAGGGACATGTTTATTCAGGAACTTATTGCACCATATAGTATTTCAATAAACATGAGCATACAAAATCCGTTGTGAAGAAAAAAATGTATCTAGATAGTACATAAAATATAAGTAGGCATTTGATTGTTGAAATTACATGAAAATTAAAGCGATTCTGGTTCATATTCCTTGTTTAGTGACAGCCGACAGGTAATTTATTCAACCCCACCATACTACAGAGTAGTTGATGGATATATCACCCATGATATAACTTTTTTTATAATTTTCGACAAATCAATACTAATTTGATTTTTCCTCTATTTATCTTGATGTTATTTTAATGATGTCATTTGGTATTATATCTTGAACCCTTTTATGGTTTGAATTATATGTTTTTTTAATGTCACCCTGTATATAATACCTCTTTCTTGGCTGATGAATAGGTCGTGATGAATAGGAATGTTACAATAATTTATAGAAACATGATAGAAACCCTGTAATATCAGATCAGAGGATGAAATAGTCTGTCACATTCACACCCCTTGAATAACATGTTATGTATCTGTCGTCTGACAAAATCTCATCGAATCCAGTTAATCCCGGTCCATTTATTTTGAACGTTCTATACAGGGTGTCCCTAGACCAGTGGGACAGTTAAATATCTTCTGAACCAATAGGAATTTTCGAAATATTATAATTCCACATCATATCGCATTATGAGTGCTAACTTAAGGAATGGCTATATTTTATACGAGGGGCACAAGAAAGGCTCACGAAATCGAACATCAATTTTTTCAAATAGAACACCCTGTATTTCATTGAATTTTCATATTCTCCTTGAAGAGCTGAATTCAACGACCTAGCACACTTGGGGTCTAGCGGGAATGATTTCCGAGATATAGGGTGTGGAAAATCGGGATTTTTCATTTTTGGGAATTTTTTTTGTCAAAACTATTCATTATTGGTCAAAACGGCTCACTAGTCCGTATCTGAACTTTTGATTTACTGTTCACTCGTATTTAATTGAAACAAATACAGGGTGGTGTAGAATTCTGACTGAAACTGAGAATTCTACACCACCCTGTATTTGTTTCAATTAAATACGAGTAAATAGTAAATCAAAAGTTGAGGTATGGACATGTTAGCCGTTTTGACCAATAATGAATAGTTTTGACACAAAAAATTCCCAAAAATGAAAAATCTCGATTTTCCACACCCTATATCCCGGAAATCATTCCCGCTAGACCCCATGTGTGCTAGGTCGTTGAATTCAGCTCTTCAAGGAGAATATGGAAATGCAATGAAATACAGGGTGTTCCATTTGAAAAAATTGATGTTCGATTTTGTGAGCCTTTCTTGCGCCCCCCGTAGAAAATATAGTCATTCCTGAAGTTAGCACTCATAATGCGATATGATGTGGAATTATAATATTTTGGAAATTCCTATTGGTTCAGGAGATATTCAACTGTCCCACTGGTCTAGGGACACCCTGTATATTTTTGATCAGTATATAAAATCTAGCTTAACATTTTTTCCTGATGTTTTTCAAAGTCTCATATGTTAGTTAAGAAATGACTAAGTTACGATAAGGAGTGGGGGGGGGGAATGAAGGTAAGTATAGTAAGTCAGGAGTCATTAGGTAGGTATTTTTCCCATAAACTTATTCCAGAAAATTGATGATATTGTATCATTCACCCCTATGAAATAAGGAAGGGGTGGATTTAAATCAGTTTCATAAGTCACAAGGTGATCAAAACGAATGATACAAATATATATAACTCAAAGTATAGAGTAGAGTGAAGTAGATACAAGAAATGAACAATATATTGTGACTGTACATTGATTTTTAAACATATTATTGGAAAACGGCAAATTTTATCCAAAGGAGATGTTAGATGTTGATACATTTTTCAAAAGGGGAGGTACCTACCATTGTCACAAGACAATTTTGGATCACCATGTTCATTACAAGTGTCTAGTCAAAACAGTCTCAAAGATGTTATGTAAATAACTAATAATGAACAACTATAAATATCATCAGCCGTTGAGCTTTAATTTACAATCATAGTCATTACTTTTGCTACTCTCCATCACACCAAACTATCATTAGATGTTTGAATTCAGGAAAGAGTAGGTATATATTTAATATTTTTTATAAACAGCTTGGAATCACTTGTTTCCTTTCATACAAAGAAAATAAATAAAAATTGGTCTACTATTTGAAATTATATGTATATTTTATCACTGCATAAACAAAGGTTTCACTGAATGAAATTAATGAAACAAGTATTCTTCAAATATTCGGGTAATATTCTGATGAGGATTGAATGCTCTAATCCAACCACGAGAGAAGACTGTTATCAACAGTAAATACATACTGTTATCTAATTAGTCAGTGTAGAAAAAATATATCAATATAACAGCCCGTTTCTCCTACTAGGTAAATAACATCCATGTATATATTTTAAAAAGGTAATGTAAGAACATCAAGTTTTCCCTTTTCGTCAACTTTTATAGAAGAGATATTCAATTCAGAGGAAATGTATGATTTGACATGTTTCTATCTGTCTTTTCATTGTCATTTCATGACTTTGGTACTCTCTCTTTGAAAAAATATTAAATATATGGAATAGAATTGTTCTATTGCTAATATCAGACACAATCAAATTATACATAACCCCTCAAAAAGAGATGAATGTATCAAATGAAGATAAAAATTCAATCATCACATCATACAAAAGTTAACAAATGAGGGATACAACTTCATCTACATGCTGTATAATTGTGTGAAATATAAGGTTCAGAGCATCAGTCACTGAAGACAGTTTATAAAACTGTGGCCTATTTTTCTAATTGAATGTATGTCACAGTAAGTAAAAAAAGCAAAAAAATAATATTTACACTTAAATTATTGTAGAAACATATCATCTTATAACTATGAAGGTATATAAAATCTTATGGTAAATTAAAATATAACTATGAATAAGACATAGAGGAAGCTAAGTAAACAAAAAAAAATAGAATCTACAGGAGTGCAATCAAAAATTCAATATAGCTGGTCAAACAATATCATATTTTGATTCTATAGGAAAAATAAACTTTGCATAATCCTAAATACTAGAAAGATTTCTTGGGTTAATGATAGATCTTAGATCTTAAATAAAATGCATTTAAAAATTAAATAAATATTGCAAACATTTTCAACTCATAATTCTGAATTGAGACAATATAACTTAAATTGACAGTCAATTCAAATGTCCAAACTGAGGTCCAATTGAACAATCATTCAAAATGTTCTCCAGGAGTTCCAAGATGTTTTATGCATTAATTTGTCTGACAAAACAAAGATATCAAATAAATATTGAACATCTGATACTACCAGGGTTTTTGAAAAAAAAAAGCATTATCACTATTAGTTGATACAAGTACTTTAGGAATTTATAAAAACCATTTTTTCAACTAAATTTTATCCTTGTGACTCTTGTATTAGGTGCTTCTGCTAAATTAACTTTTGTACTGTTACATCTGTTGATTCATCAAATGAAATTGAAATTTATGAAAAATGCTTTTTAACCAGTCCAAATGAATATTATCATATAATATAATGAAGGAAATAAAGGTTCTGTGAAAGTTGAGATTAAACTGAACAGAAGTCAGTTAGATGATATTTCTTAAACAGCATTGAATTTTGAACCATTTGAGAAGATTGTGTCATAAATAAAGCTGCAGCACAAATTAACAAAAATAACACAATAACATTATTGCTAAATTCAAAATTGATTGGACACCAATCATATTTCTCAATTCCATAGTTTGATGTTAGTTTAGTTTCAATTTGTGCATGATAAATCCAGCTTTGATGTAATAAAAAATCTCTCTTGATAGTTGGATATTTGAATTCACCATAATACAAAATATTTCCATATGAATATGTAGTAAATAGGTATAGGTAAGACTTATTCTCAAGTTCCATGAATTTCATTCCCTCTCCAAACTTCTCAACAAAATTTTATGTACCCACAAATTATTAAAGACCCAAAGTTTATTTGTTTTCTACATCATCTCACCTATGGTCTATACATCTTCCTTTGTGTCCATATCTTCAGTTTTATTAGAATCTTCTGGATTTGAATTCATACCATTTTGAGAATTCTCAGAAAGGACTTCATTGTCTGAGGCTGTTTCCTCATCAATTTCCAATTTTGAGGAATCATGGTTACTACTCACATCATCAACTCTAGATTCTCCTTCATTGCTATCATCATCTGACTTCCTATCATCATCATTAGACTTCCTATCATCATCAGACTTTCTATCATCATCTTCTGTGAAAATATCAGGAGTGACATCTAAATTTTCCACCAGTGAATCCTCAATTTCTGTTTCTAGTTTAATTTTTTTGGCTTTACTCTTTACAGTTTCCTCTTTCTCCACCTCCCCATATTTACTCTTACCAAAAACTTTGTATTTATAACCAATGTCATCCCTCATATGCAACTTTTTGTGGAGTTGCATGTAAGACTGTGTAGAAAAATCTCTATTACAAATATCACACCTAGCATTCTTCATGCCTTTGATAAAGTATTTCTTTTTAGTTTTCTGATTATGTTTGCGAACTTTATGCCTTAGCAAACCTGTTGAACTATGGAATGGCCTACAACACACATCACAAATATACTCACCGTTTTCTGAAGGCATTATATTATTGGCCTCCATTTCCAAATCTGTCAAGTTATGGGTATTAGCAAAGTCTTGTAAGGTCAATGGATTATTTGCAGAATCAGTTTCTGTATGATGTGATTTTAGGCAAAGATCATATTCCACTCTTGTTGTAAACTCTGTGTAACAGTATTCACATTTGAATGGTAGTTTACCTAAGTGGAATTGATTGATGTGTGCTTTCAATAATTTTTTTGTTGTGAAAGATTTTTGGCATTGTTCACATGCAAAAGCTCCTGAATTTTCTGAGGAACTGAACAAGAAATGTTGACCAGAAGAAAAAAAGTCTTCCTGTGTTTTGGGAAGGATAGGAACAAAATATTTTTGGTCATCTTTACCATTCTGTGTTTTCTCTCCATTTGATTTGAAATCTTTCAGAGTTATTTTGGCTGGTGAAATTACTTCATCATAATCATTTGCTTCTTCTTCATTACTGTCTCCTTCCTCTTCCAGTCCAAAAATTGTTGGATCAATTTCTACACTCAGTTCCTCAGTTTTAGTTTCAGTCAGTATCTTATTCACATTTACATTAGAAACTTTCAGTTCACTTTTCTTGGGTGTGAACTTCTGTGGTTCATGTTTTTCCTCAAGTGATGGTGAAACAGGTATATATTTCTGAAATGTGTTGTTTAAATTGAGGAATACATTTTGATTTGTATCCTTATTTGATGTTGGCTTTGTAGAATCTGTGGATGCTGCAACTGAGTTGATGGTGGTTGTTGGTATCAAATTCAAGAATACATTCTGAAATGTATTAGCTGGTTGATTTTGTGTACCACCAACTAAGATCTTCACATATTTTTGATTTGGCAATAGCATGTAAGCTCCACCAGTGGTAGGGATGATATTTTCAGTTTTTATTGAATTTTGAGATTCATTTTTTTTCTGAGATTCCTTCACAAGTTCTACATAGTTTTTCAATACTCCTGATGATTGCACACACTGTTTCTTGAAGGTGTATGCTATATTGAGTCTTTTTATACAAGGATGGCATAATAGAGGCTTGAAAACGGTCCACTCCTATAATTAACGAATAAAAAGTTAATCAATGTTGCTATTCAAACAAATACAAAAAAAAACATACCACTTCTGATACACATAGTTGTAGTTTGCTCATCAACGTTTCACTTGGTTCATTTTCAATGTGAGCTAAATCAATAAGGTTTTTATCATACTTTAGGCAAACGCGACAAAAATTTGGTAACGTAAACATTGTCATGAGAAATAAATAATAAAATGTATTATTTTATACAAGACTGTCAAAGCTTTGTCAACTTTTTCGCCATATTTAAAACAGAAAACACATCACGGTCACGGATCATGAAGAGATCATGGATGAGAAAAAATACAGAAAACACAAAAATACCGACTCAGTTTAGCCAACACTCCGAACCAGAAGTTCCAAAGTTGATTCAATTCAGGAAATTGTGATTTTCCATACCTCTTAATACTCTTAATAGTCTTAATAGAATCCTACAATGAAATAAATCATTCTTAACACCATCCTGTATTCAAAAAGGGTTGTTAACCTTCTTACAAAAGTAATTCAATGCGTGCCTGTATCAAGCCTGTATACCATTCTCAGTGCATGCAGATGGAACCCTAACTGCTTTCGAAATCTCGCTTCTATTATCCCGTGGTCGAAATCTATTTTGGGATTGATACATGATTCATATGAAGCGAATTTCTGCTTATTTTCCGTTATTCCTTCAATTCATGAGTTGTTGTTTAGGGATTTTGTTTCCGCACTTTAAGTTGGCAGACTTGAGTGACATCTTACTTCAGCTATACTTTGACAGTACAGTGACGTGACAGTCGTGACTTGTTACATTTGTTACAGTCGTGTCGTACAGTCAGACCTTTAGTCAGACGGTCAGTGACATGCATGTGACATGAGTGACAGAAAAACAAAAACATTGATAAAGTGATAAACAATAATTTCAAACATTTGCTTTCAAAGTTGAATGGTTCAAAATCGTGGATCAAAATATCAAAAATGTTGGATTTAGAACTGAGTGAGTCTCTTCCATTCTTACAGGAGTTTCGAGTATTCTTTGGTGTTTTTTATTGCTTAAAATACTGACCTATGAAGTTATATTATTTTTAAACCAAAACAATTCTACCTACTTTTCGTTTCAAAAAAGTTGATTTCTTATGACAATTCTTTTATAGAACAAATCAGGTGTGAGTGGTGTACCTCCACCACCTGTTCCAAAAGAGGATCCCAATAAGAGAGACCATCAAAAGGACCATAAAGTTAAATCCCATCAAGAACCGGATTATGAGGTCATAGAATTTGGACAATATTGTAATGCTCCTTTGCCATCAAAATCAGGTAATAGTAGGGAATTATACAGGGTGTTTCGAAATTCGACTGAATGCTTGACAGGTGATAGCCCTCCTGATTTCATAATCACTGAGATAGGGACATACGGTCTTCAAGTAATCAGTTCTCGACATACAGGGCGATGAAGTTGAGAAATAAAAATAGTGGTAATTTTGCACTTATCATGCGATGTTTTTTTTTTCGAAAAATTGTTTTGGTACTTACGTATTTTTGTCTGAAAAACACGAATTTGATAATGAAAATGTGAACAAACCACTATTTATCCAGATATTTCAAGAAAAAGTACGAAATTTTGCCTTATTTTCCCACTTGTGTTGGATGCATTTACAGGTACTTGCTCTTTTTATTTTGTCATTGGATACTTCATATACTCATGATGTATTCAATGACACATTTTAAGCTGAAAATTCAACTGGAAATATGATTTTTATGGCGAGTTTCTCCTATTTAGTGAGCAAGCATACCAGAAAAAACCTATGGCATGATAAGTGCTAAATTACCAAAATAGTTGTTTGGCAATATCTCAATTGAATAAAATGCATTCAACTTCGGTATATGGTTTCATCTTTGAATGGGTCATTTTTTGACCAGGAAGCCATTCCAGACATTTTATCCAGTGGTGCCCTACAGGGGGTTGTGGCAACTTTTCCTCCCATATTTTCTACGCCACTGATTAAATTTCGATTATTTCCAATTCCTCGAATTCATTGTTCAATTTTGTTCAGAAAATGCATTACCTTCAACTGAGCTGAAATAAACAGTTTTTGAAATATTCGACCCAAAATATAGGACATTGCATAGTAATATTTCATCATTTTCAGTAGTAGAAAATTGCAAAAATATTTTTCTGGTGTTGAGTAGATTAGATACTATTCAGATCTCATTCAATTGCTGGACAGAAATAGTTATTCAATGCATAAAGAGAAAACAAAAATTTTTGTAATTTTCTACTACTGAGGAAGATGAGAAATTACTATGCAAACTTCTATTTTGGGTCAAATATCTCGATAACTGTTCAATTTAGCTCAGTTGAAGGTGATGCACTTTTTCAACATACTTGAACAATCAATTCAAGAAATTAGAAATAATTGTTTCATCAGTGGCGTAGAAAATATGGACTGAAAAGTTATCACAACCCTCTGTAGCACACCTCTGGATAAAATTCTCGGAATGTTTTTCTAGTCAAAAAATTAACCATTGAAAGATCAAACCATATACCGAATTTGAATGCATTATATTAAATTTTTCTTGATATTGAGAAAAAACTATTTCAATTTCTTTACTTCAACGCCCTGTATCTCGAGAACTGAACACTTGAAGACCCTATGTCCCTATCTCAGTGAATATGAAATCACAAGGGCTATCACCTGTCAAGCATTGTCGGTCGAATTTCGAAACACCCTGTATAACTCCAAGTTTTCCAAAATGAATTTCCCATTGAATTTCATGTTCTTATTGACCCAGGTTCCAAAAGAGATGGAAAACATTGCCAGCTCTGTGGTTCATCAGCTCCATCAGTTCATTGTGAAGAATGCTCTCAGATTTTCTGTTTATCCTGTGATGATATGTATCACAGGCACCCCAAACGTCAATCACATCTCAGAAGAGTAAGAATACAAAAACAAACATTTTCTATAATGAATTGAGATATCTTTCTAGCGAATCGAGCAATCCATCCGTCCTCCCCTGCCTCCCAAAGGTGAGCCCCTTCCAGCCCCCGTACCGCCTCCAAGACGCCACCGGCGTGCCGGATCGATTGGGGCTTCCCCATGCCCTAGTCCAACACCAGGAAGACACAATCAGGTAACTACAGAAGGCTTCTGTTGCCCTAGCTAACATAGTGTGAGCTTTCATGTACCTACCTACTTACTTATACCATAGATCTAAATTGCTTATACTGTACCTATTCAAATAGATTGTTGGATTCTACTCTGTACCTGGATAATGAAATAAATTATTATGATTGATGAAGGGTTTCATCTCTAAATCCAAAGCCTTTATACAATGTGTGTTTGATATCATCTCTAGCAAAATTTGTACTTCAAATGCAAAAGCCATCATGTTTCTACAAACGTCAAGAAATGAAGAACATCAACATCATATAACATAACATAATAATAAATCGAAACAATAATAATAGGCCTCTTCATCTAGATATATTCTTAAGACGCATGCGCTCGTTTTTAGATCCAAGAATTTATTGGGTAATGGGAAGGTGAAGTCTCATTGGCTATAGTTCCAACACAAAATGCTGATTGGCCATTTCGAATATGGCGGGTATTCTTGATTTTCTGTCAAATGTCAACAGTGTCAACCACCATGGGCATTCGTCATTGAGGAACAACAATAACAACATAGGACCACTTAATAAAAAACTTTAAGACTTAGATTTATCACCTAACATTTAAGGCTTATCACTTATGACAGATGGAACATGGAACTATCATTGGTTATGTTATAAAACCATTTAAGACTTATGATTAAACATTATGGATTTAAGAAGATGACCAACTTCCAACTTAAGAAGTGATGATAAATGATCATAAATGGAATAAGGAGTGCGCATCCAGAAGTGACATCTCAATTTCCCGCCATTCGAAAATAATTCAAAATATCTTGTGTTGTTATTCCTGAATATTTGTTTTTCTTCTGATGGATACTGAACCGTTCTTCAAAATACACTAGAATGTCGCAACCACGATGTGTCGCAACTCTGTTGCCTCCATATTTGGCAAAAGATCCAAGGAGTGAGCCAGTGTCTGTTAGGCAAGGAGTAGTGATTACTTTCAAAATGATGTGGAGATATAATGGATGTGGGTTTCATTTTAGGGATATAATAAATTAATAGAATGATTTCCAACCAGTTTCTAACTTACTAAACTTTGAAAATCTGGTTCTGTATCAGAAACTAGATGTCAGGAATGACAGAAGACATGTATCGCCCTAGAATCTTGATTTTTTAATAACTGAATCTACTTAATAATGTTTACATGTTAAATCTTAAATGCTAGAAGTTTTGATAGAGTCACCCATAGTATTTTTGTTTATATATTCCTGGTGTGTATTAATATTGTATTATAATAATTTGATTCCAAAAAACGTTACTTATTTGTTACTGAGGACTCTGAGGAGTGTCATTTGTCATCTAAATGAAAAGGCCTATTGCACAATTATTGTTTTTCATAAGAAAAATTATAATAAAATATAAAATGAAAATATTATGATTTATTCCAAGTAATCAAATCATGAATGATTAGTAGATATGGAATTGAAGTTTACCAGGACACCATTTTGAACTATGGTCCTCAATCCAGTAAACATCAAAGAAATCATTTATTTCTGAATGTTAAACTATAATCAAGGCCTTTTAAGCCAGTTTAACACTATTTTTCATGTTAAGCTAAGCATATTACTACTTCAGAACTATATTTTTTGATGTTTGTAGAAAAAATTTTGTTCACAACTTGTATGTGAAATACTTTTGTGATCAAGTACTGATTTTTGTAACTAGGCGCAGCTGAGTTGAAAATATAGTGGAGCATTTCAGGCACTAGATACAAATATAACTGTGTGTACCTGAAATATCAATTTTTCATCATTTTTGCTTTCGTATCCTGCTTTAATAAGTATAATAACCACCCTTGTATTTTGGAGTACACATTGTGATTAAAATAATAAAGATATCAGGGGCAGCTCATAAATATAGTTTTTGAATAGGTAATCATTTTATTGTGTCTAATATAGTAATAAATTTATTTACTATATTTTGACCTTCCCCTAAACACTTTTGTTGTGAAGTGCTATATACATACTCATAAAAAGTTTATAAGTTTTCATCTACAGCCTGTCTCATTTCAAACGGCTTCCCCCTTCCATATCTCAGCTATTATCTGTGCCAAATTAGGACCGGTATGATTAACCATCAGTATTATCAGTTTTTCACAGAGGAACATCATTTTAGACAGTGCCGTGCGTTTTTATTAAAATGACACCTATTATAGGGGTAGTTTTTTACATGAAAACTGACCACAAAATATTGTTCTCCATAGTTTCAAATCCCTATATGTAAATTTTCATATTATTTCACTTCATAAATGGTTAAAAAAAACAGACACATCTAAACAGCAATTTTGCGAACGTAATAATCTTTTACTCGGAAACGGTGAGTTCAACCGAAAATTCCCAACAAACATTCATTTGCGGCAAAATGAAGGCCCAATACATTGCTTCCATAACCTAGATATGTTGCAGCAAAATAACTAGGGTTGGTACGACGGGGCCATCAAGAAAATACACTCCGTGCGACGGTTTCCCGACGGTCAATCAGCCGACATTCAGTCCATTGATGGGCTTTCAAATCGCCATACTGGCATAGGAACGATCAAAATATGAAAATAATAATGGATGATAAGATCTTCATTTTGAAGCTTAACCTCTCATACATTGTCATGGTCCATTCTCCAGGTGCCTTATCCATTCAGTCGTATTTTTACAACGGCTATATCGTTTGGAACGTTAATCTCTATAAGAACATAACTACTAGTAGCTACTCGTATCAGTATTTCAACTCATGAAGTCACTATCGGTGAGATGTAAACGGATCGAAATGGATAAGAGAATATTTCAAACTAATATATTGTGATAACAATATTTCAACTAATATTTTGATATTATGAGAGAAATAATTCACTATATATAATTCCATTTGGATAATCTTGGATAATTCTAGGAAAGTATACAGTATGTCTGAAAAAGTTGGTAACTAATGGAAAACTTTTTTATTATTAGTTTTGGGAAAAAAGTCATTCATCATAAAAAGTTCTGCAAGGCCTAAAACCAAAATCGCGAATATCAGATATCGATTTTTTTCAGTCGTATACAAGGTATGTCAAAAAATATATATATCCCAGAACTTGATTCTGACTGGAGGTCACATTTTCAATAAATAAATAAATATACAATATACAATATCGGAAATTATCATATAAAAAAGTTGACTAGAATTGAAAACTACGTTCAAATATCTGATAACATCTACCTACGATGAAAATCATGTTTTATCATTTTTTACAATAATTTCTGATCGATTATTCATATGGAAGAAAACCTTTTATTATTAATTTTAAGGAAAAATCGAGGAAAAATGCATTTTTTATAAGAAGTTCTGCAAGGTCAAATACCAAGAATGTAGACATCAGATATATCATTATATATTTCTTGAGTCATATGTCAAAAAAATTTGAAGAATTTCAAAAAAATAATAAAATCAGATTTTCATCGTAGACAATAAATGTTATTAGATATTTGAACGTAGTTTTCAATTCTAGTCAACTTTATTCGATACTGATTTTATATTATTGTAGAAAATAAAGGTACTTTACTCTTGAGCAAAATTAATGTTTATCTGAAACATATATAGGCATGGCCCAGCATTGGCCTTCTTGAAGATTAAGTAAACAAAGTTGTTGTCTTTCCCGGCAACACCAAAGTCAATGAAACGATATGAAGGCCCAATACCTATTTGCTCCACTGACCACAAGAATCTGAAAGTCCAACAGATTTTTTCCGTTGAAGTCATTTCTCCAGAAAAGAAAGCATGGGCCAATAACTTCCCAGTAGTCCATAGTTTGTTGGGTTGTATATCTTGTTTTTTCTTTCAAATCATGTTTTCTGCCTACCGGAGCCATTATAAACGTTTTAAAAATCACAAAAATTTCCAACACCTACATCCTCTAGCTATCCTCCTACTTACGCAGGATATTCCACGAAAATTATTGGAATTTCCTTTCGTGTGCTCGAAGAGATAAAAGAAAAGTTGATTTGATTACCCTATTTTTTCGATGCTGACAAAGAAAAAAATTGAAGCCAATCCTGTTAATTCGGAATGAGGTGATTTTTTGCATATGGAGGTTTGAATGCATGAGGAACAATAATATGAAGTTAGTTTTCTTGCAAAAAATTGCCTAATATGATTCCATAAAAATCGAATCCTGTTTACTTCAATATAATAAAGCAACAGCACTGTCCAAAAGGATATTCGTCTCTGAAAAAACTGACCATATTGATGGCTAACGATGTATATTTCATCAAAATACTAGAGCCCATCTGCTAATATACTAGCTATGTAAAAAAACAAATGTCTCCGTTCCTACCTATATGGTTTATTATATACAAATGGATTTTTTGTAATCCACACGCCCTGTATATTTTTTAGAGTTCTTATTTCTTTCTGATTACATACCAGACACTTATATGAACAATGACTTCCCTTGTAGAACCGATGTATTCCGCACCTTTCCTACCCTTTCCTAATTTTAACTGTGGTTCTTCAAGTGGATAAGCAGAATGAAAAAAAAAAAAAGAATTTGATTACTTTATTGTGTACAGTCTCCCTTCAAAATTGCCAATAATTCATTATCTGCCTATAGTTATAGCTTCCTAATACACTTATATAGTGGAAGGTAATGCTGATGACAATTCTTGTGAAACTTGAAGCGATAATGCAGTTTTTTTTAGGTGAATTCCTCTACTATGCCAAGAAGAGACCACTCTGGATTCTCCCTAAAGGATAAAATGTCCAATTTCAAGCATGGTTTGATGGGAAATAGACCGCTACCACCAACTCCTAGTTCAACAAGAAGTGGATGTAAGTATACTGTTTGACACAGACTCATGGTATACCCCCTTTTCTTCTTTATTTTTAGAGCAATAATTATGAAATTTGAAACATCGAATAGGCTCATTATAAAGGGCAGTTTCTCACATTCCAGATTTTTTTGTTCATCTTCTGGATTCCCTGGAAATTACATCAACTTTCGATTTTCAAATAAAACGTCCTGTATTCGATTCCATAATCCGTTAGGTATCATTATATCAAATTCAACGATACCGGGTTTAACATAATTATTGGGTTATTTCAAACGGTCACGAAGATATTCGCGTTTGATCTGGTGTTTGAAGTAAATCTCACTACATTTTGATGTCATGATTGAACAGGGTTTTTGTCTCTTATATACCTACCCACCTGACGGTGCAATACCTACTACTTATTCATAATTTTCATGTATGAAAGAAATTCGAACATATGACACAACATCACTTTTTTTCTCCATTGTTTCAGCATTTAGGTCTGATTTCTCTGCAAGTACAAATCCAAGTGAATTGAACAGGCAATTTGTCCCCAGCCCTAGTCCATCTCTTCAACAAAGATACAGGCAGCATCAGTTGGCAATGCGAGGCACAACATCCAACATACCATCAACCATCACCGATTTCGATCAGGTAAAATTCTTCGAAATTTATGTGATATCATCATCAATTAATTAATCAAATTTTGCATCAAATCTCTCTCATGGTGAATATAAGAAACTGAAATGAATACATCTTTGAACTAGTAATGTAATATTATAAGTATCATTGCAGCCATCCAGTAGAGACAGTGGCTACCCAGAATGGGAAATGGAGGACTGGAACAGAAGACGAGCCGGAAGCATCTCTGGATCTGACATGGAGAAACAACATCTCCAAAGGAAACTCAGCAACGTTTCTTGTCCGCCAGGGGGAAGAGCCGTTCCCCATAGCGCTTCCGTGATGGACCTGCACAATAATCCCATGATGTATCCACACTATCCTGGATTTTTACCCATGCAACAGGTATATGAATGGTTCAATAATTTATCGTTAGAGCAGTCTAGATATTATTACACAGGGTGGTTCAGTTTAAACACTGGATATTAATGAAGATATTCTTCTTATCGTTCAAATACGTAAAATATATAGCATTTCCTTTCACACGCTTGATTCCCCAAACAGAAATAAGAGGTCCGGAAATTCTTCCTTAGAAAGTTACAACCCTTCAAAGATGAGACATTGTGTGAATTCAATATTTCTGACATTATTCAATAAATAGAAACAAAAGTTGGTCCAAACAATAGGATTATTTTGCTTGATCAATGTTCTAAGATTATCTATTGAACGGTGTGGGGGAGATACAGAATGAAAATACTTTGATTCATATAAGAGAACTGTGTATATCATTGGGATGCTCTTTATTCTCCATTCTCCGAGCTTGAACCACTTGATGATTTGTCTAGAATATTCTTAGATCTGACCTAAAATCTCTCGTGAAATCTTTATCAATTATATCAACGTTAATGAAAATCACTCCCAGTGACCCTTCTTTGATGGTACCTAACTCCCTAAGTTTGTCTTGGGAATGCTGGAATACCCTCACGAGAGATTTCACACGTGTGGTGGTCGGATTAGAATAACCCCACGGTAAGTCCTGCCTGTCGTAGAAGGCGACTAAAAGGACGCCAATAGGTGGAAGATGGTTAACGCCATCGCCCGGTGCGATACCACCACATCAACCATAGGCACTGTGAAATGGGTATACTTACCCGTGTTTCAGTAGCTGGTTGATGTTCCGGCCAACCCAACCCAACCCAATTTCCTTTTCCTTCCACGCCAACCTCCCTTCTCTATACAGAATAAGCGATGATGAGTTCTCCTCAAGTAAAATTATCCGGAAGTAAAATACCTCTCCATTCGGATTTCCGGGCGAGAGGTGCTAGAGGGGGTTCACCATCGAAAGAAAAAGTCCTCAAGATAGACCTATGTAACATCCGAGGTTTAAGTAAGAACATCAACGATGTCCATCGACACCTCCAAATTGAAAAGCCAGACATACTGGCTCTTACTGAGACACAGGTCAATTCATCCACCAATACGACCTATCTGCTCTGTCCTGGGTACGAACTCCACACACGTTTCAGATTCAAGGGAGGTCTCTGCCTCTACTCTAAAACGAATCTCTCATGTCAACGAGAAAAAACTTTGGAACCAAATAAGTTTGATGTCATGTGGTTCAAGCTCGATAGCCAGAAACAGACCAAATACCTTTGTTGTCTCTACTTATCACCAAATGATCCATCCTATGAAGAGCTCTTCGAATTCTTGTCTCTGAAGCTTGACCAAATTCAACAGAACCATCCAGCAGCAGAAATCATCATCATGGGCGATTTCAATGTACACAACACTGCTTGGCTCGTACACTCTAACAAAACGGATGAAGCTGGGCGACAAGCCGAAGCTTTCGCCATCACTCACGGCTTAGAGCAGCTTATCAAAGAACCCACACGAATTCCCGATGCCAATAACCATTCAGCTAACATACTTGACTTATTTCTCACTAATAATTCAGCACCCTACACCATAGATGTACGAGCTCCACTTGGCAATTCTGACCACACACTCATCTCTACAACCTGCCCATTCTTCATTCCATCAACTGCTCCGGCACCCCCACGTCTTATATGGCATTACAATTCAGGAGATTGGGACGGTCTCCGCATGTTTTTCTCCGAGTTTCCTTGGCATAGAGTATGCTTTGACTCTGAGGACCCTTCACAGTGTGCTGCGGAAATATCCGAGATCATCATGCTTGGAATGGACACATACATACCTCATTCTTCGAAAAGATCATCACCATCGAAACCCTGGTTCAACAAAAACTGTTCTAGAACTGTTGCCTTGAAACAAACAGCCTACCATCGCTGGCGCAAAAACCCTAACCCCGCGACTAGAGCAGAATACGTCGATGCCAGAAATACCTGCAGCCAAACAATAGATGCTTCGAAAGAAACATACAATGCCAAGATAAGATCGAAACTCATAGATTGTCCCAATGGCTCCCGTTCGTTTTGGTCCCTTGCTAAAGCGGTCGGAAGAAATTTCACTAATAGTTCATTTCCACCACTGTCCAAATCCGACGGCACATTAGCAACAACATCGCAGGAGAAAGCAAATATTTTTGCAGAGATTTTTGCAGCAAACTCTACTTTAGATTCCCAAGGAAAAGTGCCGCCAGACATTCCACCCGTTGAAAGTCGAATGCCCGAAATCGTCTTCCGTCAACGCACTATCAGACGAATTTTGCTTGATCTCAAAACAAATAAGGCTAACGGTCCTGATGGAATTCCACCCATTATCCTCAAAAAATGTGCACCAGAATTAACACCGATTCTCTGCAAGTTGTTTACCCTCTCGTATAGGTCGGGTATTTTTCCATCATGCTGGAAGACAGCTAGAGTCCAACCAATCCCCAAAAAAGGGAATAAGAACCTGCCCAATAACTACAGGCCCATTGCCCTGTTATCAGTAATCTCCAAAGTGATGGAGAAAGCCATCAATATTGAGCTCATCAAATATCTAGAGAGCTCGGGAATCATCAATGATAGACAATACGGCTTTCGCCACCGAAGATCTACTGGAGATCTACTTGCCTACGTCACCCATTTATGGCAAGCTTCATTAGAAAAACACGGGGAATCTCTAGCTGTCGCGTTGGACATATCGAAAGCATTTGACCGTGTTTGGCACAAAGGACTTCTCCACAAACTACCATCATACGGCTTACCACCTCAGCTATGCCATCTCTTATCGAGCTTTCTTTCAGGCAGATCGCTTCATGTGGTGGTGGACGGTGTATCGTCTGATACAATTGGCATCAATTCCGGCGTTCCACAAGGATCAATTTTGGCACCAACCTTATTCCTTCTTCATATCAATGATCTGTTGGGAGTAACAACTTGCCCCATCCACAGCTTTGCAGATGATAGTACCCTCCATACTGCGTTCTCTTCCAGAATTCCCATTTCTTTCCAGGAAACTAAGAACTCACGGCGCAGGCAGGTCAATGCTGTCAATGAAGACCTTGCTGAAATCACAGCCTGGGGAACCAACAACCTAGTTGAATTCAACGCCACCAAAACTCAAGCCTGTATTTTCTCTAGAAAGGCGGAACTCAGTATGCCCGACATTGTAATGTCTGGCACCACCATCCCCACCAAGCCCACCATATCTATGCTCGGTATTTCCATCAGCAACACTCTTTCATGGGATAATCATGTGAGATCGATCGCAAAAGCTGCTTCCCAAAAACTCGGATTCTTGTTTCGTGCGAAAAGCTACTTTACACCTCAACAGCTCCTCATGATCTACAAAGCGCAGATACGACCTGTTCTAGAATACTGTTCCCACATATGGGGTTCAGCACCAAAACATACGCTGATGCTCTTAGATTCCATCCAGAGAAGAGCCATCCGCCTGGTGGGTGACGCGACACTCACTCACTCCTTGACATCATTGGAACACCGTAGAAAGGTCGGCGACCTTTCACTTTTCTATCGATACTTCCACGGGAAATGTTCTTCGGAAATCTCTGCTATCATCCCTTCACTAGCAATACCAGTCAGACGAACTAGACAAGCCCAGTCAGCTCATCCTTTCGTTGTCAACCTCGAAAGATGTCGAACAGCACTTTATCAAAACTCCTTCATCCATAGAACGGCTAGGCTCTGGAATTCATTGCCTGAGGAAGTATTCCCAACAACATATAATCTCCAGAAGTTCAAAAAAAAATCCAATACCTACCTCCTATCCCTATCCTCCCTAGGAACGCACGATGTTCTCTGAACATTATAGGGATTCCCTTTCGTGCGCTCCAAGCGATAAAAAAAAAAAAAAAATTTATTTGAGGCAATATGTAGGAAATTGCTATGTATGGTGGTAACATCCTGAATCGATGTTAGGTGGATAACGCGACCATGTAATGTTGTTGACGTCAAAAGTCAGTTGTTTATTTATGCAGCATCAATTAACAATTATCAACTTCCTATTTTCAATCACTGTGTTTAAGCAGACAATTAACAATTATCATTTATCGAATAACAAGTTGAAGATTGGTCAATCAGCTTTTGATGGAAACTATAACCTCAAATCTTCCGGTTTTGTGTTTCTCTTTACTTTTCATTATTCCTCTGATTCTTGAGTATTGGCCCCTCTTGTGATGATGATATTCCAAAGATGTCTCTATTATTTTATGAAAATAATGTCTAAGGTTATCTTGAATGGCTTGGAATGGACTTGTGCACCTGCGTATTTTTTATTTTCAATTGTTAACTTGGTTTACATAAATAGTAACATTCTAGCTACTCCTTACTTGATAATTGTTAGATGATGATTGTTACTTGATAATTGTAAATTGATACTGCAAAAATCCACACTAAAATTCAAAACATACTGCCATGTAATTTGAATCTCAGAATACCTATCTAGAACCTCCCTGAACACGATAATTGGCGCAATCGGATAGAAGGCAATCCAAAGGCACTTTTCAATCCAAAGGAACCTTTGAAATGGAAAAATTTCGAGACAGTATAATAATAATAAAGTTTATTCAAAATGTAAAAGTACCTATACATAATATTGGTATTGAATGAACAAAGAAAACCTTTAGGAAGAATAACTTGTAAGATGTATAAAATGAAAATTATGGTTAATAAATCAATTGATTAATTCGAGATAGAAGTAATTTATAAATAAAAATGTATTGTTTTTCATTCAATCATTGGGTATAAGTACAATTCAGTACTGTTTCAAATTTCGTGCATGGAGATATTAGATATTTACCAGAAAAGCAATATAAACTCCTTTTCCTGGATTATTAATTGAACAACTGACTTGACGACAACAACATTATATGGTCGCGTTATCCACCTATAACATCGTGACAGTATGTTACTACCATACATGACAAGATTCAAAAATCAATTTTTGAATACCTGTATCCTTCCAATCATTATTCAATTCCCTATCAGTTTTTAATTACCGATTCCGATTTATAGAACACTCAGTTCATAAAAAACGAGTTCAGCCCAACTAACGACCCCCTACAAAAAATTGTTTCAAAATTGTTCTGAAATTGTTCTATCCGTCATTCGGTTGCCCCCTTACGGGCAACCCTCAGAAGTCTTCGAGAGTCTTGTGCGAGCAAGGAATGGCGAGGGCCTCACCTTTTAACGTGTGATCCCAAACACTTTATTGGGCCATCAGAAAAATGTCTGCAGTCGCGGGGAATTGAACCCACGACCGGCAAGCGAATGCGGATTAGAATACTGACATACTCTGTCCGCACAACTACCTGGCCCTACCGTTACTTCTTCATTTGCAGGCCCAATCGATGGCCCAACTCAACTATCCCATGCCCTACTGCCCACAACCGCAATGGGTAGGCCAGTACCCGTGCGAGGACCAGCGCGGCAGCAACCTCAGTCTCAACGTGGCCCCCGGCGGCTACCCGGTGAACCCCATGTGGATGGGCACGTGGCACGGCCCGCCCCCCTCGGCCATGTACCCCTACCCTGTGCCCGTGAACACTATGCACCGCGATCCAAGATCTTGCAGTCGATCGGAAAGGTAAATAACTGCTATAGCACAGCCAGCTCTATAAAAAGCCGGGGTGAGAGAAATGCAACACCGCAACGCCTTGATCCGAAAGTCCTATACTCTCGACCACTCTCGAATGGGGACCACGGCGACATAGGCGTTGCTAACCGCGTTATTATTATCCATTAAATCCAGTAAATTCACTTCGTTTCATTTACACGGCATATATCGTGTGTGTATAAAGTGACCGGCCAAGGGACTATCGGACAGCGATGCATGACTTCTCACTACGGCTTTTTATATCGGAGGCTGTGGCTATAGCATTAGATCTACAAGTGTATTCAGGTTGAGTGTTCAAGATCATACCAGATTCTATGAATGTATTTTGCACGTGAAAATGATGAGAAATACTGGAATGTTATGTTATCCGATTCTCATTTAACCTCTGCGAGACGGAGAGTATGAGTGAGGTCTTACGAACTCCAAAGTCGGTACACTCCCCTCGTGAGGGTACCTGGCGTGATTCCATACAGAACCGAATTGATATTGATTGATTGATTGTCTTTATTACTTACCCCAAGAAACATCATTGTTTATAATAGGGATATATACAACAACACATATATACCTAACAAAATAAATCATGGGTCTGAAACTGCTTCGTTTCCGAGATAAGGGTGTCCATTACAATCCAAGTTTAAAAAATGAGGTGAAAAAATATTTCTCACCAAATTTGAGGATCGTACACATTTTAGAGAGGGTATTGATTTTTATGATTTTTCTGTTTTCATAAATAATAATGTGCAATAAATTTTTGGATAATATCTGAACATTTTTATTTTTCATTATGGAGTTCAGAGATATGCCGAGGTATGGTTGTTCGTTTTTCTCGAAAACACGAAGCAAGATACGCAAAAATAGCAGGAGATAGTAATGTTGTATTTTTAGGTGGTTCATATGAATATTCAAAAAGAATTGAAAAAAAAAATACAGGGTGATCTTTTTTCTACAAAAATAGGCAGACTTGCTCGATGGATACTCCCGTGGAAATTCTGGATCAAATTTGAGTTCTGTGATCGAATCTAATTGGTCTAGTAAATGTCTGATAATTGTGTAAATAAACCATACACATGAAGAGGCACCAAAGTCGGTACACTCCCTCGTTAGGGTACCTGGCTTGGTTTCATACAGAACATGCAGAGATAAGTGAATAAGTAATCCTTCCACTATTTGATTTTGCCTTATAGAATATTCAGCGAATCAATAAATAGATGAAAGCTGCTTGAGAGTATTATTTTTGCAAAGAATTGCCTGAAATTTCTAAAACATCTTTCGATGCCATCAGAGAATCGTTTTTTCGTAGAAAATAAAAATGGCAATGTATCACGGCTCGCCTCCTATTTCCCGTTATACAGGCTTTAGTATCGTTTAATAACGTCATTGTGAACGCCTCTGCTTCAATTGCAATCATATCAGATTAGTGGCAGAAGTCGCTGTTAATACTGGCTAAACGACATTTTGGAAAAACTCCACTACTTTGTCTGTTCTAGACCACCGTCACCTACTCACAGCACGAAGTCCAGAAAGTCCACTTTGAGCAGGAAAAGCAGGAAGAAACATCGAAAGGCTGACGACACCGATGACGAAGCCGACCTCGACGACCGACGCTCCACGCTCAGCTATACGGACCGGAGCGAGAGAAAATCCTCCGGCAGGTGTCCGGTGCGAGAAAGACCGCCCAGAGACCCCTCCAGACGGGTCTTGACTGACAGAGCCGAGCGAGCCTCCGTACCGAGAAGCAGACAGGGCTCCTCGAGCGAGACCGACGACGAACAATCAGAGAGCCCCAGCCAGAACGAAGTAGACTCGCCCTCCGAGTACAAGCCAGGAGAGGCCTCGAATGCCCCAGTTGCCGCCTGGGAGTGCGAGCATTGCACGTTCGTGAACGAACCCGGCACCAGAGTGTGCCAGGTTTGCTGTAAAACCCCTACTAGTGACGCCAGGGTGGTCAGTAGGGATTCAAAGCCGAGGAAGCGGAACTTGTCCAGCGACGATTACAGCAAAGATAATAGCGAGACGGAGTCCGTCAGGAACAAAATGGAGAAGCTGCGGATGCCCAGCTCTAAAGCTTCGGCGCTTGAGGAAGGGAAGAAAGGTAGGACCAGTAGGAAGATATCGTTCTGGCCCGGCACGAAATTCACTACCTTCCAAAAATCCAAATAAACTAGTTTTCGTTAAAGTGTTGTCCCGTTTAGTGTCTAACATAAACTTTAAGCTTGTGTGTTTGTGGTGTGTGGTGTGTTTTGTGAGAATAACAATTTCCTGTTGTTGCAGGAGAGGAGGACACTGAGACAGTTTCGCGATCTAATCACATGACAATTCAGTCGGAGTCGCCGGATTTTTGGAGGGAAGACTTGAAGGAAAGTGGCGAAATGAGTGTGTCGGGTGGCGAGAAGAAGAGTAAAGTGGATACCGGGTGCGGGACTTCTTCAGTGGATGTGACGAGTGCACAAACTGATGATAACAGTGAAAATGCTGCTGTTGATGGGGATAAGGATAAATTGGCGAGGAAAATGGTTTCAACTTCTACAGGGACTTCACCTCCTCCCCAGAGTATTTCTACACAGGTGAGCAATTGAAATTATTGGCACCAACAAAAAGTAACCAAAAGTTTGAATACAGAAAAATACGTCCAAATTGGATAAGTAGTCTTGACGAAAATGTATCTTGAAATTTTGGTTACTTTTTGGTGGTGTTTTGATTTCTTGTTGAAGTGTACTTTCAACATTTCATAGATTTATAAAAATTTTACCACAGAATGTTTAGTGACTTAATTTATTAGCATACCTAGCTCGGCTTCTAGCAAGCCTTATAAATCTTCCAATTAAATTCTTGTCAAATTGATGTAACGTACTATTGTTCCGACTCTCATCACACATTTCTCCCTCTTTCTATTTCGTTTTTTCTTCAGACTTATGAAGATGTGTCACTAGAGAAAATCCAGAAAAGCTCTAGATCTCCTCCTAGAGCGGCAAGCAGAAATAGTAGACGAAGTCAATTCAAAAGGTCACAATCTTTGAAAACGTCTCCTTCTCAGAAAAGAGGTTCACAATGGTCCCTGCATAGATCTTCCAGCAGACATTCTTTCACTACTGATTCACAAGTAAGTAAAATATTATATCTTCACTTGTGATTATCATATTCAACCAAATCATAACAAATAACATAAAATTAATATATAAAAGGAAAGGGACCTTATTGCCTAACAGTACCTAAGAACTATACCATTTGGTGTCTAATTTAATTTCACTGTCATTCTCATTCACAGCTTCTTGTTTAAAACGCGCATTCAGTTGACTTATTAATGAAGAACTATCAATTGCTTTCCATTATTTATTGAATAAAGTAGCTTGTTGGTTCTCGAATCCAAATAAAATTGATTAAAAATTGCACCTAAGGCAATGCATGAGAGTAGCAGATATGTCTCACAGTCAAGTTTCTCGATTCTTTGTATCAGAAATAGAGATATCTATTCCTCTTTTCATGATACTAGTGACCATACGTAGATAATGCCTATTTAGTCTCATTAGGATTCTTGGGCCATGATGTAGTGCTTTCCTGAGGTAGACTCATCTATTACATAAATTGAAAAATTAGGTCGTTTTTTTTTCGTAGAGTTTACCAGGAAGTAGAGAAAACAGTCCTAACCCCTACGATTATGAAGAGGATTCATACTATGGAAGGAATTATGGAAGAGAAAGGAAGCCACCATCTCAAAGTCACCGCTTATCTCATAGCATAATGGATCTGAGGAAACCCGAAATGTATCGTAGGCTCAGCCAATACGATATAGGAAATTACAGGGTGCATTATTGATCATAATTCTAGATCTATACTGACATAAAGACATTTATGAGGCTTTGAATTTAGAGATTACCCACGCCATTCATTCACCTTTCTGACTTACACAACAATCTAATCTGTTACACAGCTTTGAAAACATGCATGTTGACTGTTTTTTTTTTAAATGTAATATTTGAAGTATAATGTTTTGCTTTTTGCGACCCCATGGAGAAATGTTGAGATGAATTTGTGATTTCAGACAGATTATCCAGATCCAAGTCACCTACGAACAGATTCCTACCAGCCGTCAGAAAGAGAGTATTCGAGACCACTCGAAAACGGGTTTCAAAGACACGATACATTCAAAGCATCCGGGATGGAGTTGGTGAAACTTCTGCGAGTAAGTATATCTTGATGATCTTTCGTTCCTTGATTAGAGTTTATTCACCGACCTGTTTTTTATTTCCTAAGGACTATAGGTTTTTCTTCACAGGGTAATCATCTATGATTAAAACAGAAATTTTCAAAACCACAAGAATAAAATATATGTAATAAGCCATTGTGAAGTGGAATGAATAGTGAATATATTTAACGTCCTACCGACTGCGCCATATTTCTGAATAAATACCATAAATCATATAACAAACTGAACAAATAAACTATCGAATATACAAGGTGTCTCGAAATTACATAGAAAGATTTCAACCACACTGATTCTAGGAACAAAAATAGTAAAAAAAGTTCATACAAACATGAGCACAGAAATGCTCCCCCGAGATGAAGGTTTTTTTTCTAAATATTTCCGAAACACTCTGTGTTGAGATAACGACATTTATCTCATGTATATTGCTTTTCATACCCGATTTGCTTTTCCGAAATTTTGATCAGGGGCGTGGGTCAGGTGGGACTATGGGCATTTCTTCCCCCAACTTTTTTTCTATGCAATTCTTGGCAGTTTGAGCAAGAAATATGGAAATATCATCATTTCCAAATTGATATCATCAAAAGTGAACGAGATATCTTGAATAATAGAAAAAATAATTGAACTTCAACGCAACTAATCAAGACCGGATTCATGTTAATGTGAACTTTTTTAATTGAAATGAGATCTATCACCCATTTCAGTTTGTACCTCAAAACGTGAATCACCCTGTATAATTCAATATACTTGCAGTAAGGACAAATTTTACGCAGTGAAATTCTGGGGCAAATCATCTATCACTACAGATATGTTGGGATAGTTTGGCATTTCATCTCTGTTGACAGGTTTTTCCCGTGGGAAAAAAGTGAGTACTTTTTTCCCGGATATATATCACATATATATACACTGTTGATGGCTTTTGTTGTGCTATAGTTCCAAAAAATAAGTCAATAATACCGTCTCCGAGAAAGTCCTTTTATCTTCCATTCGACTTCGCGTTTACGGAAATCACTAAACAACCACTAAATCCGCGATTCTTTTAAATCAAATCACAGAATTAGCCTGACAGAAGTGACGTCAAATATTTGATTACTTCGAAAGAATGATAAAGATGCCTACAACACAGGTGTCCCTCCTGTTAAAAACTTCAAATTTCACGTCGATAATTTTCCGATTTCAAAATAATGTTATATCTTCTCAATATTGATTCGTCCTTTCTTCTGTTACAGGAAAAATAGTGTATTATACACGGAAAAATATTAGATTTTAGCTCACCTGGAGCTAAAATATACTACTGTTTCCCTTGTATAATAATAGTTATTTATTATACAAGGGAAAAAAGTAGTAGATTTTAGCTCCAGGTTGTGTTGTCTCCCGACGCGTAGCGGAGGGAGACAAAAAACCGTGAGCTAAAATCTAATATTTTTCCCGTGTATAATACACTATTTTTTTCTGTGACAGAACGAAGGACGAATCAATATTGAGAAGATATTACATTATTTCGAAATCTGAAAATTATCGACGTGAAATTTCAAGTTTTTAACAGTAGGGACACCTGCGTTTTATAGACATCTTTATCATTCTTTCGAAGTAATCAAATATCTGATGTCACTTCTGTCAGTTCAATTCTGTGATTTGATTTTTAAAAATTGCGAATTCAGTAGTTGTTTAGTAATATACGAAACCGCGAAGTCGAATGGAAGATAAAAGGACTTGCAGTTCTTTCTCGGAGACGGTATTATTGACTCATTTTTCGGAACTATAGCACAACAAAAGCCATTAACAGAGTATATATATGTGATATATATCCGGGAAAAAAGTACTCACTTTTTTCCCACGGGAAAAAAGTTATTTATGAAAAGTGACATTTTATAACCTGCCAACAGAGATGAAATGCCAAACTTTTTTCCCGTCACAGAAAAAATAACTTTTTTTTTCTGTCACGGGACAAAAATTGATATTTTTGACTCATCGATTAACCGACAGACAGTATCAAAAAGAAATTATTGTTCAGGAAGCCGAGCAATTCAAATATTCGGCAGATGAAGTCCAAGCGGCTATCATCCACTGTAAAGATATGAATCCCATCGACTGGTTGAGGGAGCACTGGGAACCCACCGTAGCCAGTGTCCAGACCCTCGCCTCCCAAATGGGCAGAGAGGGCCCCATGAACATAGTCGGGACCGTTTCCGAGAAGGAAGCCCGGGACGCTTTGAGAAAACACAAAGGGAATCTGTGGCCTGCCGTAGAAGAATGCGTCGACCAACGGCAGAGAAAGGTTTGCACTTTTTTTTATATTCTCCCGTGATTCACACGTTTAATTATTTTTTTATTCTAATATGTACAGTGTGTCTCCCCATTCCATCGACGAGCTTAACTAAAAAGTCATTGATTTATAATGCTTTCAAATTATATTATAACCATCTTCCAGTCGATTTCAGAAATATTGTTTCTCCAAAACATTTTAGGAGATCTGTGAAACAACATCTCATCAAAGAAACATATTATTGTGTTCAAAAATATCTAGCTAGAGATTGGAATAATTCAAGTTGATTTTTTTATGACATGATAGCTCCTGACGGAAACTCTTATTCATTTAGGTTTATGTTATCAATTTGGTACATAGATTGTAGCATCATTTTCTTGCTATAGACACCGTGATATTAGTTATATTTTATTCATTATGTATGTATGAATGTATGTAAGTATGTATGGGTGTATGTATGTATGTATGACTTTGTCAATGAGAATTTTTTCTTCTTCAGACAATGAAGTATATTTTGATTGATTGATTGTCCAGTTCTCGATGCCTTTGAGCGATATCTCAGTTATCTTTGGTGTTTGGAGATAGAGTGTTGCGGTTCGCACATTACTCTCTTACTTTTTTTGTGAAACGAATAATGCCGTAAACAGAATTTTCACAGTCCTCCATGTTTTTGAGATACAGGGCGAAGTTGAGAATTCTAACTTTTTGAGCAACCGGCCCGTATCTTGGTTACTTTCCAACTTATCTGCAGGATTTATTTTATTTCTGCAATCATTCATGTTTAGAACATGGAGCCAAAATAGTTGAAAAACATTCAACTATTATACAGGGTGTTATTTAAGTACGTGGCCAAACTTGAAGGGGTGATTCCTTGGGTGATTCTAAGACGAAAAGTTCATATAAACATAGGTCCGGTAATGCTTCGTTTTCAAGATACAGGGTGTCAAAATTTTTAAAAGAAATCGTTTTTTTCGTAAATATCTTAATAACCCTTCAACCGATTTTATTGAAATTTGGCAGTGTTATTCATGGTCGTAAAGGGCTAATTTAACATTAACTATATCCAAAATATTAGTAAGACCCCAGTTTATGATGGTTTGGTAGTTGAAATGTTTTATTGTGTTGTCACAGGGATGTGCAATGAAGTGATTTTTATGTTTTTTCTCAAAAACAAAGCAAGATACGAAAAAAATTCTAGATATGAAAAAGTTGTAATTTTAGTTGCTCAATGTGAAACAAATACGAAAATTGCAAAAAAATCAGTGGCGCACATTTTTTCTGTCAAAAATATTGGTTACAGTGCCTTCCGGGACGCCACTGGACATGATAATTTTGATATAGTTAGGGTTAAATTAGCCCTTTACGACCTTGAATAACACTACCAAATTTCAATGAAATCAGTTGAAGGGTTATTAAGATATTTACGAAAAAAACGATTTCTTTTAAAAATTTTGACACCCTGTATCTTGAAAACGAAGCATTACCAGACCTATGTTTATATGAACTTTTCGTCTTAGAATCACTCAAAGAATCACCCCTTCAAGTTTGGCCACGTACTTAAATAACACCCTGTATATTCTTGATGAGCTATGAGACATTCGAATCAAACTGGATAGAAATACCCATTTGAATAAAAATATTTTTTATTCTAAAAATGAACGATTACAGAAATAAAATGGGTACGCCACTGTATTATACGTAGAAAGTAATATAAGGCCCCATTCTCATGCTGCCGATGAGTTGAAAAGGATCCGAGAAGCGGGAGTTGCTCAAAAAGTGAGAATTTTCAACTTCACCCTGTATCTCAAAAACATGAAGAACTGTGAAAATTCCGATTACGGCATTGTTCGTTTCTCAAAAAAGTAAGACAGTAACATGAAAATCGCAAAGCTAACAGATATCGGGCAAAAGCATCGAAAACTGGCTATGGATTTCACGATTTCATCACTCAATATCTTGAAATTTACAATGTTTCACCATTAACCTAACAATTTTTCAACGCCTTGGAAGGTGTTTAACTATGTTAACATTTTAGAACTCAATATCTTATTATGAAATTCTACGTGGGTATACAGAGTTATCCAAATTAAGTATCCACATTCCACTGCAATTGGTGACTTTATTTTTGTTGAAAAAACAAAATTGTTCGAATCCCCGCAGTATATTCTACTGGAAGGTATTTTTTCTATAAGCTTTCTTATTTAAAACTCGAAGTTCTCACAGAAAAAAATTATAGACGAAGGTTTTCATGTAAAAAATGCATTTTCTGTCAATTATTAACATGATTGTGGTTGAACATTATAATTATGTTTAGCTGCACTAAAAAATCTTCCATACTTTCAATGTACAAGATGTTCTTTGAAAAAAGTGTTGATAAGTCTTCTAGTTTGGCCTACTTATTTTACACAATGAACTACTTATTATTATCCACTTTCATCACCATTCCCTAAATTCCCAATTTGTCCACTTCTTCTTTGGACTTTTTGAAGGGTATGGGTATAACTACATATTTTGATTTTATTTGTGGAAAAATAATAAACAAAATTGAATCAATCATAATAGGGAGTGTGTCCTTGGATAGATAAAACGATTCTTGTGAACAGTGAAACAATCTTGATTGAAATTGATACTTTGTTGGGTTTAGCCCTGGTTGATTAAATTAATTTTTCGAAAAACCTATTTTTCAGTAGAATAAAGTGCTTTTCATGTGGCAAATACAACAAAGATTTATCTAAGAAACCTCAACTACCAAATTTCAAATTCTTTTTGTTAAATTTCATCTCAAATCGTATTACCTTTTTCAACAGATACATGAAAAAGTTGAGATATGAACCTAGATATTGTTTGGTTAGGAACAACTCACCTGACAAACTTTTTTGACGACGTATCTGAAACTTTAGACACCGTCTGTTTCTCGAAAACGAAGCAAGTTGAGACACACTTTTTTTTGATGACGCATGATATGACATCCTGTATAATTTTTGCAGTATGCAGAACTAGCTTCTCGAGGTGACTTCAACAGAGAAGACATTGTCACAGTTTTGACTGCAAACCACGGTGACTTGGAATCTGCTTTCAACGAGTTGAGTAAAACTCAATTGAAGCCATTTCTTATGAGAATTTGGGGACCTCCGGTCGGTACTGAAAATGAGGCAGGTAATGAGGGGGCTACATTGAAAATGATAAGGGGGGAAGGTAAGTGATAATTTATTGATAAGAAGGTATTTTGAGAAAAAACTATTTCAGATGTGCCGTTGAAAGACAGTGTTGATAAAGAAGATGCCAAAGCGGTAAGTACAATTGCCCCCTTAAATACAAACAGCGCCCCTCAAGTAAGTGCTCCTCCAAATGCAGTTTCAGACGCCACAATAAACCAAGAAATTCATCGAATAAATCAACAAGAACCTTTAGAAGATAAAATTAGATTAGGAACCTTAGATGATATTGAAATAGAAATTTTAAAAAACTTAGAGGACATCAAGACTATCAGTAAGAATTTAGATAAAGCTCATTTAGAAGATTTAGAACCCAGTGAGGTCGACGCAAATTTAGAACCTATTGAAACAGAGGAGTCTCATATGATACCAAATAAAATCTACGTTGAGAAAAGTCGCACTGTAATTGAGCTCGTTGATGAAACTGATATGAAACCTTCGACTACCAAAGACTCTAAAACTCCTTCCATTTCTGACAGTGAAAGTAGCGATGAATTTCAGAATCAGGAATTTGTTGATGCAGTGGAAAGTCCTACCGAAACGAAATCTTTTCCCGATTTCAAAAAACCCGAAATTCCTAAGCATGAAAGTAATTTAAGCATCGTCCTTTACGGAAATGATACAAATAATGTGGCTGGAAATGATAATTTGTTTGTTGATGATAAAGCTCATAAAGACGAGACAAATGGAGATAGTAGTTTTATAAAGGATGAACAGAATGAAATGAATAACAATGAAACTCTATCGAGCAATGAAGAAATTTTCAACGCTCTAAGCAATAAATATGATACTCCTGAAAGTACTCCTCTAGAAATTGATAGTAGCTCTAATTTCTCTAGTGAAATAACAAATAATATTGCCGATCCTCCAATAAATCGACCTGTGGACATCCACATTACAACGCACGAAGAAGTTGTTGATCAATTAATTGGGAATGAAATTAATGCAACAGAAAATCAAGAAATTGAGAGTGGATACATGGAAAACAATGTGGTTCAGACAAAAATTGATGAAACAGGAATGAGGTCAGTTTCTACTAAAATTGAAATTCCTATTTCGACAAAGAATCTGGAACCACTGGAAACACAAGCTAATCCACCTAAGCTTTCTGATTCTACTATAAGTTCCCTTCTGGATACTAATAATAATAAAAATGAATTTGAAGTTGTGAATAAAACAAAAAACTATAATGGTGCTAGGAAGCCTCCAAATATACCTATGACAGAAAATAAAAATAAACTCTCCCGCAGACAGAAAAAGAGTATGAGAAAATCTAAAAAACGATCTGAAAAACGTGCTTTGAAAAGAGAATCTAGTACAACCGAATCCAGCAGTGAAGTTCAAGAGGATAATGAAGAATGTTCGAAATTGAAAGAAAATACAGAAATTACAATTGAAACAGTTGAAGATATTGCTAAACATAATATTGAATCGCATTCAATCAACTTTGTTCCAACAAAAGTATGCAGGAAGAAGCATCTGAAGAAAGATGAAGGCCAAAAATATTTAAAGTATAAAAATAAAGAAAAGGAAAATATTGAGAAGGAATCAGTTGAATCTTTAGAAGAAGTATCGACAAAAAACGTAATTCCATTGATTGTGACCACCACTGAAGCTGCATCTTTACCTAAAAACCATTCTTCAAACAACGAATCACCAGTTGAGTCTGCAGAAGAACATAAGCAAATTACAAACAATGAACAACAAATAGTGTCAGCTAGTGATGAACAAACGACAGGGACTGATGATATGAAAGATCAACATACAGATCCATTTCAAATCTTAAATGAAGGCGGAACAGTTGTTAATACTGAAGTGAATGAAACAGAAAGTGCAGAAGGTATAAACGGACAAGCTGAATCACTGCAAAGTACACCAACAGGGGAACCTATGCTGGATCCCACAAAACCTCCAAGAATTTCGACTACTGTACAAATGGCGCAGAACAAGCAAATGACTATTCCGGTAGCAAAAAGACCTTCCAGAATACCACTACCAAGACAACGTTCCATGTCGAAAAGTGAACCAAAGTCACCAGTTTCACCGTCTACTAGCAGAATTCCAATAAAAACCTTCTCATTGCCCCGGAAACTTGAGAAATCAGATGGAAATAAGAGTACTGAGGGAAATAAAGAACATACTGAAACCCCAAAGCAAAACCTCCCTTCTAATGCACTAACTACCGTATCTGCTGAAAACCAAGAGGATGGATCTAAAGATGAAAAGGCAGCAAACGATCCCACTTCACAAAATAGTATAAATGTGGATGTCTCAACCTATAAAACGAACAAAATGAAACTATCCTGTACAACAAAAAACTCTTTTGACTCGACCACAAGTTCTAAACAGCTCTCTTACACCAAGTCCTTAGACAACGACAGTGACTCCTCAGTATCGGATAGTAATGTAGAAGAACTGCTCGATCCTAGTACAGACGATGACAGTTACGAGGAATTCGAAGATTACGAGGAAGTTTTCGAATCTGATACTGAGGATTACGAAGAGTTTGACAAGAAGAAGTCGATGATCCCTAAAGAACTCGATATCAATTTGTCGCAAATAAGTGACAGGATCAACACTCTCACGAACAACTTGAATTATGATCCGAAGAAATATAGTATAGATGAAACCTGCGAGTCTGAGGAATATTCTTCAGATGAAGATGTGGAAGAAGATGATTATATTGTTGATGGTTTTGATGAAGAAGCGAATGAAACTGCCGAAAATGATGTGAAAAATCAAACAAAGCAAACGACTGACCTAGAATTGATGGAGGTAATATTATTATGTTTTAGAGACTAATAAGTTCCAGTGTTTTGCTAGTTTTTCTGTTTTGATTATCATAAAAACACGTTCACTTTGTATTTAGTTGATCATTGAAATAAGTCACTACTTATCTACAAAATCAAAAAATCAACTTGATGATACACAGAAACTGATTCAATTTACATATCAATATCTATCCGGATCATCACTAGTACTTTCTGTTTCCGAATGTGAATCGTCTATAGGCTATATAATTTATTGTTTGAAAATTCATGGAATATATGTCAGTTTTTTTCCCCTTAGAGACAAGCCCGTAGGTTTCTGGCGGAAGGACAAGTAACTAGTTATCAACAAGCGGAATTAGCAGTGAGCTTGATGGCCTTGAAATTTTCTGTAGAAGAAGCCCTGGAAGCTGTTAAAGACTGTAACACTTTGGATTCTGCTATATCATTTCTGCAACAAGACTGTGAACTTTGTGCTGGAAAATATGCTATGAAACAGGTACAAATATCAACTACCATAAAAAACATACTGTGAAACTTTTATAGAATGTGATACCATTTTCTATACCTCACTTGCTAAATCCTTCGCCTTTATACCGTTAAATGTCATCAGACATATGGAGTTGCGCCTGTCTGCAAATCTTTCTCCATGTTTTCCTGTCTTGTGTCAGCTCCCTGATTTCATCCCATATTATTCCCAATTTTTAGCTTCCTCTCTCATTCCATCATTCATGTTCTTTTTGGTCTTACTTCACTGATAATCCGTTGCAATCGCGCTTAAAAAATTTTTTCGTAAGTTCGTTTTCGGAAATGTGCCACAAGTGACCAAACCATCTGAACTATTGAACGTTCAATTTCTATTTTCATATCTCAAAACCCATGTCTCACTGCTGTACATCGTTGTTAGGTGGATAACCTGTTTGGTTACGGTATTTTCGGTATTTTTATGTTTGTTGGTAATCCTTCCCTTCCAAGAAAAGCCTTTTCCATCACGGTAAATAATTAATTGACTTTTGATCTCAAGTATTCGAAGTCTTCCACTTCCATTCAACTGTATGCTGAACTTATTAGTTGTTTTAAAGATTTTGTACAGTAAACACTATATTCTCAAAAACTTAAATTGTTTGACAAATAGTTATAAGTGTTACACTCCCCTCGAAAGTGTACCCGTCGTGTTTCCATACAAGACATATAGAAAAAAATCAACGTGTTGAGTTTTCAGCTATCTGTAAATTGTTTGACAAATAGTAATAAGTGTTACACTCCCCTCGAAAGTGTACCCGTCGTGTTTCCATACAAGACATATAGAAAAAAATCAACGTGTTGAGTTTTCAACTATCTGACGTTACGACTTCATGATAGTGTACCATTTTTGTGTCGAAAACTAGTTTTTCACTATTTTCGATAACATATTGAAAAAATTCATACCTAATCAATTAATCTGCTTTACTTTTGAACAGGGTAACTTTTATGACTTAATCAAAACAGTACCGAATTCTTATAGATTGTATCAATGTTAAGATGTACTCACCGATGTTGTCAGGAGTGTGCAAAAAACTATTTCACGGTTCAAATCACAGACAGAAGTATAATGGATTGCACGTGTCCTTTTTGCAAACTGCCAGAGCTTGGTAGTTCGGATACCCATGAAGATGAAGTGACCGATTATTTCGGAAACCTGGATATATTACTGAAAGGTATCCTAGATGAGCCTGTACACGAACTGTTCCAGAGGAAATTGAGAGATAGAACATTGATGCAGGATCCTCATTTCAAGTGGTGTGTTCAGGTATGTTTTCGAAATATTTTCAGGGGAGAGAATAAAACACACCAGGCGGTCCACTAGCTTAAAATATACTTTGACTACTTTGAGAAAAAATTATAGTCTTCGCGTCTCTCAAAATATTATGAAGATGCATAAATTATAAACGATAAATCATCAACAATTCTTAGTTTGGGCCTGTGATTTGGAAATACAGCATAATTCTACGCTACATGCCAATAGTATGTATTTCACTGTTTTATTTTTCAGTGTTCTTCGGGCTTCATAGCACATCCTCGGCAGAAAAGGTTGATATGTCCTGATTGCAAATCTGTTACTTGTGCAAGTTGTAGGAGGCCGGTAAGTTATCTATATCAACTATAAATAAACTGTTCATATGTTTTTACAGCAATATCAGATGTTCACCAGTTATTAAAACATAAAAAATAGAGAAATTGTCATAGTCAGGTCTCCATTCTGAAATAACTGAACAAGGTGATGAATATCAGAACAAAAATCTTTGATGATGCAAATTAAAATTTGGAAACAACCCATTGAATAATTCTTTACACTCAGTCAAATCACCGTGTATACGCAGAAAAATAAGGGGGAATCGAACTTAATTATATATTATCATTGGATATCAACAAACTCAAAATTTTTACAGCATTGTGTATAGGTACATATCAGTAGACCTGAGTAGACCTGGATAATGCCAGGATACAGGTTATTAATACTCTCGCTGTTCGATGGTATATGAATTGAGCAGATCAAATTTTGGGTTGAAGTGAATCAATTGAGTTTTGTCACATGAAGAATCTTTAATGTTTGTTTAAGTGGGAGAAGCAACATGAAAGAATTACTTGCGAACAGTTTGCCCAATGGAAAGACGCCAACGATCCCGAAAATCAGGCGACGGCAGTAGCGAAACATTTGGCGGAAAACGGTATCGACTGTCCCAAATGCAAGTTCAGATATTCCCTAGCAAAAGGTCAGTTTCAATATCCATTAAGCTCATATTCTAGGATAAGAAATTTTGTATAGTGGGATTGGCAAAGATGGCTAGAAGGTGTAAAATATCAAAATGTGTATAACATTTCTATTCGTGTTAGGTTAGGGGTTAGGTTCAAACGTGTGTGGGCCCATGTCAGGCCCTCCACTGCGGCCAATGGCCTATTGTGGCTCACCCTATGGTTATATTTCTCCCAGTATATCTAATCTCTTGGCGAAATTAAGGAGTACGCTGGGAGAACAATTCATCAGGTTTTCTGGCCCTACTGTTGTATTGGCAAATGTTGAAAATCTGATTCTGGCCGCTGCAGGGCATGTACATAAAATGTGTTAATTAATGAAACCTTGTCAAGAAAGACACTTTTATATTAATGAAAGTGTCTTATTGCCGAGGAGCTTTGTGCTTTGTTACCACAGAAGACTGATTTTCGGTTTAGAATATCGCGTAAGTTGTCTAGAAAATGTTAAGAAATATGCAACTTCAACAGTTCCACTACTAAAAAGATTATAGTGTAAATTTTGCTGTACCACTTATCATCATATTATTTACTGCGGTAAAACTCGAAGATTCGAAGAAGCCATTGTCTACGTATCCTCACATTACTGTTTTTGTTCACCATTGTTACCTATTACTAATAGTCTTTTTTCTCATTATCTTTATTTCGATATTCTACATTATTGTATTACTTTATTTGGAGCATCTACATTATTGATATTGTTAATTAGTAGATGTAAATATGATAATAATCAATTGAATGTAAGTTTAATGTTGATACAGTAGTAAACTGTTGGTGTACATGTATTCCATTGAGATAACACAATTTATATTTCCATGCATGTCATTTATGATAATATTATTACTCCGATACCAGCAAGCTTCAAATTGCTGTTTAGGAATTATATTGGATTACTATGGGAAGTATACTCTTATTTAACTTAGGCTATACCTATGTTAAATTGTATTGTGTTATACTAAAGGGTGCTGAAAAAAATGGAATATACATTGACGTGGATAAACAATTGTATTGAAAAAAAAAACGTCATTGATAAAAACTGCGAGATACCCACAACGGCCCAAAAGTGGGTATGCGTGGTTGTTCTGGTATATTATTGAGTGTGAAGATGCAAAGTGGAACGACATTTTGATCAATTATCAATGAGTCTGCCATGATACACCGGCATGGTATGAACCACAACACTAATAAAAAAAGCGGAGCAGGAGATTATCTTTTCAGGATGAAATCGACGACTCTCTATTCCATGTCAACACGAAATGTTTTTATGAAGGACAAACACCTATGGTCGATTTCAAACATGTCGATCCATCGTAATTTTATCCAGAGATAATTTACCCACTTTTTATCGTTTCAGGTGGTTGCATGCACTTTACTTGTACTCAATGCAAATACGAGTTCTGTTACGGCTGTGGAAAACCTTTCATGATGGGTGCCAAATGCAGCGTGAGCCAGTATTGTGCCAAATTGGGGTTACACGCACATCATCCCAGGAATTGCTTGTTCTATCTGAGAGATAAAGAACCCCACGAACTACAAAAGTTATTGACTGTGAGTTGGTAGACTTATTTTATAAAATGTTTTGTTCTGAAATATTTGAGATTTCAACTGTTTGACGGTCAATTTTGGAAATGAAGATGGGACAAATTTTCATTCATCATTCATTTACCATCAGAATGGGGTTACGTTGCGAAAATCTAGATAAGGCGATTATAGATTGCTAGAGGAATTCTCGTTACGCTAGTGTGATAATTCAAAATTCTTCGTTTTGAGAAAATCGACTTATTTTCTTTATGTTCTGAATAGAAACAAACGGGTATTTCCAAGATACAAGTTCTGAGTTGAATAGCAATACGTTTTTTTGAAAATTCGCATAAAGTTGAAATGCAATAGTTAGGAAGAGAAGTGACTAGGTACGAATGAGGTATAGGTGCATTTTTGGAATGAAGGAAGTACCTATAATGAATGAAGTTTAAAATTGAATCTATTCTTGCGAATTCTTTTAAACACACATTTTTCCAAATGTTTGATCCGAAGTAATTATAATATATTTTTCAAAATTGGAATTTGATTATGAGGTGGAGCTTGATTCAAAGGTAAATATTCGGAATCACATACGAAAGTTTCATCCTAGTTTTGTATTTCTTCTTATTATTCCTGAGGGATATCTTCTCCTTGTTGCTATTTTTTCTGCAAAAGCTTGCCTACTCCATTTCATTGAAAGCAATGCATACAATAATGTGACAAATCGAAATATTCCATATTGTTAACGTTACAATTCAAAATTTTGTTGCGTTTAATTCATTATTTCATTTACTGATGAAAATGTAATAACTTGACAACTCAAAAAATTTCAAATTGTGTTTGAACAATAAGGTGACTCAATGACTTGTCACATTATTTACCATACAAATTCCCTCAAAGTCTAAATACGAGGCGTATCCTGCGAAGACTTGGTGACAAGGCAAAAAGTTACTATCTTGCTCGGCTGTAGCACTTTCTTATCTTTTAGTGCGACCGTAACGCGATGTCAAACCTAGAGATGTCACGATATTCTAGAAGTGTAGAGCTCGAAATGTGCTATCCGACGGTGGTTCTAACTCAAAAAATCAACTTCTTTGAGTTGCCACACTATTGTTCTCAATGTGCGTTTTGATCATTTTGAATATATTGAAGGATAAAACGAATTGTCAATTTCGTTGATTCACCAGAGAAAATACGAGGAATCGAGAACAAAATGATGTTAATCTTCTAAAATATTCATTGTTTGTCTTCAAATACAGTGTCAAATCTCTATTAATCTAATTTAACACTGCTCCTGAAATACAACAGGGTCGACCAATTCCTTCAAGTCCTGATTTCTACCAATAAATGAGTGGGACTAACTTGATTCCGGTTTATATTCCAGGACAATAAGATTCCTTTCGATACCGAAATCATAAGTGATAAAGAAGAGAATGCTTCTGCCATAAGGAAATGTTCCATACCATTGCAAAGGGAAACACCGTCTGGAATAGTTGACACAGTTTGCAGTAACGAAGTCCTTCCAGGGCAAGCTGGCCTTTGCAGGTAATTTATTTCATTTATGCACCACCGGTACATAATCTATGGATTAAAGTCCCAAAAAGCGGAGGTAATAGTGATGAGAAACATAAAAATATTATGTATGATGATGACCATTTGTAATGAAAATTATCGATAACTTTCGGTGAATACATGTTGTCAGGGGCGTCCGCAGAAATAATCTCAGGGGGGGAGCAAGCCACAATAATGATGAACAATATTCAGTAGATATAAAAAAACAGTTTCTGCGCGACCGAACAAATTTTCCGGGCAATAAATCTACCGCTATGTTTGCAGCAGCTTCTCCAATGTTTTTTTTTTCAATATTTTTGTAATATTGATTGAAAAAACTTGGGAGAACAGTTCAGAAAATATGCTAGCACACTTTTTCGATGTCCATGCACAAAACAATATGGCTACTCTTATTTATCGGTCGTCCTGATGATCAAACTCAATTTTGTGTTCAGATTTTTATTTTCGTGAATTAGAAATGTCATAGGTATTGACAATAATTGATTTTATTATTGAGATTCTTTCAATTGAATTCATTGGGTCAAATAGTATATACACCTCGGAAGTGAGTTCTTTCTTCCCTCAGAGCATTTTAGCGTCCTCTGACTACAAAATCACCTCGGGAAAAATCATGCACTTTCCTCCCCCGATGTATAATCTACTATTGTTGAAAAATTGTTGTAAAATTGTTCTATCCGTCATTCGGTTGCCCCTTTACGAGCAACCCTCAGAAGTCTTCGAGAGTTTTGTGCGAGCAAGGAATGACGGGGGTCTTACCTTCATTTATTTCATTGATAAAATTAACTTTATCTCATTTTATAAGATTTCGATGAATACTAGTCAAACAAAGTTTCTGAAAGTCACTATAATAAGCTCCAATCGGAATAGGAATTGAATAATCAAACGTATCTTGATTAGAATGTGTCTGAGTAAGGACCAGGCCCTCCGGACGCCCCTGCATATTGTATGAATGCAGGTTGAAAAAAGCACCAGTGCTATTTACAATACACTCAACTAGCAACAGTGAAGATTCGTCGAAAGTTATCTGTAATTTTCATGCGCGAATATGATAAGGGATTTTTTTAAATCAAAACTATAATCGATTCCTCTTCAAAATTGAGTTTGAATATTGTTTGTATTCATCATTGCACTAATGCCACCATGGAAATTTATTACCAAACTGCCAACTCTTTGATATCTAGAGAGTGTTCCTAAATGTCGTACACATATTGAAGGAGGTTATTTTTTGGTCTAAAAGTTCCTATAAACATAAGTCTCGGATCGCTTCTTCGTTTTCGAGGAACAGGCCGTCAAAGTTGAAAATATGCATAAACTATTCTTTTGTACACCCTGTATAGCTTTTCGAGATGGCAATGTTAGGCGAAAATTTCAGCATGTTACATATTATAAATTTTCACTAATCTGAAGGATGTCTTGAATGGAGTACTCGGCGTTTGCATTAAAATTAGGAGTCATTCAAACATCTGTTTCAAAGGTAGATAATAAAAACTCTATTTATTCAATAACATCATGGTAGTTATTGTCAAAATTGACATCAAATTATTTTGACAGTATTTAATACTTTAGTGAGACCATGGACGAGATTAGTATAGAAGAGTATTCACATATGCACCTCATGTATGGAACGAAATGAGACAGACATTTTTTCATATGAAGTACAAGTACTAACAATATTTTGGCTCACTCACTCACTTTTAGTACTGAAATGAACCGAGAAATTACCCCTTTCAATATGTACATACATGACATAAATAAACAAATTTTAGGTTGCACTATATAGAATATTTGAGCCTCCTCATTCATAGACATAAAATTGACACAATCGAAATGCTAAGCGCTGATGATTTAGAGACTGTTGTGAGAAGAGCATCGAAAAAGTTACCTCCGAACTGTTTTGGAACCCCTAGAGAAATGTACCGACAGCGGTTGAAACAGGTATATGAAGAAGTGAGCTATTCTTTTTTCAAAAAATGCAAGTCGTTTTCGTATCTTTCCATCCGTTCAATGATTTATGGTGGTGAAAACGAAAAAAATGGCAATCTTAGTGTTTCCATGGTTATTTAGCTCTTTGCTTGCATTTTGATTTTGAACACACCATTTGTATATTGTCACTTACTGCCCCTCCGAATTATAGCTTTTCTTATGGTGTTTGTCTAAATTCCAAGGGGCCGATTACAGAGTATAGAGGTCTGATTCTGAATAAGGAAAGGAACTACTTTTACAAAACCGTATTCTACCGATTACCACCAACGAATCAGATATTTTTGAAAAAAGACATCGCTCACTGCTTCCTTCCCCCCAAACCCCACTAACTGCTCTACGGCGTCGTCGCCACAAGAGTCTTCTCGTCATGAAATCTTCAGGAACGAAAATACCGGAAGATGTGTGGGTGTAGAAGCAGCGACACGACACAATATGCTATCGGTGGCTCTCCGAAATCAGAAGCCGTGTAATAACGTAATATAAGGAAGGAAAATATCCTTCCTGCATGAGAACCTGACTCGGCCTAAAGGAACCTTCCTCAAACGTAAAATTTTCGATAAATTGGGAGAATTAAGAGTTAAAATTTTCACTATAACTTCTAAAACATGAGGTCAATGTCAAAGTCAAAAATCCTCCTATTATGTCGAGTGAAATATTTAATTTGGATGTAGTTTTATTCAACTACAGGACTCCTAACAACTATTACCTACGGCCACAATAGAAAGTAGACAATAACACATCCCACAGTTTTCGTTTATTCCGCCTGTATAGGTATGTCAAGATCGCGAATTCGACGTCAACAGCGGATGACATAACTGTCATCAAGAATTTTAATTCCGACTGTTTGTCAAACTTTTTTGATGTACTATATATGGCACTAGGTGGAGGATAGGTCGTAATGCGTGTTGTAAAACAATTACGCACTCATGGAATTACGCACTAGTAGCGCCAACTGGCCGTGGCGGCTCCTCAGAGAAGGCAACGGAGGCTGAGCCTCCTCTAGAATTTCTTTACATGGAATAGTTCGATATACTTGTATAAAATATTATACCGAAATAACGTTCGTTTTATCGGTTTTATTTCCTGATATCAACTAGGATTTGAAAATTTGGCAACAATTCTTTTATACTTCGAAGTATTCAGAATAGAATACAAATTTTGAGATATAGCGACATCCAACGGAAAGCAGTCTCTGACCAATGAAATTCGCCAGAATCGCGATTCGCGAAGGAGCATGTGTGACTGAGATGTTTATTAGTATAATATGATGCATGTTTGCACTCTTCTGATGCGCTTTTGTTCTGACAAGACTTGACGGCAATGAACAGTTGAAAATCGCAATTTAAGGTTCTAATTACATCTTATTCACATCTCATTCTAATTAAAATAGAAATAGAAACTCAATTATCAGTATTTTATTAAACACTATCAAAAATAAACCAACTCACATCATTTATGTTATTTTTTGTCGTTAGTATAAGTGATTGTTGTTATTTGAACCGATGGCCACTGAAAAATATGGTAAAAATATGACGATATCAGCGCCTCTTACGGATTACTTATGAACAAGAACCCTTTCGAGTGTCTTCAGTTTCATCCGTAGAATTTCACATTTCTCATTCAGCCTCCCCTGTTGAAAGGAGCACGAGGCGCCACTGCCAACTGGTAAGACTGAAAATATAAGCCCTCACTGACAAGGCAACGCCCACAATTCTGTAGTCGTGTTGTCACGTTGACTGGACCAAAGGTCCTGTACACAAATTCGTTATAAGCAATAAGCAATATTAATTGAGTAATGATTCGATTGAAAAAATATGGAAAAATCAGTCTACTCGCCTATTCCGAGAGCCACCGATGCTGGTGCTGCATGTTCGGGTATTCTCGTTCTGAAGATTTCACGATGGGCAGACTCTTGTGCCGTCGCCGCGCCTATGCGCAGGCTGCACTACGTCGAACACCTGGTCGGGCTCATCGGCAGACACCGCGTCGACCCGGTGCCCATCCTCGACCTGGCCGAGGTCAGCCAGGAGCTGCGCCGGCGGGGCCGCGAGCTGCCCGAGCGGGCGGCCCGCTGCGACGATCACGAGTACAGGCGGCTGTGCGCGCAGGTAGGTGGGCGGGTCGCTTGGCTGGTAGTCTGCCCGTGCGCCCGACAGTGTGGCTTGTTCGGCTGTAGGTGTCGCTAGAGTCACTGGATGGTATGAGTAGATTAGAGTTTGGACACCGCTGATCTTTTGTGTCGTTTTTTATTCACTGTACTTCAATGGCTTGAGGGAATGAAAGAATAAGACATATATTCTGCTCTTTGTCTTTTTAATGATCCTAATAGGTCGCGTGCACGATGAACGACCCTGGAGGTAAAATATTGAACACAACCTCACTCTTCTGTAAAACATTGAAACACAACCTCACTTTTTTTTATTTGTTTACAGAGGAATCAAAGGATTGAAATAGTTTTTCACAATATTTTGGCATACGAATCGTGTTTTTTGAGCTATTCATTAATTCAAGCATGCCTTCTCATTGTGCTGTTGTACAATGCACAAAAAATGTAGCGAGAGACGAAGGACTATAATTTTTCAGGTTAATAGTTTCATTACGTAATTTTATCATTTCTTATTGAAATGAAATTCCTTCTGCAAAAGAAGTTATAATACTGCTGATAGATTGAAAATGTCTACAACACACACGATCATAAATCATAATATCCCGTCAGCATGTCAGACCAGTGCTCCCGTTTGATTGCATGAATCCAATCTTCTTGCATTATTGTAGGAATTTCACGAGTATTTCTATAAGCTCCTATTGCAGGAAGAATTCGGATGAGAAATCAGAGAAATTACCAAATTTCAAAAATGAAAACTATATGTGAGTGACTATAGTATATAGGTACATACTTTTAAATCGTAATGTACCAACAGGATTCCTAGGTCTCTCGCTGCATTTTTTGTGCATTGTACAGCATGTGATGACATGCGCAAATGAATGAATAGCCGAAAAACACGATTCGTATGCCGAAATAATTGTGAAAAACCATTTCAATCACTTGTAAACAAATAAGTAAAGTGAAGTTGTGTTTTAATGTTTCATCTGACAGTTCTTGCACGCAACCCATAGCGCCTGAATGTCAGATACGTTTCTAGAGGTTAGATTCTGTCAAATCAATCATAGTCGTAGGTGGAAAATCGAAATATGGTATAAACACCCTCTTCAATTTATAGCAATACACTTTTCGCAGAACAACAGTTATAAAAATGGAAGGAATGCATCTATCTAACAACATTTTGATATGACATATAATTATAGCTAGTTCGGTCGATATTGAAAACGCCATTCAATGATATATATCACGTTGAAATTTACTTGATTTCCTCAGTTTCGTTCTCGAATTGTCAATTTCAGTGTAGTTTTGCAATCAATTCCTCTTTCTTCATGATAATATTGTTTTTCATTTCGTACTGTGATGATAATAAAAGATTTTTTTCTCAGTCTGTTTTGTGAATGGATGGAGAAGCAGATTTTCTCAAACGGATCTTAAAATCTTCTGTTTGAAAATGAGCCTAAAATATAGCATCATTCTATTTTGCTTGTCTTCAAATTAATTTTCCATCCAGACCGTTTCATACATTCCTTCCATAAGAGAATGGTTGATATTTCCTTTGGAAAATTAAATATAATAAATCCATTTTTTTCAGAATTCCCACAATTCATTTTCATTTATGCTTTCTTGTCAATAGTTTATGAAATTATATTTCAATTCTGTCGTCCATAAAATTTATTGTCAAATTCAGACAATTTTGAATAGCGCAGGACGACTATGGTGCTCTTGTCACAATGCAAGATGTGTAACTTAATAAATCTGAACATTCAAAAACACTAACAGTAATCATTTTTGTGTCCGAACTCTTATCTAACTAATACCATCCATTGACTCTAGGTCTCGCTAGAGTGCCTGGAACATATCATTTTGAGCTCTTTGAAGAGTGTGGACACACTTGTCATCTTGTTATACAGCTGAACAAAAAACATGAGACACAAATATGATTTATAAGGGATGGAATGTCATTTTTCTGTACCCCTTCATAGAATTAGTGCAGACATATTACCCTAACATTGACGTAATACCAAAGGCACATAATGCTCATTGTGTAATTGTATCAATATCAGTTCAATGAATGTATTTCCATGAAATGAATATTGAAATTTGAAGCTTCAAGGAACATTTGAAATGCCGTCTTCTCTTTGGGCAACTCAAATAAATGTTAATGTTAACCATCATTCTGGGAATTTTTGTATTTCGTTACCGAACAAAACATATTCGAACACATTGTCGCGGGGACGCCTATTCAATTTTCAGAAGTGACGTTTCAAATCTGAAAATGATGACAGTTCGAAAATGTGAGTGGTGACAAGCGTGTCCACACTCTTCAAAGGGCAAACAATGAGATATTCGAGGCACTCTAGGTCTCGCTATAGGCTTACCGTTTGTGCACGCTTTGGAGCTGTTTTATGTACACATAAGTTTCTTTTTGATGCACCTGACTCAAAGACCGTGCCCAGGATTTTTTTTTTCGGGAGGGTCCAAGAAAAAAAAACAGTTGATTCCATTTTTTCTTGGAACCAGAGAGAAAGGCGGATTTAGGTCGTCATTTCGGGGGGTCCGGTCCTGGGCACGGCCTCAACTGAGCAGCACAGTGAAGTTGCACATGTGCTACTCCCAAGTACTAAATAGAACGGCTTTTAGTGATCTAACAATGAATGGCATTGCGCATACGCTCTTATTGTTTACTTTCTGGAAGTATTGAAATATAGCCAATCTATGTTGATAATGTCTGATTATGGAGACGAGCATGTTATAAATGTGAGTTGAACTATTTTGATATATGAAAATAGAAAATAATCATTGAACAGAACCAAAAATAGCTTGTCATTAGACAGTGACAGAGGATTAGGGGAAGGTTGAATTATGGTGTAGCACGGTGAAGCACAGGGGCTTCAAGCCCTAGCCACTAACAAAAAAGAACGTGTTACTGTCTATTTTCCTTGCTCTGGAATAGCTCCTGTGTAACCCATCCAGTAAAATAGAAAATGCCTATAAGGTATTGTTAATGGTTAATGTCACCGTTCTAGGCGTCTACGTCATCACTACAATGCGAACTTAGTCGAATTTACGCCACAAACCTATTTCATATTGATCATTCCGGGTATAAATAGTATTTGATGCAATCATTCGATATTCAGAATCATCGCAAATATATTTTTTTCAATAAAGAAATTCGGCACCCTCGAAAAATCCAGCTTCGATGACGTAATGAACCGAACCGAAAGTCATGGTTATCTGGTTTTCGCAAAGTAGGACCACATATTTCGACACTGCCAGATTTCTAGTATTAGTATATTTACCATAAGAGATTCAATATGACCAATGACAACAGTATTCACATTTACAGAAGACGATACAGTTTGACCTGGTCCCAAATAATCACTTATTGAATACTTATATACCTGCCAGGTGCTTCAGTACCCTAATCGGTCCCAGAAGATTGCCAATAATTTTAAAAAAATCATCCGAAAATAACTCAGGATATTAGAACGATACATCAATTATTACAACAATTTCAGTTTCATGTATCAAAATGAATGATCATATTATGGCTACATGGCAAAAATGAAAGACAAATAGTTTCTCCACAAGTAGCCGAATGAAAAAAACTGAGTTTCTATCTTAGTTTTCTCAATATCCTGAGTTATTTTAGGATTTTTTTTTAAACTCAATGAAATTATGCAATCTTCTGGGACCAATTAGGGTATGGAAAATATTCTGATAATATCGTCAAGTAATGATCTTTGGATTTCTAAGCCTATCAAGCATGGCATGCATTGGGGCCACAGCCAACTTCATGTATTTCAATGAAATGCAATTCAACAGCCAATTATTGAACGAATATCAAATTGTGATACATAGTTGAATAGAAAATGTTAAGGCATTTAAGATAGGCTACAGAAATATATAGGGTGCCATTTGAAAAACCAAAGGGGTCTACTTCCAATCAAACAGGTGGTTGAAGAAAATTGTCATTGGGTTCAAGGGAAGCGCCATCATCGATAATATCACCCTTGTGAATTTAAAATGTTTATCTCTTCAAATAAAAAAACTACAGGCTGTTACATGTCTCCTGTGTCACCCGGTATATTTTGATGCCAGAGAATGATACATGACAGAATTCTCCCGGTTCTTTCATGCCGCATTAGAGCATGTTCTCAAGGTTTAGGTGTACTTGGACATAGGCAAACGTAGCAAATGTATAGCACAAACATGTATAGTCCAATAAATGAAGGAGGAAAAAAAGGCAAAGTTAACGTTAATTACGCACTATTTTCATCTTCCGGTTGGAAGTAGCTTTTGGTACCTCATTAAACATGAGACAAAGTTTGACTGGAAAACGCGTGCGATGGCGGAGAAAATGGCCCCAAAAGACCAGGAAAATAGGTTTTCAGCCAATATCTCCTAAAATATGGCAGTTAGAGATTTTCGGGTCAGATAAAAATTGAAGTTCAGTTAATTTTCTACAAAAATGGTCCTTATCATTTTTCTCGAAAATTTGCCCGGTTTCGAGAAAAACGGCATGAAGTGCACCTCGAATAATGAGCTTCTGTGTTGTATGCCGGAGAGCACAGTCCGTGTATTTACACATCGGCGGGGGGACAAATTATTCAATAACTTTGTTAAAAATGCATATTTTCTCGTGCTGCTATCATACCCTGCTTGGCCGCATGGTTTATAGCAGACGACCCGAGCGCCACGTAGAGCACACACGCGGCGAACGACGGAGGAACGAAAGTAATAAATTATAGCATGTACCTTTAGATATACTGTTTTTTCCCGGGATATCAAAGGTAAGACTTATATACATCGATGGAAAGGTGGGAATTCCCCCGTTACACTAGTTGAGGTGTTAAAATGTTAGAAATAAAGAGCACGGAGAAAAAAACCACCGAAAAAAAAGTGCGTTTTTTCCTTGACCCCGCTTTTTCTGATTTTATTGAAAAATGGACGACTTCGTCTACAAAAGTAATTGCACAATCGAAAAGAAGACCTTCTTAGCTTTCAAATGATGTATCATAGAAACCAATCGGATCATGTATAAATTTTTTCAATTGATGGTTGTTCACAAAATTTCCCCGCGCTCCAAAAACAGCAAAAAATTGGGATTCAATAAACAAAGATTAAATGAAAATTAAAAAAAATTATGGTATACAAATTTCAGGGATGACAAAGGACCTTATGAGGACCCATAATCAAGAAAATTTTGAGTAAATTAGTGCAATACAAAAAAAATAGGAAGAAATTCCTGGCGAGGTCAAAATTGACCGGGAGCAGAAAGTTTGACCCATGTTCCGATATGGCCAAAAGAGTCAAGCGTGACTCAATTCATAGGGTATGATAGCAGCAGAATTCCTCTTTCACATGAACTTTGAATCATGAGAAAATATGCATTTTTAACAAAGTTATTGAACAATTTGTCCCCCCGCCGATGTGTAAATACACGGACTGCTCTCCGGCTCTCCGGCTCCGCTTCGTGCCGTTTTTCTCGAAACCGGGCAAATTTTCGAGAAAAATGATAAGGACCATTTTTGTAGAAAATTAACTGAACTTCAATTTTTATCTGAACCGAAAATCTCTAACTGCCATATTTTAGGAGATATTGGCTGAAAACCTATTTTCCTGGTCTTTTGGGGCCATTTTCTCCGCCATCGCACGCGTTTTCCAGTCAAACTTTGTCTCATGTTTAATGAGGTACCAAAAGCTACTTCCAACCGGAAGATGAAAATAGTGCGTAATTAATGTTAACTTTTTCCCTTTATTTATTGGACTAGTATACCTCTTGAAGGAAGCCTGTTTCAAAAATGAGGAAAAATGTTTTTTTTTTCAATGCTACCTACACCTGACCATGGTTACCTTTTATTACATTTTGGAACACAGGCAGCTTGAGTGATATCATATGAAAACGCTTGATTCGTGAATAAATAATGTTAATTAACTTTAATGCATGAAGAACCTAATGTATGAAGAACCGGGGAGGATTCTTCATTCATTTTTTGAAATATATTCATAATGAGACCCTCCAAGAGACATACTGGGTGAAATCACATCCAAAAATCTGTCACTACTTGCCTGTCTAATACTCATAGTGCATGGTATAAGCCTATAAGCCATGTCCAGGGCATTTCATATTTTGTGTCCATGTGAAGAAAATACGTTTGGTCAACCAAACACCCTGTATATTGAGAAAATGATCACATCATTCAACCATTGGCGATCTAAATGTAAAAAGCTAGTTAGTAGGCCAGGTAGAATACCTCTTGCCTACTTACTAGCAAACTAGGTTTTCTATTTAGATCAACAATGATTCAACTAACCCAAGCAGAAGTAAGTAACATCAAATTAGAGAAAATTATCCTGTTTTATTTTCAGATTGTTATGGACCAAATCCCCTTGGAGTGAATGTGTGCCCAATATATTGATATCTAGTCATTGAAACAAATGTTTACTAATAATTTTTGTGAAATTGTCCCTATGTGTTTTGTTATTCTCATAAGGTATTATTATATTTTAAGCAAAATATACATATAAAACTTTTATCCATTGTAGTATTAACACTGTATTTTCATAAAATAAGACAGATTACTTACTTATTACAAACATTGTAAAAAATTTTTCAGACTTGCAGAAGGACTCTTGTTTTGTTTTGTAGTAGAGTTTAAAAACTCACTGAGTCTATTAAGGTTCTGGCTATTCTTTTTTTCCTTTTTCTTATTTGTGTTTTCTTTGGAATTATCCTCAATAGTTATAGAGGCCTCAAGTGGTGTCTTATTGTTTTTACTGATTTTCATTTTAGGTCTATTGTTTTTATCCTCAGAGTTCATTTCTGAACTATCTAGATGTCTATCATTTTGAGGAGTGGAGGACAATACAGCCTCTTGATTGAGACCACTAAATTTATCCCTCTTATTCTTCTTTTTCTTAGAGGGTATTACAGGAATGTTGTTTTTTTTCTGGGTTTTTGGCAAGGCCATCTTTATGAAATGTTCCTTTTTGCAAAACTTACATGTAGTAACCTGGAAATAAACAAAGTATCTATAATATTATTCCTATATACATTATGAATCAATTTTTATTTTCAAAAAAATCAAGTGAGTAAGGACATGTTATTTCATATACCCTAATTAGGGTTCCTTGAGGAGTTACAGGGCATTGAAGTCATCATGGCACTGTGTTCTCACATTTTATCAGAAGGTATATGCCAAAAAAACTTTCAATTAGAATCAATAGTTTTTGACAAATTATACAAATTCAAGAAAAGGTACATATGATCAAAATTGGAAGAATTTCTGAGATTGGCAGATGCTTACCAAAATACCATGAAAAAACTCTTGGTCTTCAACAAACCCTACTTGGGCATATATTATCAAAACTTTTCAAGATATATCACCCACTTCATTGAAAAAAAGTTATAATGATATTTATCATCCTCTATACAATAGATTCTTAGGTAAACAACTCTCACAGAACAGAAGTGTATAGGTGCTGTATATTTATTTACTATTTTTGTACCCCTAGTAGTACCCAAATGTCTTTATTGCATTAGTCATAAAATTCATTCAATTCAACTGATTCATCAAAAATATATTTTGATATGAAAACAAAAAAAAAAAGAACTTACCAGTTGGTTTCCATTGAAATTACTCATCCGTTTAAGATACCTTTTCTGATATTTGGTCAATGGAGAACTATTACTATTCAGTTTTGCTGAAATTTTCTTAGCAAATTTATATCTTTTCATTCTTGATTTGATTCTGTAGTTAGCAGGACCATCAGAAAAATTAAGCAAGCATCTCTGACACTTCTGATTCATTTTAGATACAGATTGAGGCAAAAAGGTGGCTTTCCTTCCTTCCATCAATCTTCTCTTGGTTCTGAAAATCAAATGAAATGAACATAAATAGAAGTTATATTGGCACAATATATTTGTTTTTCAGTATTTTGTTCATAACCAGATTTGAGTGAACTGATGCTGATTGATGATGAAGAGAAGGCAGGTAGAAGCTTGTGCTCTGGTAGGTGGGATACATGAGTTCAATGGCTATTATTCCTTTCTTAAATTTCATGAGAGAGGTAATTTGATAGAATGAGAAATTTGTCTCAGGGATCCAATGAGGTGACAAATTAATGAGTATCTAATCCACAATGTTGGTTGAATATACCTAAGGACTATAAACTACACTAGTCCTTGGAATATATCCATTCCAATGTTGGATAAATTCACAATATTAACTGAAATGGCAATATTTTTACTTACGTAAGGATCGATTCTAGAGCTGGTACATTCATTGCAGTCATTGTGGACAGATTGTATAAATACTTTATGGAATTTTTGAATAAATCATCATCATCTATAGGCGCACTCATTGTTTATGTAGTACACAAATCTCTGATAATCATGAAAAAATCAAATAATGAAAAGAAAAATAAACGCGTGTTTTCGTGGTTTTTACGTGTTTACACTGTTCTGAGTTCTGTCATTCTCTGATTGTTCTCTGGTGTAGACCATACCACACTTATTCTTCTTCAACGTGTTTATGATTTCATCCTAGCTTCAAAAGTACCTTACTTAGCATTCCAATTTTCAGAGCAGTCACTGCCATTTTCATTTCAAAGCATTCTGCCCATTCTGGCACTTCTGGCAGTGTTTTAGTTTGATAGCGGTTTTTACATAAAGATAAAGATAGGTTATATAGTTTTGCATTTGATTAACGAATTTGAATTTTTTATAAAGTTGAATATGTGAATCGGTGTAAAATGGAAATTATTCATATCTTGGGTGTTCTGATGCACATCCACTCTGTTCTGACTTCTCAGGATACTTTCAGTGAAGAATTATTGATAAAACCTCTCTACAGTGATCAGGTTTATACCCACTTCCACTTCTCCACGAAATGGGACGTTGATATGGACACAGAAACTTGTAAGTTGATCTTTCATAAATATGCTCACTATCAAAAGCCATCACTCCGTTTCAGTCAACCACAGCAGATTGTTTCCCAGAGCTCTTGGTGAAATCATAAAGCGATTCAATGTCCAAGAGTTACATGTTAGCCTCACAGGAGGCTTGTGGAGATATGAGAACTGGGGTTATCCAGTAGTAGATGCAGCACCTGGTGCTGAGGTTTGGGCCTGGTTCAGACCAGATACTGGGGATGTTGACAAAAATTGGAAGCTACTGGCAAATTCTCTGTCTGGGTTACTTTGTGCATCTCTAAACTTTGTGGATAAATCTAACAGTATAAGTCCAGAGTTTTCATTTCAACCATCTGGGGCCATTGATTCACCTAATGTCAACAACACATACCTGAGGTATGACAACTGTTTATTTACATTTATTATTGTTTCTCAATTACCTTCCTTATTTTAGGTATGCTAGTTTACCCCGTGAAATTGTTTGTACAGAGAACCTTACCCCTTGGAAAAAGCTCTTACCTTGTAATTCTAAAACAGGCCTTGCATCTCTTCTAAACTCAGGTTACATTCACAACTCAAGGTATCATTCAGTAGGCTTGCATTTGCGCCAGATTTGCCAAGATGAGTCTTGTGAATCAGTTTCTTTGGACTTACAGCAGACAGTATCACTAGTTTATGACTATGGGATTCTTGGAACCAAGGACTGGTCACTCTCTAAACTGTTTGGTCAAGGTGTGAATGGTAGGTGTGTATTGGCATCCAGAAGTGAAATTTATATTGACATTACCAGTACAACAGCTAGAGCCTTCACTCTTGACCCTCAGCCTGATGAAGTACTAACTTCAGTTAGAGGTGGACACCACAGTACCTTTGGCAAGTATACTCTCCCAAGAAACTTCTTCAATATCTATACAAAGTTCATTGATAAAGAAATTGTTTCACTGAATGTACCACCAGTATTACATGCAAATCAGTATTTGACAGGTTATGGACAAGAACGTGGAGGAATTGTAACTAAAGTTTATAATAATCATTGGAGTGAACTTGATGTTGTTCTCTTACAGGATATTCCTTGGTATGTTCCTATATATTTGCATACTCTGAAGTTGATGTCAAATGACATTGAAATTAAGCCTGTGGCTTTAAGGTATGTTCCTGGAAAACAGAGAGAAAGACCATATTACTTAGAAGTTTTCATAAAACTTCCTCCACGTTCTACAACCTCAGTCTCTATCGATTTTGATTATGTTTTCCTCAAATGGCAAGAATACCCACCTGACGCCAACCATGGTTTTTATATTGGTTCTGCTATTATTTCAAGTATTTTACCTGTTGCTCGGAATTATACTGGTTTGCCACAAGATGGCACTTTAATTTCCCACAGTTTCAATGCTTCACGGAGTGGGTACTTAGTCCAAGTTCGCACTGAGAATATGGTGATAACTTTACCTACTCCAGATTTCAGCATGCCATATAATGTTATTTGTCTGGCTTGTACTGTTGTGGCATTGGCATTTGGTCCTTTGCATAATATCACTACTAGAAGACTTGTCATGAAGTCTAAAAAGAAAGAGTCCTTGCTAGTCAAACTAAAGAAATTTTTGTCATTTAATAAGTAGATTTCAGTATGTTTCATTAAATTCCTCAGTTGTAATTGATGATTATGTGAATTCTACTCTAAGACTGAAACAGTTTTTCAATAAAGCTAAAAACATGAAATTTAGCACAAATATTATTTTCAGGTCAATGTCCTTTTGGGGTATATCCCCCTGATAAAGAAATTCTCTCTCTATTATTTTCATATAGCTTAATTTCTGCCCTGACAAATTTATTAGGGCCAAGTAGGTGCCATTGATGAAATATCATGAAATTTTCCACATTTATTGAGGTGTGTATTAAACTGGCCAAACAGTTAAGTGAAATTAAATAAATTGGGTAAAATGGCGCACACACAATGTTAGTTTTTGTACTTCATTCATTAATATTTATTTAAAAAAATAAAGATTCTCAGGAGAATTATCCATTTACTTTTATTCAACACTTATTAGTTATTTTCATTGTCAGTTCTCAATGTAGGTACTTATATCTAACTTGAAAATCACAGCAATTAATTGGTTCAACAATATATACAATAAATTATTAAAGATTATTATTAACAATATTATAATCAAATTATCTAGAACTCGTTTTTCTCTTGAATATTGCTATTAGTCATGAAAACTTAGAAGTAACTGAAATATTTCAACAATTAACAGAAAATCTGTTATGGCAACATTTTAATAAAATACAGTCACAAGTGCTGTCAGAAGCACTGCCCACAGAGTGAACCGGATAGTTCCTGTTCCTCCATCTGAATCTGTATCTTCTGCTCGACTTTCTCTTGCATTCACTTCTGATATACAGATATTTCCACAGTCTTCTTCCTCACAGATGTCACATAAAGTGACAGTTGGAGCTCTATAAAATACTCGTGCTCTTCTAGCTGAAATTAATAGAAATGTTATTGATCACTAAGTGTAACAAAGAATCTGTAGAGGATGTCGTGTATAGAATTGAAATAAAAGCATTGTGATGCGTCATCTAATTTGTCAATATTTCTGAGGTGATACTTCAGTGGGCAGGGTCCAGTGAGAAAAGTCGGTACTAATTTACAAGCATCTAGCTAGACCTGCGAATCTTTGAAACCTCAAGGTTATCAGAACTATCAGAAGGTTAATCATGGTTATAAGACTTATAAGGTAATATGAGGAAGGAAAATATCTCTTCTGCATGAAAAAGGAAAGTACTTTCAACCTGACTTGTCCTAAATTAACCTTTTTCCTGAAAAGTATATTTTTTAAAAATTATTTCAGTGAAAAAAAAATTGATGTCACGCAGGGATTGAACCCCAGTCACCACCGTGTAAGCCAGATACACAGACCTCTGAGCTATCGCTTTACTCGTAGTCGTCATAGTTTCTCAATATAAAGAAGAAACAAATATCATGTGTTGTGGGTGACGTCACTCGACCTCGATGTTTCAAAGATTTACTGGTCTACCTTGTTACTAATTTCTTGTTCAACTCGAGAAGCTGTCGAGCTTTCACTAGCGATAGGCGGGATACTCAGGATAGGCTCCGTTTGTCTTTGCTCTCGCACTCGAAGTCCATTGATGATTTATTTGATATCATTCCCATCGTTGAAACTCTTCTTTTGTGTTGGCTTTAGAGAGTCTAACGCGGATAATTCTCAGATATAGGTATGCAGGAAGAGGCAATTTACTTACAACTATCATAATAATCATAGATCACTACAGGCACGGGTCTTTGCTTCGCTACTTTATGCGTTCTGAATGCGGATATCGTGGGGCAGAACTCAGTCCTGGAAATGTTGTTGAAATAGAGGATGACTTTCGTCAACCCGTGGGTCATCTCGACTTTTTGCACGTTCTGTGAAACCTCGAGGCTCGGTAAAGCATCTATGTCCGCGGTGAATCCCGAAGGAAGGCTGACCTCCATGACGGCCATGTTGCTTTCTGGATTCTCGGTCAGATTGCGACTCACAAATCTACAAAATATAATCATCACTTCGATAAGTAATATTCGTCAGTTGTGCTGGATTTTTGGTGATACAAATTTAAGATATTTGGCGTTACCCGCCTCAGTATTGTTAGGCTGAATATTGATTTGAATTTTTTCTTGACAATATGATTAAAACAACATATTTTAAGTTTATATAACGAAATCAGATTTAGAAAACGCCTGGGTTTGCATGAATTGAGTGTTGGTTCTAGAAAATGAAAAATGCACTGAATTGATTTGTTTTGTAATTTCATTAGTGGTTTGAGTCATGAAATATTTATTCTACCCCAAAAATAGTCGAATTTTTCAGCATTCCTATCAAAACAAAGCACGAATTGCATATTTTTTATTGTCTTACTATGTAGTTACCAAAATCAGTAGAACTCGCATTTCAAAACCTGACTTGCCAAAAATAAATTTTGTTATCAATAGAGGTTGTAGGTCATATGAGCTGTCATACTTCGTTTATTTAATCACAGGAACAGAATGTGTTTACGAAACTTCATTGATAGTTGTTATCGATGCGTCAAAGTTATATATTGCACGTTTGTGTCACTCCAGAACGTTTGGAATGGGCACAGATTACAGGTACTTACCTAGATCATAACTTCGATTCTTATTCATATACATGCATTCTATGTCATGTTGAAGAGAATATGAGAGATGACCTCCCCCCCCCCCAACATCCCTGACATTGATATTTTGTGAAGATTCAAATACTTACGCTGCACAGATAGATATCTGTAGATGATTACTATTGGAGTTTTTGTCTACTTGGGGATCCAAAGTAAACAACGGCCATGGTCCTGTCACGTTCACATTGTATTGATATGAAACTTTGAATACTGCCAAACCTGTTCCCTGTGCTGTAATGTTGACTTCTCTGGAATCCTTACCCACCTGAAATACAATGAAAACCAGAGGATGAACATAGACTTATTTTCACGTATAAAAGATGACAGTTCGTGAGAAATTCTGTGGCTGCGCCTTATACTGAATATTAAACGGAGGCATGAGTTTTGCAATTTTTGAATATGTTTTATGTCCACACTCTCAAGACATGCTCCATGCTTCATAGCTCCATGCTCCAACTCTGTTTTTCGCATTTCCTAATAACAATAACTCCTTCAATTTCAACACCTCACCTCCAGGCTGGTACGGAAATGCAGAGAAGAACTCAGTTTCTTGTCAGAACATAACAAAATTATCCTGTTATGGGTTCCAGGACATTGCGGCATCGTAGGGAACGAAAAAGCTGATGAACTGGCAAGAACCGGCTCATCAACTCCATACATTGGCCCATAACCCGTACTCGGGGTTAGAAAAACAGCTACCCGAGGCTACATACGGGACTTAATCAGGAGCGATAGACTGAAGCCCCTCACATGCACCACGGGAAAGTTATCATTAAAGAACCGTCGAGAAATAAATCTGAAGAACTACTCGAGATGAGTAGGAACCAAGTCAGAACAATAACGGGACTTCTCACTGGTCACAGCCCAACGAGAGGACACCTGAGCAAAATGCGACTGTACAATGGAGAACTTCTCTGCAGACAATGCGTTAAAGGTACAGAAACGGCCAAACACTTATTAATAAAATGCGAGGCATTGGATCGCAAAAGACAAGAAATATTCGGGCAGTCTAGGCTGACTCCCGAAGAATACAACAGCCAACCGGTAAAGAACCAGTACAGACTGGTGCAGGGAATAAGAGCTACGGAATGGGTGCTATAAAATAAAATGGAATGCACAAAAAGACCAGTTCTTAAAAAAGGCAAAAAAAGGCAAAAAAACCCTACCTAGCAACTACAGACCGATCGCACTGCTATCTATTATTTCAAAGATCATGGAGAAAGTTATCAACATCGAGCTCATGAAATACCTGGAACATTCAGGTATTATCAACGATAGGCAATATGGCTTCCGTCATCAAAGATCAACTGGTGACCTGCTCGCATACGTCTCACATATATGGCAGCAATCTATTGAAAAATATGGTGAAAACCTTATCCGTGGCACTTGATATCTCCAAGGCATTCGATCGAGTCTAGCACCACGGACTCCTCGCCAAGCTTCCATCTTATGGCTTGCCAGGCAAATCAGAAACGAACGAGGGAGAAATGTTGACAACATACATATGAACTTGTCAACAATTCACGAATGGGGATCCAATAACTTGGTAGATTTCAATGCAAACAAAACACAAGTATGTCTTTTCTCTAGAAAAGCCGATCTCACTGTGCCCAACATAAGCTTGTCAGGAGTAACCATACCTTTGAAGACATCCATTTCGATGCTTGGTACTACTATCAGCAATAACCTTTCTTGGGAAAATCACGTAAGATCAATTGCTAAAAGTGCATCTTAAAAACTTGGTTTCCTGTTTCGTACCAGGAGCTATTTCACTTCCAGTCAGCTGCTTATGATCTATAAGACACAGATCTGGAATAATGTTCCCATATTTGGCGTGCAGCACCCAAACATGCCCTTAAACTGTTGGATTCTGTCCAAAAAAGGGCAATTCGTCTCGTGGGTGATGCCTCGCTCACAAACTCACTCACTTCTCTGGAACACCGTAGAAAAGTTGGCGATCTGGCTCTATTTTATAGATATCCATCCAACGAACAGCGAGGTTCTGGAACACATTGCCAAGGGAGGTGTTCCCCGAGGCATATAACCTCCAGAAATTTAAGAAGAACACCAATTCCTACCTTACAGGATATCCCTTTTCGTGGGAACCAGAACATAAAAAAAAGGCTGAGGTGCAGCCGGTGACAGGACCAGCATCCAAGGAAAAAAAAACACCTCACCTCCGCAGTCTGCTGTATCATAACATTATTCCTGTTGACGCTGAACCTCCCTCCGCCGGTGGGGCCTGCCTCGAACTCGATCTGGATGTTGGTGGGGCCCGCCAGTCGGGTCACAAGCCTGTACAGGGCGTGCAGCCCTACCACGGTGTCCCGGGAGGAGGCGAATCCGCCGAGGTGGTTCTGCTGGTTGAGCAGCCATTGCAGCACCGGCGTGGTGTCTTCGAGGAGGTTGGCTTCTATGAAGGTCAGCAGGGCGTACGAGGTGGTTTCTATGTCGACGGACCTGAAAATAGGGTGGGTGGGGTATTTGACAACATCGCAGTCTCGGAGAGCAATGCTCACCGTTAGGCAGATGGGCACTTGATGAATTTTAATTTTAATTTTGTTTCGATTATCCAGCGAAGACGATTCGGCAAACAATCTGTCGCTCTGAATAAAAACGTTGAATCAAAATTTGTCTGTCTGTCAATGGCGCTAGTTTACTGAAAACATTAATAGCGCAATATAATATTTGTCAATATGGACAATTTCAGTTTGAAGTTTACAAACGTCACCTCAGACAAACTACAATTTTGATTTGTCTAATTTTGAGTTCGTCAGTTGTTGGCAAGGTGGGTTGTTGGTTTCTTTGAATTTGGTATTCCATTTTGCACTTATAGAAGAAGTATGTGAATTCTTCAACACTAATTTCTCAATAATCAAGTGAATTTGAGGTACCATGCAATTGCTTCGAACATCAGGTGAGAGATTCTTCTTGAGCCACATATCTATGATATAATAAATAAGAAGTTACTCTCGTTCTATTCTTAGCTTGCCATCATTTCGCTGAAGTGCGTACTTAAATGTTTTATCACAGCACTGATGAGTTTCCATTTGCTACTAAAATTCAAGTAACATCAATAAATCGAGAATTTCATCAGCAGAAATAACAGTTTTTTCCTCGGTTTTTTTTTTATGCATCCTGCTTTCAATATCTGTGTTGTGTTTGAACAATGTTTCGTACTTGAAATGTTTAAACATGAAACATTTTTGATTATAAATTCGACAAAAAGACTGAAAATGTTGTCACTTACGGCTATTTCTGCATTTTCATTCACTAAACAGACAATATAATACCTCTCGCCTACTAGCTACGTTTTGATTTAGATATCCCGCTCAGAAAGTTTCGGAATTTAGAGTATGTCTGGTGATATCTTGTAAAAACTGATATTTTGCCAAATTGTTATTGTTTTTCCCTGGCTTTATATACATATTTTCTTCAAAATGAATCGCACACCCACGTTGTTATTTCTTTCCTGCTACTTAATGATGTTTTCAGATTTGTTATTTGACGTTTCGTCAACTGGCCATAAGTATTACAATTCTTTTTCTAAAAATCAGATATTGAAATAACATTTTTTTCATCACAGTAGGTCTTGAGTTTGATGTTTCACTTCGACTTTGAAAATTGAAATTGTTTGTTCAACGTCAAATATCATCAAATTATTGCAAGTTATGTATTAGAATAAACGCAAATGCAATATAGATTCCCATAACTCATCCGCCATGAAGCAATATGTGATACTATATCTCGAAATGAAAAGATTAAGGGAACATACAGTGATGTGTACCCTCATATTTTCTTATTGGTTCGATTTCAACATAAGATAACACTCATCAACGAATCCGCTTGCAATCTTCTGAACGGAGACAATAACATTGTTTCTTGTTCAGATGATTTAGATAGAGCATGGTATTCACTCCTAATATCTGAGTATGAAAATGGTAAATTCAAGATCAATCAATTATACCACTATTGTTTTAAAATCTCCAACATTTTTATCAGTTTTCTGAATATCAAGTGTTAAGAACGTGTAATCCATTACCAATCATCCTACTATCAAGAGCATAAAAAGACCGTTTATAGTGACCCTACCTGGGCAGCTTCGTCCAAGGGTTCTTGTTCTCGTTGGCCGGTGTATCTTTGGCCCACCATTTCATGTTGTTTTTCGTTTTGGATTTGGCGTCCAGCAGATTGAAAGCGCTTTGCCTCGAAGTGTGCTCCGCTAGTTGTAGGGTGTAGCTGCACAGGGCCAGAGTGTAGATCGAGTCTTGTTCGTCTATGTTTCGGGCTATGTAGTCCAGGCCTTTGTTGATCGTGTTTGTTATCACAGGGTCGTTACGCTACGGGAAATAGATAGGTTATAGGTCGAAATGCATTCGATCGAATCGATGTTTTAACCTCTGAAAATGCTAACATATTTACCGAAACACGTGTCGAGTAGTTGGTTAGTGTTGAAACAGTGTAGTGTAGTCAAATAGAAATTATAGTGAATTATGGGAACTGGAAATCATTCATGGGATCTCATGGAAAACAGCGTGGAAATAGATACATGCAAATAATTTGAGTAAATATCAACAAAAGGCCACTAGAAATATTGAAAATGTGATGCCCATTTTCAAGTTCATGCTGAATGGCAAAAGGCTTGGAGCTTATAGTCCTTGTACGTCTCCACTCATTGTAAAAATCTATTGTAGCCATGAAGAAAAATAAAGATATTGGAAAAATGTACAGAATGATTGTATTATTGAAGAGACAAAAAATGCTTTATGCTTTCCCAGAAGGCATCTGTTTTTTTATCAATATATCTTCAAACTGGCAGAAGAAATAAAGGTCCAAGAGGAAGATGGCGATAACTAGTAGAAAATGTTCTGCTGAGTTTAGGATGAACCGCCGACTAAAAGTTGCCAAGGATAGAAAGAAATGGAAGAGAATTTTAAACCTCACCTTGATTCTATGGGCTCTGTTAGTGTTATTATGAATATTCTATTCTATTCTTATTGTTAGAGTTGCTAGAGCATCTGGCTGTATAGTTTCATAAACTAGTATCCATCTAGCCCATAAAGTTTTAAACCTAACTTTAAGCATTCAACGAAAGAGTCCCAGATGACTCATATCGAAAGTACGGTGCATTGATCACTAACTGTAGGTCGCTATACCCTAAGTGAATATTCTCCTCACCTGTTTCATTTCGAGTAATGCCATTGTAACGAATGCTGTTAGTGCCAAACTGTCTCCATCTCGTCTTTGCAATTCTGCGTATATTACATTCCCAGTCTCGTAGAAACTGCCATTTTTGTTTTGGACTTCCACTAACCAGTTCAGTGCCTCTTCTATAACCTCTTCTTCAACATAAATGAATTGCTTCGCTTGTCTGAATGCCATAATGACATAGGAAGTGAGCCTAGAACGATATATCAAAATGTAACTATTTCAATTTTCAAATAAGATAAACAATGAAGGTTGTAACTTAAGAGCGAATGAAATCTATGACCTGTGAACTCAGCAAGTTTTTTTTTTTGTCGCTTGGAGCGCACGAAAGGGAATCCCTATAATGTTCAGAGAACATCGTGCGTTCCTAGGGAGGATAGGGACAGGAGGTAGGTATTGAATTTTTTTTGAACTTTTGGAGATTATATGTTGTTGGGAATACTTCCACAGGCAATGAATTCCAGAGCCTAGCCGTTCTATGGATGAAGGAGTCTTGATAAAGTGCTGTTCGACATCTTTCGAGGTTGACAACGAAAGGATGTGCTGACTGGGCTTGTCTAGTTCGTCTGATTGGTATTGCTAGTGAAGGGATGATAGCAGATATTTCTGCAGAACATTTCTCGTGGAAGTATCTATAGGAAAGTGAGAGGTCGCCGACCTTTCTACGGTGTTCCAATGATGTCAAAGAGTGAGTGAGTGTGGCGTCACCCACCAGGCGAATGGCTCTGAGGATTCTAAATTCTCATGCTTCCATTTTTCTGTATAACGTATCATACTTTTTTTTATAAGTGTTGGTGATTGTCGCATATTGGTAATTTTTTAGAAACGTTTGACCAGAGAAAATGTTTCATTGGAAAATTTATTAGTAGGTACCTACCCATTCTGTGTGTTCATAGAGACATATACATATTGTGTGATTAGTCATTTGAATAATAACCATTCTCAGGTGAAGTTAGTCAGAAAGATTACTATCCTGAGTGAGAGAGAAGTTCTACGGTATGTAGAACTTCTATTCTTCCTGACAATTTTAGCAACATAACTAAGTCAAAATATAAAGAGATCCGTTTATTGGGCTAATTAACCCAATGTAACCGGATGTCTTCCTCTCTTGTAGGGAAACGACAGAAGTTAGTAACGGCTTAAAGTTGATGAAGGGAAATGTAATCGGAACTCTCCATATTTAGACGTAGGTAGGTTGTTAACATGGTCAGAAAATATGAATATGGTATTCATAAATCTGTACTCTCGCTGACGTAGCATAGTGCACATCAATTTGTTTCTTACCAAACACTGCCATTGGTGTCTCTCCATCCAAACGGACTGAACGATCCATCTGCTCGCTTGTAAGTCAACTGTTTTTGGTAACTCGTCTCCAAAATCCTTGTTGCTTCGTTCTGCACAGTCGGTGTCAACTGTCTCGTGACTCGCAAATACTGAAGGATAATCAGATTCGGCATGAAGCGTGCCAAATTCTGTTCTCCGCATCCGGTCGGTAGCCTCATCAGGTTCTCCAAGTGGATCATGGCCGGTCCTAGGAAGCTGCCTACCACTGAGGCATCGATTTTTTCCGAATCGGGTATCGCGTTGGGTGGAATAGTGAAGTTAATCGATTTTTTGAAATTTTGCTCGGTTCTTAGGTCTATCAAGACCGATTTGGTGTAGTATTCCGTCTCCCCTCCGGCCTACAATAGGAATAAATGAATAAATGTAGCTTTCTGAATTGTTATATTTCATCCTCTTCAAATGATCAATATTTTTCTTGACTGTTCAATATTATGGGGCAAGTAAGAAAGCCTAGGGCTTTTGTCAAGTCTGTGGTTTGACCGGGCACATACGTTCAGTATGAAGTCTGGCTATCGGTTTGACCAACCAGCTGTTTGGGAATATCGGTCACGTTTCGAACCTGCCCACAAAGTTATCAAGTTAACTCTTGATGGGAGTCGAGTCAACCATTGGCCATCCTGGCATCACCACTGTGGTCGAACGAATGACTTGACACAGCCTTATATATCACGGAAAGGAGCACCAACGCCACTGATCGGACCAGAACCATTCTGCGGCCTTGGAAATTCTTATATCCAAGAAGAACTTGATGAAGCTGAAGAACCAATGAAAGTAACACACTGGCGAAGACTTCCAGGACTGCGGCAGGCCGGCAATTTCAATCGAGCAAGATCAAAGACACTGATACCGCTCAAGAAAATTAGTGATAACGGGGTTTCTCACGGGGCATTGTAGATGCAGACCCAAAGAATATCTGAGGAGGAGAACACCAGCAGATTCTGCGGGAAACATCTAGAAACACCCTACCACATCTTGCTGGAGTGTTTTGCCGTACACCACAAAAGATGGAATATACTGGAAGCTGGCCGTGGAAGGAATACCACGAACAGATCTCCTCAAAATCCTCAAATTTATGAAAGAATTGAAGCTTTAGGGGCTGCTATAAATAAGAAAACCTTGAGATAGCAGAAGAAGATGGGGCACAATAGATCTAATTATTAGGTCGCAGCGCATCTATCACCATCCACAATTATCGATTCCAATACCAAGAGAGCCTATACAGAACACATATGAATTGGAGAACCTCTCGTAAGGTCAATTACAACATGAACAATTTAAAATAGCAAGATTCAGTTGGTATATCTAAGAGATATGAGAAAAATGAGAACATAGTTTTCTATATCATGGCTAGAAATTTATTTTGTTTATAAAGATGTTGCAAACCACATATTTTTTAACTTACCGTCACCAATAGTGATTTTGTCACCATATCCTGATTCTTAGGACTACTTGCGGTAACTTTGATATCTACTGAGCCCATCTTCACTGTGGTAATCATGAAAGAAACTGAGGCACCAGAATTCTTCAGTACCTTCACTCTCTTTCTCCTATAAAGTTCCTTCTCTGAAAAAAAAAAAAATAATCACAATAAGAATACCAACATAATGTGAAATTTTTTAACAAAGTTTCCAAAGCAATGAACAATAGTATATTACACACCGAGGTGGAAAGTGATTCATTCCTGTCGTGAGATTAGTTAGTTAACCGAGACGCAAAGCGTCGATAATTAAATAACTACTAATATACGACTACTATATGGTGGAAGAATGGTAATGGTGAGAATGACACCGAAGGGTCCAAGATTGATGAAGGCACAGGAGCTGGGATTTGTGGAGACAAATCATCAGTGCTTGTGCTTCAGTATTTTAAACAGATGTACACAATGGGACTAGCCTGAGTGAGAATATCGAGGGTAAACAGGGGTAAACCGTAAACAAATCCTCATCCGCTCCGATAATCATCTGAGGCGGCTATTAAATTTTGAACAAGCCAAAAATTATAGTATAAAGGTTTGTCCAGGACTGCCAAAGAAGTCTGTTTAACCAAGCAAGCCTGAAGGTAATACTTCAATAGGTTTCAAGGCATAAAGGTATCCTGAGTAAGGAAGCAGCAGATGCTCTGGACAGAGAAGATCATGAATCCAAAGTCCATGCTCGGAATACCAAAAACCTCATTATGAAGCTGGATGATGCTTTTGTTGCGTTTTTATTATTGGTTTTCACATATTTGTGTGAAGCAGCCGCCCTGGCAGTATGTGTATCATCGTGTTTTTCGAAAGAAAAAAACTAATATTTTCACCTTCCAAGGTAACTCCTCAGCGCAGCCCGGTGTCTTCTCCTCATTCTCTACAAAAATGACCTTTCAATCCCGGAACCCCTGAGACCTCTTCACGGAACCACAGGGTTCCGCTAAACACCATTCGGGAACTGCTGGTCTAGATCACCTTTATCTAATTTTAAAATTTGAATTGATATTTATTATTCCATTTTGAAGAGGTGAACCTCTAAAAACAAGAAAATTGGTGGATATTGTTGAACGAAGTCAAAGTAGCAAGAACAAACCTGTTCACCTAAGCCTACCTAGCCTAGTGTTTGAGCAGTTGAGTTTCAGTTCGTTACTCTGAATGATATGCAAACAAGAATTAAAATAATGCAATTACTGCTGCATCAATTATACTTCGTGGAGTTTTTTCTAAGGATCTAGCGACACCGGCACCCATTAACTAGCACACACGTTCATTACTTACTTCTCGTGGAATTGAGATCATTAGAAACCTCAGCAAACTCGAACCTCCACTCGGGATTATGCAACGTCACCTCTACGTTGATGTCCTCGTCCATGTTATTCTGCACCACTACTGGCACAGCCAGAATCTCATCCCTCTGCACCGAATACGGCAGATCCAAGTCCACCACGAACGACTTGGACACCTTCAGCCTCCTGGGAGCGGTTATCAGCCCCAGCCCGTGCAGGGGATCCACGGAGAACCCGGTGACGGACCAATCGTTGACGGTGTTGGGTAGGCGCCTGCGTACGAAAGCGTAGACAGCTCATTTAAAGTTTTTTCATATATTTTGATTGACAGATTCCACTATCTATTCAGACGGTTGCATAACTGTTTCTATTTTTGTTGACTGTTACAACTGTCTAATCTCCCAACTACGAAAGCGTAGAAGGCTCATGTTACGTTCATTCAATAGACACACACAACTGTCTATTTGTAACTGTCTATTTAGACAGTTGTAGTTATCTATTTAGACAGTTGTAACTATCAATCAGAAAGTTGTACCTTTCAAAATTCGAATCTATATAATGCCGAAGGCTAAGAAAGCGAAGAAAGCTCTCACTTTACGTTTTTTTGAATAGACACATACAACTGTCTATTTAGACACATACAACTGTCTATTTAGACACATGTAACTGTTTATTCAGACAGTTGTAACTGTTTCTTATAAGACAGTTGTAACTGTCTATTTAGACACTTCTTGTAACTGTCTATTAAGACATTTGTAACTGTCTATTTATGAGGTTGTATGTGTCTATTTAGACACTTGTAACTGTCTATTTAGAGACTTGTTACTGTGTATTTAGACACTTGTAACTGTCTATGTAGAAGTTGTACCTGACGATTATGATACGAAGCAATAGACTGCATAAGGCCGCACAAGCATGCAATCGATTGATGGGTACTGGGAGATTTTCATATATGTATCGTTCGACGCCAAAGAAGTCCGGGGACGAAAGGGAAAGGATGAAGGCGTTCAATCATCTAATCTTGGAGTATGTAACTAATTCGGTTTTGCAGATGACGTCGCTTTCATCAAGTCACGAACGATATGATTGACTCCACTTTTGAACTGATACAGTGACAGTGAGTTGATGATCATTTATATCGTGCTATGGGCTCACATTCTTTCCGCGGGTCATCTTTCAGGAGCCAGACTATACAATAATATGCTTCATTTATTCGCTATCAATTTTATTAGAAACAACATAATCAAGAGAGATATTGTTGAAACTAAGAATCATCATCAGATCCGAATCTTGTCGGATCTGTGCCTTATAGATCATAAGCAGCTGACTGAAAGTGAAATAGTTCCTGGCCCGAAACAGAAAACCAAGATTTTGGGATGCACTTTTAGCAATTGATCTCACGTGATTTTCCCAAGACAGGTTATTGCTGATAGTAATACCAAGCATCGAAATGGATGTCTTCAAAGGTATGGTTACTCCTTATTTTCTAGAGACAATTACAAGTGTCTAAATGGACAGTTACAAGTATCTTAATAGACACATACTCAATCAATAATGTTGCCGGGGTAGCAACGGGTGAGATAAAGTCCCACCCCTCTCTTACAAGACTCCCATAGGGGATGACTGCCGGTCACCTTTCTCTCGACTTATACCGACAGCACACCCCAGGGAGAAATGGAGGATTTGGATACGCCAAATCAGCGCGCTTATGGAACGGCATGTTCTCCTGCTACCATTTCATTATAACAATGGTGAGGCTGTCTGATAAAACAGACTACTGGCTATGCAGTGTCAGTGCCCGAGCAGAAACCCTGCTCACCCGCCGAGGCAGGCAAGATATCCTCCCACTTTTGACCCATAGTGGGATTCTTCGTCACCTCCTCTACCGTAGACCGGTGGCGTTTTTTTTTTTTTTGAAATCGCTGCCCCCTGGAGTACAACCCAATTGGTGAGGCACCAGGCCGTATGTACGACCTGATGGGGCTATCCTCATCACCCCAGGTACTCATGTCAAACAAGATTCCTCTTGTTACGTTTGATGGGTCGCCGTCTCAAGAGGCTTGGCCTGGTTGCTACTCATGTTGACGAGAATCCTCTCGTCCCGTTGAATGAGTGATCGTTCGAGGACTTTCACACGTTCCTCTACCTCGTTTACAGGAGAGGACCCGGCTTTGCCTACGATGACTGGCGGTAGGATCGCTTGGGGCTGCCCCCTCCCTGTCGAATTAAGGCACAAGGTACACCAAAGTTCCAGTTTTCGCTGAGCAAGCCCAGCTACCCATGTCGACTGGAATCCTCCAGTCCCGTTTGATGGGTGACCGTTCGCGGCCTTTCACACGTACCGCTACCATAACGAGAGTGGGGACCTCAAGCTCTCAACCAGAGGTGCCTGGAATCACCTGGGGCTACCCCCACCCCGACGCCGTGAGTACATGGTGGGCTGTCTGAATGAACAGTTTCAACTGTCTAAACAGACAGTTGTTCTATTTGAAAAAGTATTGTGAGCCTTCTAGGCTTTCGTACCTGCGCACTGATGCTTTCCCCTCGTAGCCGGACGTGAAGTTGTCGAACAGCCAGGTGGGGGCGACGTCTCGGGCAGGATAGACCTTGGGCACGTTCCAGACGGGGCGCGGGATGCGGCTGAAGGCGTAGGGGCCTGCCAGGGGCGGCCTGGTGACCGAGTGGACCTGGAGGCCGTAGCCGCGGTCCGGCTTGATGGTGGAGGAACCGTAGAAGATCGGGCGAAGGTAGATGTCCTCCACTGGAAGCGGGCAGGTTTTAACTCGGAACGTATTTCCTCTCGTTATTTATTAATAGTTATTTCACCAACTAGTGTGGAATCGGATTTGTGAGAAAAACTGGTTAGTTAGGTGGCATTTTTCAATGCAAGCTAGTTTAATAATTGGATTTATGCAATTGTGAGGAATAGTTTCAGGTTGATTTTTTATGGTCTACAGCATTTTGCTATCATATCATTTTTTGATAGACATGTGGATTTATGCGTATCTAACCCCTTCTTCCATTTCCTGACATGTAGGCAATGGGCACATAGCTCCTTCTTCCATTGCGTCCTTGATGTTTAATGTAACATAGCCCCTTCTACCACTGTTTATCTGCTCAGATATGAAGAATAGAAACAAATCCTCACGGGACAAGTTACATATGTACGTAACACCTCCTTCCATGACATAACCGAATATTTTCAGAAAATGTTACTTGACCCCTTCTTCCACTTGCCCCTTCAACTACGGACCAATAACACTAATTGTCACTTTGGCGAAAGTATTTGAGAAAATTCTGAAATTCAGAATAGAAAATGATTTGAATGAACAAGATTATTGTCAAATTTTTGTTCTCAGCACGCTATTCGTTATTCAACAAATAACTTATATAAATTGTTAGATAAAATACAGCCATCAACTCTATGTATATTTCTTGATTTAGCCAGAGCGTTACAAAATGTTTCGGTCGACTATATTTCTCCTGCAATGAAGAAAACTTGGTTCGCGATTTCATCATTCATCCGGAAACTACTAGCAATGATGAAATCTACTAACAATCACCCATTAACCCTGAAGCTCAACTTGTCACTGACATCAGTGACATTTGTCGAAGTTATCTACATGGAAAATTAATCCTTTTGTAACAAAAGTTTTGTTTGAAAACAACAGGGATTAAAATCGGTTCAGTAGTTATAGTGCCGATAGTAAAGGAACGTGGTGTATGTTTGGATGCCTATACTACAATCGATCAAATTCATAAACATTTGACATTCTCGTTGATACGTGGTCGACGGAAGAGAGTATTTCCATAATTATTTTTACTAATTAAAACATTTCATTTCCCGTTTTGTGTTTTCTGAAATTTGTTTCCAAAGATATCATGCCATCAGTATCTCGATCTTTCCTTTCTGTATCTTTCAGCAGTTGTTCATCATTGTTTATCACAAATATACATAACAATGAGTACTTACGTGTAGGTTTATGCCTGTTTACATGTGCATTGGTTAATAAGTCTGCACCTGATTCCTGAAATAATGTATTAGACAAATTAGAAAAGAACTTGAATTTCTACAAAGTGATTAGGTAATTAAGAGTGGGCATTCTCTTAAACACGGATAGTAAACAACAAAATATGAAGATGTCTAACATACCTAATAAGAATAATTATTTTCAATTATAGTATAGTTAGCGAAGTGAAAATGGAAAAAAATACATTTCTCATTAACGACATTCAGTAAGAACTCCCCAACGACAAACAGAATATTAAAACGAATGTTCGACCAAAGTCATTGAGAAATTTATAATAAAATCTTCCCCTAGAGCACCCTGTATCTGCAACACTTTTTTGATGCATGTAGGGCTAAATCTTCATATTTTTGAGTTTAGTAGGTACTTATCTGTAGTTCTGAGATTACCCATCCTTAATCAAACACTCTGAATATTGAATAGGCGCTACTCAGGCTATTCACCATTCAGAGATTACCCATTCTTAATCGAACACACATAAGGTTCCACGTATTGTGACACACATTATAATTTTTGATTTTCAAGTAGGTGTACTTTGTGTAGGTAACAAAATATTCAATAAAAATAGGTATATACGTAACTTCTTTCAACGTTGATAAATATAAGCTGATTTTATTTTTGGTAATACTAATTCATGCTAGATTTTCTCTCATCCTTATTTATTGACCTCTGGAGCGAAATTACTATTAAATATTACGAAATAATATGCTAATGGACAATAAGAGGGAAATAAAGTTGAGAGGATATAATATTATTTGTGGATAAGGAAGATCAACAGACTGATACGAATATCCCCACATATTTTCATGACCTGCATGAGGTATAAACTTATTGGGGAAGGAAACATTTTTTTTCTACGGCTATAACACAAAATTGCTCTTGTTTTATTGTGTTGTGTCTTGTGTTATTATTTCAAAAAAATCTCATCGTTCATGGAATGTCAAATTGCAAGCATTGACAGCTCTGACTAATAGATGAGCATTACTTGACAGGAAATCAGATGGCTACAAGCCGAAGAAATCGAAAATGCCGCTGTTATCTGTAAGAGCCGTAGAAAAATTATAGTGTATAATGTATAACTTGCGCGGAATGCTAATTTCCTACTCAACGTCATTCTCGTAGGAAATCACTATCATTCCGTGCTCGTTAAACAATATACTATTTTCAGTGCTTCAGCGTATAGAATACATATTGAACTCATCGATATCATACAGTCTCAACGAATATGTCCAAAATATTAGATAAGTCATCATCTAACTAACAAAAAACTCCATCCTGAACAATGATTATATGCTTTCTGCACGAAGATTTGTTCGGATGTGACATCAGAATTGCTACAGCTTCATGTGAAATTAGGGGTCTTGCCTCAAATTTTAATTTGATCCCCATGTCTCATGGTCCCATTTGGTAGTATACCTTGACTCTTCTTAGGCGGTATATTATTAAATTTAAATTTGATACCTATGTCTAATGGTCCCATTTGGTAGTATACTTTGAGTCTTCTTAGGCGTTATAGTATATAACCAGGTTTATTCATGACTCCTCTCCAAAAGTGCTGTCCTGAGACGACATTTTTGACACAGATAGCAAACGTTGATCGTATACTTTCAATAGCGCTTGTTTCTTTCAGAATTCTAGAATATACCTACCTCCTTTACTGAAAATCATTGATACTTACGTATATAGCCGTATGGGGATTACTAGCACCAGGATACCAAGCGAATTGTGCCTTGGAGTTCTTAGTGAATTGCGGATAAGGAGAACCTCTGGCAACGTCGTAGCGTTTCAGCTCATCTGCAATCTCTTTCATGGTCAAATCGTAACCCTTTCTGAGCATCCCGACATTCTCATCTACTGCCATTAAACCAATGTACGAATTTTGTTGAGCTCTCACCACGAATTCCACGTCCAAATCTGGCTCGCTTTCCAAAGTATTCACTTGAATATCAACCTGAAATAATAAGGAAAACACTGATATAAACGACAATAATTGCAATAAATTGAAGTGTATATGCCCTTTACAAGAGAAGCAGATAACAACCCATAATATCATCTATAAACGTTGTGACAGGTCTAAAGTGTGCAAGGTTTGTAGTCGTGTAGTGATCTAAATGGTGTTCTCCTTTGAATCGGCTCCAGCGACCTCCGAGAATTTGGAATAATGATACTAGAAGAAAATGAACTTTTTTCAGCTTCTGCACAAGCGCAACCTCTTTTTGAACCATTGCAGCATACTTGAGAAGGGACATATTAGATCGAGTGAAAATAAAAATTGTTCAATCGCAGTCCTCAGAGTTGATCATCTCGTTTGATAACGAATCACTGCCAGATTTCCGAAACTATTGACATTCCTGTTATCCTGAGCACAGTATACACCCTTACGGAAGGGTATACACTGTGACCTGTGTTTCCCTTTAGAAGATTTTATATCCACGGTGTATACAAAAAATCGAATATGTCAACATAGTATAACAGACAAGTCGGTTAGGTTAGGTTAGGTTGTTATAGGAGTGAATGGGTCTATTCGGCCCTCCACTGCCAACCGTAAGGGTCTATTGTGGCTCACACCAAATCATACTTTACCAAGTAGAGCCCGCTTCTTAATGAAGCCGATTAGTATATTTGCTGATTCATCATATTCAAGACAGAGATGGCACGTCGAATCATCCGACAGCCCAAGTTTCGACAAATGATAATTCAGACGACAGTCGTGTCATTCTTCGAAGGATGTATGAATGCTTTGGAATGAGCCAATCCTAGTAGATTCTGCCAGAAGTCTGGAACTTTATTTTTGCAGTCCAGGTGTTCAGTATATATGTTTGGCAAAACTTGGTGACACAGACAAGTAAGACCAATTTTCCCAAGAAAACCTATTGATCAACTTACAAAATTCTGTAGTAGTCCATCGATTTCTATATCGAGAGCATCTCCTACTAACTCCCCGTCTGACCTGACGTAGTAAACTATCAAATGGCAGACCGGCACCATGGCGTGAGTAGCGGTGAAATGGAACCTGAACTCGTTGCTGTTGTCCACTTGGAAGGAGTTGGTTATCAGAACGTCTCCGCGTCCCATGAGGACGTAGTTGATGGATCGCATGGGTTCGGTGGAGTTGACCAGGATGTCCACGTCCAAGTTGACGATGGGTCGGTCCGTTTCTAGAACAGCTTGCAGAAAATTGCCGGTGTATGAGACGGCAGCTGGAACGGGAGACATCCGTTCTTTGTGATCCCTGTATTCGACCTAGAATGAGCAATAATGAATGAATGGTCAAATCGGTATGAGCAGAGGTGCCTATAGGCCCCCTACCAGTAGATATTGAACTTAAAATCAAGTAGTCCTCTTCGCAACTTGCATCTAGAGTATATCTCGCATTGTAATGAAACAGTGTTTCATCACATGGTTTTTCAGCGTGATAAAATTGGGGCATTCATCCTAGGCGTTAACACAAACGAAATCAATCAAATAACTTTGTTCCATTACAATTCTCTGAAACAAATGGCATTCTCCTTGGAGAGACCTAGTAATCACTGAGATGAAGCGAGGATGTCGTCATGTTTCAGGTCGATTTGACAAGTCTACGATAAGTCTTCGATTTCAATTGAGGGGTACATTCATATCTGCTAAACAATAACTATACAACTGTAGGATAATGGTGGGAACCCTCACCAGGTCATATAGGTTCAAAAAACATAAGTTCGATTACATAGCCTGGTAGACGACTTATGTGGACATTATATCAGATAGAGAAGCAAACATCAATAGTGTTAGTGACGATGATCAAATCACCCCGTAATTGAGAAGAATGCCTAAGGAATGCCTTATCACAAGCGGCCTCGACGAATCATCGGTATTCGTAATCATCTTGTGATCGAAGATTGAAGCATGCTTAGTCATTAGCATCGTAGCATCAGAACGAATCACTTGTCGATGTTGTATTTTTATGAACGGTCATCTTTGTACAAGCCGTCCTGGGTGTTTGAGTGTTGAAATTGTGTCTATCTACGATGCCTCCATTTAGAATCTTATAATAGTATGATTTTTGTGCCATTACGAAGGCTTATAAACACAAATATTTTAGGGAAAGAAAAAGCAGGAACTCCCAGATAATTAGTTTTCATGCCGCTAATCTAATAATTAGTACTACCATAACTCACCTCTAGTCGTAGGGCAGATGTATTAGCAATATTCCTCGGTGGATAGTACTCTAACTTAATGAGGCCATTCTGATCGAAGGCATGCTTTGTTTCTACATAAACTTCGTCCATTCTTGAATAACCATGCCTGACTGTTACCTCCGACCTCTCACTTTTAATTGGTGTACCATCATGGTTGGTAAGTTTAACCTGAAATGATAATAGATAACATACCAAATTCATCATAGGTCAGTTTCTGCTTACATATGCTGTGTATTTCAACCCAGGCTTGAAATAATCCGAAGTCTTGATCAGCTCCATATGATGATTGTACTTGTGGATGTGAACTTCGACGCTGTTGTTCTGCCTCCTTCCTGTTGGCTTTTCTTCCACAGTGACATCGATGATGACTGTCCTTTCGTATTCGTCATTGAGGCCCAGATCTCTGTCTATGTCGAATTCTACGTTGATAGTACCATCTATGTCTAGGACTTTTCTGATAGGGTTTTGGAATATCGGCTGGATGATTCCGGAGTATATGGTGGGATAGATGGTGACTGTTGCTTCTCCTCGAACTTTCTTTCCGTAATGGTGTCTAGAAAAGTTTGATCCCTTCAAAAACGTCGAACAATCATTATCAGGGTCAACAGACGATCATCAAAAGTTTTATGCTGATAGCTGAAAATGCACCCTCGAAATGTGATTCTGAACTCATTAGAAGGATCATACAAATTTTCATTTACGCCGGAATGGGGACCGAATCAGAAAGTTGGTTCGAAACAGAGCAAGTAATGAGAAAACAATCCTCATTCTTGACTGCTGCTATTTTGAAACTGAGAATAATTTTGATTCGATGGAGAATGAACATGTGTGTGCAAATGAAGAAACACCTATCTTAGCAATAAAGGAAGTACCCACCAATGGAAATGGGAAGTGACAAAATGCTGCCTAGAAATAACTATTACAGACCCTTCAACACTTAGCTCTACTGGGATGAAATGGTCTTGACTAACTGTCAGGAAGGCACGTTAGTGTGGTACACTGACGGGTCTAAGACTGATGAGGGTAGGGGAGCCGGAATATATGGAGATAGACCCAGAACTAGGATTTGTGCTTCCTTGGGGAGGTATGCTTCAGTATTCCAGGCAGAGGTGCATGCTATTGAGGCATATCTGAGAGAGAATATCGTAAGAGGATACAGAGGTAAATAAATCTTCATTTGCTCACATAGTCAGGCGGCCATTCAATCGTTCAACATGCAATAAAATCAGATCAAGACTGGTCTGGGATTGCCTTCAAATCCTGCTTACCCTGGCGAACCACAACAAGGTAACTCTTCAATGGGTGCCAGGGCATAAGGGAATTGAAGGAAATGAAGCAGCTGATGCTCTTGCTAGGCAAGGGTCTGCGACGTTGTTTATGGGACCGGAACCTGGGTTCGGTGTCCCCAAAACCTCGATACGCGGCTGGCTGGCAAGATGGAAGCAAGAAAGAGATCAGGCATACTGGAACAATATTCCAGGACGAAGACACAGTAAACTGATTGCTGGAACACTGCCCAAAACAGTGACTAACGACATTCTGAGCCAAACAGGAGTCAGATTAGGCAAGTGACGGGACTAATAACCGGTCACTGCCCCTTGAGGAAGCATATGCATCAAATGGGCATCTATACAGACGAACCAATATGCATGCAGAGTATGCAATGAGGAGGAGGAAACTGCCACCCATATAATATTGGAGTGCGATGCACTAGCGCGTTGGAGGTACAATAACCTTCTGGCAGCAATAAACTCTCAAGAGGCTTTTCCAACGAATGATTTGGTGAAGAGGATACTAAACCTTATCAAGGTAGCGAACCTGTTCACCTGAGACAACAGCATGATCAGGAATACAATAGGCTCAAAGGCTGCAGTGTTTTGGGCTTCGAACCCTGACTGATCATTCTGCTATTAATCAATCAAATCAACCTAGTTTTTCAACATTTTCGAATACAAAGTTCTACTGTTCTACGTGTCGGATATAATAATTCACAAAGAGGAATAACTTCTTCCAACTAAGGGAAAACATGTGAATCAAATACAAAAATTATACTACCCGAATTTATCCTGTTTCTTGCCAGTAGGTATTTGTCTAATTTGTATTGTAAATTTATTCAAAAGGTTCATTTTACCTTGTGTCAATTTTAGCTCTAATGATGTTTTCTTTGAACGTGATATGTTCGTTGGTTTCGATGTCGACAATGAATTTCGGGTAAATGTATTCGGCAACCTCTATGGTTTTGTTGTATGTTTGTCCATGGATCGTGACAGATATGTTCCAGTTACCCAAAACAGGGCTATCGCTGAGTTTAATGTCCCCCGTGAAGACTCCTCTTATTGCCTCAACTCTGTTCCATTCTTTCACTCTGTTGCCAGATCCATCCTGAAATAACAGTATTATAATCATTCCTTTTTTTTCTATTGAACGGTGGTAAACACATAGATACAAGCGCTACTATACAGTGTGTATCAAACAAATGGAATAAATTCAATAATGAATAAACGGGGGCGTGTTTGGAAAATGCTCGGGTATGTCGAATGATATTTTTAGAAGCGCATTCTTTCCAACAAAAACTTACAATACAGGGTGCGTAATATGTAACAGCGGCCAATTCCAACTTTGTTATTTCAAATGCAACACCCTGGGTTTTATTCAATTCTTGAAATCTTCAGAAAATTCTAGATGTATTTCATTTACAATGTATATACCCATACCCACCTTCAACTGTTTTGGAAATATTGAGCGTTTTCAGATTTATTGCAAATTGATGTCTAACAGAAAAACACAAAATAACAGTTCTACAGATGATTGGTTATATATGGAGATAACACACGGGCACAATAATTGAAAGTTACTCGCTTATTTCATGAAACAGTTGGAGATGGGTTTGGAACATTGGGAATGAGACATATAAGTCTAGAATTTTCTGAAGAATCAAAATATTTAATAAAATACAGGATGTTGCTTTGAAATAAGACAGTTGGTATTGGCCGAGGATTATAGAAAAAAATATCAAATTTATACTTATCTTTGGACGTTTCGGGAACGAATCTGCTCCCGTTTTCAACTTAAAAAATGGATTATTTGTATTGCGAATTCGTATTTGTCCTGACACTTTTCAATTCTCAGTGACAATTGGTGACGTTGGCAATCAAATGAGTTACAGGATGTGTTCATTAATTAATCTTGAATTTACCATTTTTAGATTTCAGTCGTGAATACCATATGTTCTATAAATATCAACTGAACAGGAAGCAGTGCTATTGTCTCCGTTCAGAAGAATGCAAGCAGATTCCTTGATTTTTCTCTACTGGTTGTTATCTTCTTTTTCAATGATTTTAATATTATTCCACTCTGCCATAATTTCTATGATTCATTTATTTGAATCATTAGAAATCAACAAACTAAAAAATTTTGACATTTTACTTAACGATCAATTAGACCTCAATAGTTCACCACTGTTGAATTTGTTTTCTTAGTAGGTAATAATATTTATTTGCTATCAATCCGGTACACCGTATTTTAATGTAAGTTATACCTGATACTTGATCCTCAAATTTTACAGTTCATAATCATTTTGAATGAAAACAATTAATCACATGTATAATATATAAACAACAGAATGAAGGAAATAGATAGGTATCATGTGGTGTGAATGTTGTAGGTTAGATGTTTATTAGTCGAACATTTGTTTTCATAAAACTGGTTATTAAATGCATTGTAATTTAATAGTAACTTGCAACATGCAAACGGTATTACCGACATTGCATGAATGGAATGGAATGCTAGATTTTGTTGGTAATAAAGTCTCAATATTTATTCTAATTAGATTTGTTTCAACAGATCATACATATCAACAAGTGGAGAATGAAAAATTGTCCATTCACGTAGTGTATCTGAGACATGATATTTTCATGAATTCTATGTTTTTCATTAAGGTGTACCATTTGCAACTCACCGACACGTGTATTTGTAGTAACTCGTTTCTAACTTCTGCAGCAGGTTTCAACTGGGAATTCAGTATGATGGCTCTAAACAGAATCGTAGATCCTGGTTTGTATACCTGTCTGTCGGTCTGTATGAAAATTGAGTAGCTCTTCCGAAGAAACTGCATAGGGAAATCTGTACTGAAATCGACGCCACCAGTCCCTCTGATTTCTAGGCTGTATTCTCCATCTTCCAAATTTCCCACCTTTTATATTATAACATTAATATCATCTACGATGAAATATTTATGAATTCAGTTTGGATGTTATCAATGTAACAAAATTCATGAGAGGTCCGAACGCGAACGTGGATGGTACCGAAATATCGGTATTTGAAGGAACAATATGAAAAATCGAAAAAATCAGTACTCAATCACCAAAGTATAGCAATTCGCACACTACACCTCTTTCAATTGTAATTCAGAAAGTGTAACTTGTAATTCAGATTAGTCAATTGTAATTCAGATCAGTCAATGGGCTTATATCACAAAAATTGTATTTCATAATTCGATAGAATTCACCTAAACTAGCTCACCACCGCAAACCGTTTCTTGCTGTGAGCTCCCTACGTTTTATAAAAAAATATTGAAATCCCCGATTTTTCGGACCTCTGAAAACGAGGCGATGATGTGACGTCGAAACCCTAATACTGAAACAAGACTATTCCAGACAGAGATGAATGATACATGATTTCTGACAAAGTGAATTAGCGCGAGATCACAGTTGAAAGAATTAATATATCAGTTGCCTCAGTCTCCGTCGGGCTTTTGATATTTTCTTTTAACTATGGCGAGATACGTCATAAGACTCATAAGAGGGTCCGTTTTCAGAAGGTACTATTATTTATGTCCAAAAATAAAACATTCCAGTGAATTTTTCGATCGAATTATGTCGTCAATCATTATTTATGTATAAAAGGATCATTATAAAAATGGTTTGAGTTGAAAGTTCTACTAAGGTGTACACGCCCATTGTAATTCAGAATGCATAACATGTAATTCAGATTAGTGAAATCATTGAGTATTCACTAGTGTAAATAATCAAAGGTGAAATGTAATTCAGGAAGTGTAACTTGTAATTCAGAATAGTCAATTGCGTAATTCATAAAGCGTAATTTTTGATTCAGAAAGTATCACTCGTAATTCATAAATACTATGGACTTGAATAATGGTAGGGAATAGAAATCAACGAATGGTTCATTGTGTGGTGAACATCAATATTTTATATTTATCGACCAACGGGCATATCTTGAAATGCCAGAGTGAATGGTGGTGTGTTGTGCAGCCCCAACAATCGTATCTTTGGCCTGGTCAATATTCTGTTCTACATAGATGAACAAGTCGTTGTTCTCCAACACCTCAAGGAGAATAGATGCATACCGGTTGTTCCTAGTTTCTGAATCATAAGTGATACTTTCTGAATTACAAGTTATGCTTTCTGAATTACAATTGACGGTTTTTTAATTTCATTTCACTATTCTGAATTACAAGTTACACTTTCTGAATTACATTTCACTAATCTGAATTACATATAACGCTTTCTGAAATACGCAATTAATTTATCTGAATTTCATGGGAGGTACAAATATTTCACGAATGTTTATGAAATCACAAAATAAAACAATAAAGTGCATTTTCAATTTACCTTTTTTAGAATTATTTATCTATCTATACAAACCTAAAGACTTGCTGAATTTGGTTTCATTATATAATCCGATATAATCTCAAAATTTGATGTTTTATTCATTTCATCAGGAAGGAATTGAAATTATCAAATTTGAATTTCATTGAAGTTAATACGATTCACGCCCAGGAAACAAGGCCATTCAATTTATTGATAGCAAATAATAATAAGTCGAATTTTGGTAAACAATCAATAAGTATTCCATATAGACTTATATTATATTCATTTTATTTTAAAAAATACCCCTAGACACCAAACTTCATTCTAATATCAGGATTATTTTCAAATTTATTAACAAAAAACAACACTCTGTATCTCAGAAACGAATAACTTTCGGACATATATTTATACGAACTTCTCTTCTTATTTTGACGTCAGCAACATGCTCCTGAATTTTCTACACGTACTTAAGAAACACCCTGTATATAGGTATCCCTATTATAAACAATTATGTTTTTTGAGGTATTCAAGACAATCAATCAATCAATAACTATTTGTGTTTAGCTTAAAATAAACTAGATGTTTTACATAAAAATATCAACGTTGCCCTATCAGTCCGGTATCCGGTATCATTTCATCTCTCAAGGTGAGACAAATAATAAAAGGTAAGCTAAAGATCCCACCTGCAGTCTGCATACGGCCGATCCGTAGGGCTGGACGACGAGCCGGTCCTGGACGAGGAAGGGCGCCCCTCCGTGCGATATGCCCTTCAGGACGGCCGTCACGCTGGTCGGCTCGGAAGTCGCTTGCACGCTCACCGCGCAATGGTACTCGCTGTTGGGCCTTATTGCCCGCGGGCCCACCACCTGGTAGTATCTGATCGAGAAAAATGAGACATTGAAAGTTGGTAGTCGGGTAAATACCTAGGCCTTATATTTCTAAGTTAACCAGATATTCTGGCACTAACAGATGCTCAAGTGAACTCGTCCACCAACAAGGTCCACATGCTCTGTCCTGGTTACGAACTCTATTCTTGATTCAGGTTCAAAGGTGGAGTCTGCCTCTATACGATAAGGCTAACCTTTCATGCTAGCGTGTAGAGAGTTTGGAACCGCAAGACTTTGATGTGATGTGGTTCAAGCTAGTCGATTCCGACCACACCCTCATCTCCACAACCTGCTCTTTTCATGTACCATCCAGTACCACAATTCCTACCCGTCTCATGTGGCATTACAATTCGGCCGACTGGGAAGGTCTTCGTATGTTTTTTCAGCGTTTCTATGGAAGAGAGTTTGTTTCTCCTCAGCAGATCCAACACGATGTGCTGAGACAATTTCTGAAATCATCTTGTTGGGGATGCAAACCTACATACCGAACACTGAAAGGAGAACATCTTCCGATAAGGTCTGCTTCAGTAGAAACTGCTCTAGAGCTGTCGCTTCCAAACAGGCAGCATTCCATCGATGGCAGAAAAATCCTGGCCCTGAGACTAGAGCAGAATATGTCGAGGCTAGAGGCATATGCAATGAGACAATTCGATCATCAAAGGATGCTCATAATGCCAAAATAAGATCAAAACTTGTTGAATGTCCTAACGGTTCCCGTTTATTTTGGTCCTTCGCCAGAGCTGTAGGAAGAAACTTCACTTCCAGCTCGTTTCCTCCTCTAACCAAGGAAGATGGAACACTAGCCACAACTGCCCAGGAGAAAGCCAACATTTTTGCGCATTTATTTGCTGGAAATTACACTCTGGATTCATCAGGAAAACAACCTCCAAACATAACGCCAATTGACAGTCATATGCCCGAGATCACCTTTCGCCAACATACTATAAGGAAGATTTTATTGGGTCTCAACACCAACAAAGCTTGTGACTCCGACGGAATCTCACCGATTGTTCTCAAGAAACGTGCTCCCGAATTAACACCTGTTCTCTGCAAGTTGTTCAACTACTCTTACAAATTGGGGATATTCCCGTCCAACTGGAAAATTGCAAGAGTACAACCAGTTCCTAAAAAAGGCAAAAAGACCCTACCTAGCAACTACAGACCGATCGCACTGCTATCTATTATTTCAAAGATCATGGAGAAAGCTATCAATATCGAGCTCATGAAATACCTGGAACATTCAGGTATTACGATAGGCAACATGGCTTCCGACATCAGAGATCAACTGGTGACCTGCTCGCTTACGTCTCACATATACGGCAGCAATCTATTGAAAAATATGGTGAAACCTTAGCCGTGACACTTGATATCTCCAAGGCATTCGATCGAGTCTGGCACCAAGGACTCCTCGCCAAGCTTCCATCTTATGGCTTGCCTCCCCAGCTATGTTCTCTGCTAGCTATAGTTTTCTCTCAAACAGGTCTCTTCATGTAGTGGTCGACGGAGTTTCATCTGACTCTCTTATCATAAATGCTGTTGTTTCGCAAGGATCAATTCTAGCACCAACACTATTTCTACTCCATATCAACGATTTGTTGGAAGCAACTGCATGTCCAGTACACAGCTTCGCGGATGTTAGTACCCTCCATACCGCCATCTCTTCCAGGGCTCCAATACTAGCCAGACAAATAAGACGAACGAGGGAGAAATATTGACTACATAAATATGGACTTGGCAACAATTCTCGAATGGGGATCCAATAACTTGGTAGAATTCAATGCAAACAAAACACAAGAATATGTCTCTTCTCTAGAAAAGCCGATCTCACTGTGCCCAACATAAGCTTTTCAGGAGTAACCATACCTTTGAAGGCATCCATTTCGATGATTGGTATCACTATCAACAATAACCTTTCTTCGGAAAATCACGTGAGATCAATTGCTAAAAGTGCATCCCAAAAACTTGGTTTTCTGTTTCGGGCTAGGACCTATTTCACTTCCAGTCAGCTGTTTATGATCTATAAGGCACAGATCCGACCAGTCCTGGAATACTGTTCCCATATTTGGAGTGCAGCACCCAAACATACCCTGAAACTGTTGGATTCTGTCCAAAAAAGGGCCTCGCTCACAAACTCACTCACTTCTCTGGAACACCGTAGAAAAGTTGGCACTATTTTATAGATATTTTCATGGACGATGCTCTTCTGAAATATCAACGATTATTGTTCCTCCCTTGGCAGTCCCCGCGAAATTAACCCTCATTTTCCTTGGTTCTCACGATGTTCTCTGAACATTACAGGATTTCCCTTTTCGTGAGAACCAGAACATAAAAAGTATCATTAGTACGTATTCGAGTCATGAAATTCTTTGGTGACCATTAATGACTGAGGCTCATCAGCTTTACTAATAACATCGAAGTTTGTCATTTTACTGTAGAATAAACTTTTCTGGAAGCATGGGGTTTATTTCCAAGCAATGGAAATTAATACTATTTGAAATACGGACGGATCTAAAACACCCGAGTTCAACCTCGACAGAAAATACCGGAACAAGGAAATCGCTATCCTCTCTACTGACAGCCAAACCGCCATCCAAGCGGTGAGCTTACTTCCAACATCAACTCGAAGATTGTTTGGGAATGCCTAGTCACACTGAACAATGAACAGACATTCTGACACGAAATAGGAGTATTCAACGCTGGATCGGACCAGAAACATTCTGCGGTCCCTTAGGAATTCATATTTTCAAGAATAACCCAATAAAGCTGAAGAAGCAATGAGAGCAACGCACTGGCGAAGACTTCTAGGACTGCGGCAGGCCAAAGAACCCATCAGCAATTTCAAACGAGCAAGATCGAAGACACTGATTAACCTCAGCAAAATCAGGCTCAACGCAATAACGAAATTCCTGAAGGGGCATTCTAGACTCAGAAACCATCTAGGAAGCTAGATTTTTAGGGGAAACATTAAGAAACACCTCACCACAGCTTCCTGGAGAGTGTTATACATCACAAAAGATTGGATTATATAGTGGGATGATACCAGCTGACTGTAGGAGAAGTTTGGAGAAGCTGCTATAAATAAATATACCTTGAGATGAAGAAGATGGGGTACAAATAGATTTAATCAGGTTGCAGCGCATTTATCACCATCCTCGCCTACCCATATCAATAACAATACGATGTTGGGCTTTATTGCAACACCTGTTATTATCATCTGATGAAATAAATCTGGACTTTGTTATACATTGGGAAATCATAAATAAGGCCCACAAGCGGGCTTTATTTTCCCCCTATTTCTTTAGTTACGTTGTATAGTCGTGATATACTTTGAATTTTGCAGCGAGAGAAGGGCATTATTTTGAAGTCGGTCTCATTCGGAAGTCTTCCCTATTTTGAAGTGGGACTTATTTAAATGTTATTTCCTTTGATTCACGATTTATTTTCAGAAAAAAAAACATCTAATGTTCTCTCGACCTCGTATAGAACCATCGACTATGAAACACTACCTACACGATACGGTACGAAGAATTGCGTGGGAAGAAAACCAAGAAATTGAATATTATATACCTGCAGAACACTGATTTACTTGTTATGAAATTAATATTACATGGGTGAAATCGAAATTGAGAGAGCGATTTTTTTGGACTTTATGTAATGAATATTACAGATTCAAAATTTCAGATGTATCAATAGCATCAACAGCTTCGCCTACATGACGAGAATAACGAAACAGAAAAATTTCACCAGAAACGGGATTTATTTTTATAAAAACTAGAAAAGAGCTCTGTTTATAACCCCAGAATCCAGAAACTGTGTGTTTTGAAAAACAGAGTCGTCGAAAATATGGGCCTCAGATGTGACCTTTTATTTCTAGCCTATATTCATGTACCTATACGAAGTATTGAATTATAGTACACGATACCTATTTATTTCTTATTGTAGAAGTTGTGATTCTTCAAATTTTGTCAAATATGTATTATAGCGTTCAATGCTTTGTAATTTTATTGTATATACCTATACGACTGTTCGTGATTAGTGTTTTGTGGTGGATGCATTGTAGATTTTGTTCATCAGATTCTTCTTTCACCGCTAAATTGAATTTTCTGAGGAGCGGGTGTTACTAATGTGGGCTTTTTTAAATATACAGAGTAACCTATTTATCTATAAGCCCCTACTAAAATATATATGTGCCGAAATACGAGAGGAACACTGATAAAAATATCGAATCTTGATTTCCAAATAGGGTTACAGACAATAATGAATTGATTTTATGTCGATATGTTTCCTCGATCTAAACGTGATCACCTACGCAAAAATATAACTCGAATAATAAATACTTATTCGTTCACGTCATCTTTATCGTTCAAATAGATAGATATAAAAATAATTGTTTTCAAATACCCATACAGGATATCCCAGAATAACGTTCGTATACTTCGGGAGGTAATTTTGCACATAAAGATAAGAAAAAATGTTCCTATCAACCATGTGTCCGAATAATAATACTATACCTAAGCTTAGGGGTGGTTTCTATCAGAGGATTGTTCGACAGAAAGTTGATTTGGTCTCACTCATTTGATCCACACCACAATTTTTAATAATTTGTTTTGGTTTGGGATACCCTATATAGATACTTTGCTGGCCTAAGAGCTCTAGGACACCCTGAATATTTTTGAATTCGCAAAATGTCAACAGAAGAGTTGGGTGCATGTACTGATATATTACTCAGGTACCTACTTCAAATTGTGAAATGTTTTATCCTAGTCATGCCACCGAACATATACAATAGCTAGGGAGCGTAAATATACGTTCACCCTGTAAGTCGTAGTCATTCAACCGTGTTTTCTTCATTTGTTGAGCTATTGTGAATACTTTTTTGAATTAGTGTATTATTTTTATTTCAACGAAGAGAAAGTATACAATTCGAGCAGGCATTTCACTTTCATTCGTTCATAGTCGAGAGAGAGAAGCAGAGACTGCGATGCTGCGTGAGAAGAGAAACTACGCGAGTATGCCCTTATTTGATTGAAATCAAAACAAAATTAGACATGTTCCACTCAAACTGCATAATTAGGTAGACATGGATTGCTATCACAGTGATATTTGGTCAATCGTGAATACTGTAATTTTAACAGTACACCTATAGTTGGTTGAAAATACCCCATCAATACATCAATGATTTTCTTGTCCTGATAACAGGAAGATCATTATTTATGTGCTATTATAGTGGTTATATACAGGGTGATTCAAAAGTAAGCGGCATCCTTTCAGAGGCGTATTCCTTGCATGAAAATAAGGCAAAAAGTTCCTATTGATAAGGATCCGAAAATGCTTCCTAAGGGAGCTACGGCCCTTTGAATAGGACACCTCAAAGACGGTTTTTTCTCTATAACTTTAAAATCCTTCACAACAAATTTTTAAAAATTGGTGTACGGCATAAACATTCGATGGTAAATAGGACTCCGTATTCGAAATAATTTCCAAACGAAATCACAGTAACCTGAATATCCGGAGAAGAAGGGATATTTTTACACTTACCCTCTCCCGCATGTGACGCCCCTGAATGAAATTCTGAAATTTCGAATACGGAGTCCTATTTACCATCGAATGTTTATGCCGTACACCAATTTTTAAAAATTTGTTGTGAAGGATTTTAAAGTTATAGAGAAAAAACCGTCTTTGAGGTGTCCTATTCAAAGGGCCGTAGCTCCCTTAGGAAGCATTTTCGGATCCTTATCAATAGGAACTTTTTGCCTTATTTTCAAGCAAGGAATACGCCTCTGAAAGGATGCCGCTTACTTTTGAATCACCCTGTATATTTCAACGGAACTTCAACAATATAGTTTTCAAAATGAAATTGTTCGACATCACTTATTAGTAAATAAGTATATAGGAATATACTTATACATTGAAGGTAAAGATACAGTTTTTAAACATTCTAGACGCTTTGCTTACAGAGTAGATCTCTGTGATATGCATTCTGTCAAATTTATCATTATACTTTGAGCATATATATACAGGGTGGCATTGAAATAAGTGCAAATATTTCAAACACTGAGAAAGCGCTCGACGTGTACTATCAATAAATGGCACTAATAATAAAAATTTCGGGATCAAAATAGAATTTGAGGTCAGACCCCTTTTTCCACCCAAAGTTCTACACTGTAGCAAATCTGACGTCACCTCTGTTCGAATTTCCATACGGTATAGGCACAATCACGCGGAGTTCAATCATTTGGGATGAATTTTCTCGTTAATTAGAAGAACTAGAAAAAATCTGATATCATGGGAATATTCCTTAGAATGTATTATATTAATGTGCTGATGTATAATCACATTTTTCGTTCTAAAATAGGTACTTTTTGAGTCTCCCCATATATAAAATATTGAATTTCAGGTTCATTCTTTATTCAGTTTTCTCTGTTCCTCTAATTATTTCAGCTCTCATTCCTGTGTAAGTAGCTGAATTCAATTCTTCATCACCATTTATACGCATCCTGATATCCTATGCAATTTATTGTATAAATGCACAACGGCCTAACCTTGACCGATTCATACGATTGCAATGTAGGTAAACTTCCTAATTATAATAAGTATTCGTATATATACAGGTATTATTATTGGTGACAGCATTGCTGATTTGGAACATTAACGATAGAAAACAATCATATATTCTTCAGTTAGTATATGTTCCCTCCAAATGAAAAAGAGGTCTTGGTCCTGCTGCTGTACCAGAAATCATTATTGTGTCCTTATATGGTTGACCTTCAGCATTAACATGTTAACATGACCTCAACTTTTGATTTTCACATCATTTCATCTTCAACATTTCGAAATTATCAAATTTTAATTCGATTCGCTGAATTGTTCTTAGGTTCTGCTGTATATAGCCGTCCTAAAATAATCTTTTATAGTTCAACTATCTCTGTCCAGCTCATAAATTTATGATTTTCAGTAAATTACTGAATAGACGGTGGGGTGTGGGCCATGTGGTCTTTTTGAAGATCAATTTTTTGAAAAAGTTCTATAATGCACCATTATTTGTCAATATACCATTGAAAATTTGATCACAGTACGAAAAACCGACAACATGGTATCAACAAGAATCGAAATTTGTAATTTTTTTGAATGTACACATTGAATGTGATGAAGTAAATCTGAATGATTCAGAGATATTCAGAGTATGACATATTGTTTGTTTTCAAAGCATTATTACTCATTGGTGACATCATTGAATACATAGGTACTTAGGAGTTTAAAATTCTTCAAAATCATAAATTGTTAACGTTGAATTCGTTTTCCAAAAAATAACAAAACTTCATCTATAATAATTATACTCTGTAAATCTAATAAAACAGATTTCTTTGGCTTACCCATCGCAAAGAACATCTCCAATAAGAAATATAAATACAATTGGGAGGATCATCGCAGATGATTTTTCTTCACACTATTATAAAACTAAGATCATGTTTCACTTGGAAAATGCGTTCACTGGTAGGTATTTCCTGCGGCAATGATTCTTTTGAAATAAGTCGGTATCTACACCATTTTTCTCCGTTATAGTGGAATAGTTCGATGTCCTGCTAGAGCAGGAGAGCTCGCTATGGTCAACACTGGACTGAAATCATCACCTGAATCACGTTGCAGCAGTACCCACCTTGTTCTCCTGCTAGTCTTGCCTTATTCAGCAGGCGAGCGGCCTTCTGTGTTATTGTCTCGGATTCCGACAATTCCAATGTGAATAATCAATGTCGAAGGTATTAATCATGAAATTAATGATTATCCAGTAGTTTTTACTACCTGGTCAGTGATGATACAGAATTTACTTTGAAATGAATGGCGCTCAGAAATTTAAATAATGATATACAGGGTGTCCGTTTTTCGAGCTCCACCATGGGGATCTCAGTTATTAGATACGACGTCGGTTAAATTAGGACGAAGTTGCGCATTTTCATGCTGCAAGAAAATTTGATGTGTCATTTTTAGTTTTTGAATTATCGGAAGAAAACGAGAATTTATAATTTTCGTTATTACGTTTTCAAGCGGAAACCAAAAGACCTATATAGACGTTTCCCAGCGAGCACAAAAACATCTCAGAGATGTTAAAAGTACGAGATTTCGAGACATTGAACCTCCGCTGCGATGTTCTGTTCACACATGAATAGAACTATTATAGAACAGCCAATGTCCGCCGCAGGCGGCAATTATCGAGATGTCCTTGATATGTCACAAAACTACCTTCTCCCTAGTTCTTTTTAAAGCCTTTTCATGGACACAACAAAACATTTTCAACGCGTCTTGCGCACATTAAATCGCTGTAAAAAAACCATTTTCGAGGTACTTTTCTGAAGCCTTTTGTCAAGATGAACTTTTGCATTAGGATTCCATTTCCCTTGAATGAAAAAATGCATTGAAAATAGATTGAACATAAAAATATTTTCTTGATATGAAATTACCTTCTTAATCGGTTTCTGAGTAGTGCTTACTACACACAGACATATAATTGGAAATAGGTTTCCCAATTTTTGAAATGTTCTCCACCATGCATAATTTTGCAACTGTGGAGAAGCTGTGTATTGATAAATTCGTACTTTTATATATTGATTACACTGAGGCACCGAACAACACATATTGCATCTGATGGTCATTATTACAAACTAAATAAGTCTTCTAACACAATAAACTTCACCAAATTCCTTTCTGTTCGTTAGCAGCGTGATGTAAGCGTGACACGCTGCAAACGCGAATGCCAATTGCGAACAAGAAGAACAAAATCTAAAACAAATCAGAATTCATCGTATTGTGACGTAAGCATGAGACGTTGTGGTGGGGCGAACAAAGAAAGGGCACAAAAGAACAAAAACAATACTTTCAATATCCTTCTAAGACCTCTTTGGGAAGTGCATATTACACCTCAAAAAAACATCCTAATGCCTACATTTCTAGAATTAACAACACACAACTTCGCTTTTTCTTATGGGCAACATATTGGATTTTTACATTTTTGAAGTATTTTTTTATGATTAGGTACAATGATGATGTATCAAACGATATGATCGAATATTTCCTGTTGATCAAAATTGGGAAAAACATTTTTGCGAATTTCGACAGTTGATTTGAATTTGGATCTGGAACGTTCACATTTTCGTCAAGTTCATCTACTTAAAAACTAAGGTTTTGAATGGAGAACGACATAATAAGCTAGAAGTTTATTCTTCGCAAAACAAAACAAAGTCTAAACACAATTCTTCGCGTTTCCTCAGATTCTGAATTGCTAGCGAGATGTCCCGTCTTCTTATCTAAGTCCTGAAAGTGGTGATTATGGTTCTTTTCAGCTCATAAATATCGATCGGTACAGTTTTGAAAATCAAAGCTTTCGTCCTTCCAAAGCACTCTTCGCAAAAATGTTTTTTGCCAATTTTGATCTACAGGAAAGATTCGATCATATCGTGTGATTGTTATCAGATAAAAAGACTTCAAAAATGCAAAAATCCAATATGGCGCCCATGAGGAGAAACCAAGTTGAGTGTTGTAACTTGGGCATCAAGAAAGTCATGGAAAATACGATGACAGATTCAAATTTCTTGTAAAAAAGTGCCTTGCGAATGTCCTAGTCAGAAACGTCTAGGTCTCTTGGTTTTCGCTTGAAAAAATTATAACGAAAATTACAAATTTCCGTTTCCTTCGAATAATATAAAAAATAAAAATGACACATCGAATTTTCTTGCAGATAAATGTTCAGCATGAAAATGCGCAACTTTGATCGGAATTAATCGACTTCGTATCTCTTATAATAACTGAGATCCCCATGGTGAAGCTCGAGAAACGGGCACCCTGTATACAAAATTCCGAGTGACACAGGCTCATAGTATCCTATCTTTTCTCCTTTGTTTTTCTAGCTATATTTCTGGATATACTCACTAGAGGGCACATTTTCACTTTTTTTTCATCTTAAGGTTTTCCTGGAAATGACATCATTTTCAAATGGAACACCCTATATTTTATTCCATATTTGGGTAAAGATTATTATAAAGAATTCAACGGTACCAGGTTTGATTGGGTTATTTCAAACGATTACGAGGATATTTGCGTTCACACCCATTGATCATAGATCATATGGAGACTTCCAACGCAAATATCTTCGTAATCGTTTGAACTAACCCAATCAAACCCGGTGCCGTTGAATTCGTTTTAAATTATGAAATGAAATATAGGATGTTCCATTCGAAAATCGACAGTTGATGTCATTCCCAGAAAAACCAGAAGGAGAAAAAAAAACCTAAAATGTGAGAAAGTGCCTTCTAGTGAACATATTCGATGTTTCAAATTTTAGAAATATGGCTAGTAAAACGAATGAGAAATGGGGGGTATACCATATGAGTCTGTGTCAGCTGGTATATCACTTATTGCTGAATACCCTCCTGTATATATACATTGTCACAACACACCCCATTGTGCATTTGAACGTTGGAACGGTTTAATTTCTGACTAAATCAGAAGTTTTTATATCTAGCAAAGCTCTTTTGTTCTACTCAATAGCCAATGTTGATTTCTGATAGCTATCATAACTTGGTGAATATGGAGCAGTCGTGGTTTTTCAAATACACTGTTTATATTTTTTTTCGGTCTACCTACTATCCTACCATACTTAATATGATAACAAAAGGAATGATAGGGGTGGAGGATACTTGCTTGAGGGGAACAAAAAAACAAATTTGCTGAGCTCATGCTTTATTACTATGGAATGTGCGAATATCTGTCGAATAGACTATCAGTAGGTACCTCTATCACGAAAAATGTTGACAGTTTACCAATATACCTGTTTTTGATGCGATTTGTATCACAATGAAGATATTTGAAATTGATTTCATTCTGAAACGAGATTTGATATTTCACTGATTCAAAAAAGGATGTTTTTTATATTTGTTTGTTGATTATTTATCAACTACGCCATTAAAGTAGAACACGTTTTTAATTACAGCGATTTCTCACCCACTGTTTGCAATTTTCCGCAGACATAGATGTAAATCTATTAAACTATTTTTTTGAAATGAGCTCAATCCATTGTTCCCAACTCCAGCAGATTTGAGGAAGATTTGACACCCATGAAAAATTCATTCAAATTCAAATTCTTCATTTTCATATATGTCATAATATTGCCATAGAAACCAAATCACATTTGGAAGCAGGGTAATTAATTTTTGGTACAACTCAACCAAGTCGTTTGCAATCTTAGACCACTGACATAAATACTATTTAGACCGCTAGTGGTCATATCTCAGCAACCCAAAAATCTCGCTCGCCTGAAAACGCTTCTGCTCAATGCGCAAGAACTCTCAAACAGCCGTTCATGACAGCGAGTAATGTTTCTTGGTGCTGGGAAACATGAGCAAGAGTGAATAAGATATATGACAGGTCCTAAATGTGCAGGATTCATCTTTACCAGTTCGATCTCCGGAGTGGCTTACCTTCTTACCTACGTACATAGTCTTCGTCGGTATCTTGGATTGTCAAATCTTTGCAATTCCTCAGTGATATAATTAGGATTTCAATATTCCTGCTCATTGGCGAAAAAGAAGCAGTGACATGCGCTCCTCTCACTCTGGGCTGAAAGGTGGATTTTATACAGGGAAAGGTAGCCACGGTCACCTTGTAAGTTAGGGGACTTTTGGAATTATTGTTTGTTCCTATCTACTCCAAACACATTCCTAGTGTCAAAAATTCTGTCCGCTACGTTCTGCTACAACCCGTTCATTGACTGAGCTATATGCAATACTGTACAAATATTGAACAATATTAACTTTTTTGAGGCCAAAATTGTCTAGAATATTATGCGGATATTGGTCCGAAGATATTGTCTCAATTTCGTTATATTAATTTTCAAGACCAAAATAGCTGAGTAATGTTGTTCACAATATCCTTACATTGTTCCAATATGGGTGTGCATTATAAATGCTGTAATTAAGAACGTGCTCATACTTTGACGGATGACATATACACTATCACTCATTCATCTGTAATGAGTTCAACTTTCATGATTCAAAAACCATTTGTTCTGTTAAAATCAACACTGATAAACTACAATATTCCTTTCCATCACTCAATATCCTGATCCTAATATGACTCCACTTCTGCATACAGTTAGGCATCTGGTGGGGCAAAATGCCCTAAAAATCAAGTACAAAAGTTTTACTCCACCCTAACTTCTGACATCTAATACCATACACATAATATATAAAGTTAGTAAATAAATGTGTCCATCATGCAATACCTCATTACGTCATACCGGAGGCTAGAAGAAACCTAAGCGAACGGAAATAATATGGTCATGCAATATAAGTTTCCATTTTGAGAATCTCCTCACATGCTATTACAATAAACAAGCAACATATTCGAATGCCTATCACTCAGTAATACTCATAATTCAAGTCGAAAAGGTTTAGAAGCTGCAAAGCAAAGATTATTTAGCGGTAGAATTTCACTTCAGTTTCAACGCAATCTTTGAGTAGTTCGTCTAACTCCGTTAGATCTTCTCCGATTCGTTCTATAACGGATTCTAATTCCTCCACGCATTCTTCTTCCATATTGCGCAAGAGTTCTTGCACTTCGTTGCCTTTTTTGAGAGCTGCAGAATGTAGGGAATAGAGTGTGTGGGGCTCCTAGAAATGATAACTTATTTTGTTATTTATTCATTTACAACACGGGTAAATTACAGTTGAAAATATATAAAGACATTGAAAAAGAACAACACTGGTACAAAGTTAAAACTACGAAGAAACACCAGTTTTCTACAAACTAACACCAGTTTTCTACAAACTAACACAAAAAAAACAGGCTAAGTAAGCAATGGCACTTTTCATTTGCCATGATGACAAACTGAAGAAGTCAGTTGATTTTGAGTGAATATAAGCCTATCTCAATAATCTTATCATCCCTATGTTTGTACCATAGTTAGTAGGATGTGCTTCCAAGGCAAAAGTGCAATTTCCGCGCCGAGATCCTGGGGGAACATATAATTTCACTTGCTCAGCAGCATAGATCAAACTATTCGAACTTTTGTAAATGTAGAGAGAGTCAATATTTTCTCTACGTTGAATCAAGTGACTCATATCCAGTGAAATCAGCATGTTGAAATAGGAGTATGGCATTCTCATCCTATTAGAGCAGTACATGAAGAATCTATGTTGTACCCTTTCAAGTTTCTTGATGTGAACAAAAGCATAAGGGCACCAAATCATTGAAGCATATAAGATGAGACCTAACCAATGGAAAATAAAATCTTCGAGAGAAAGAAAGGTTGGAGTGAAACATAACTCCAAGATCTTTAATCTATATATCTGTTTCAATTTCAGTATTGTCCAGAACGTACTTATACGTCACTGTTTGAATTGTTCAATGAAAACTGATGATTTCACATTTCTGAGAATTTTATGCTTCCGACAGCCACACGAGAAACTATCTAAACTATTTTGTTGCAGTCAACTGGATTTTAAACAACAGGAACTATTTTTACTTCTACGACAAATATTAAAAATTTTGCATTCATCCATCATGATGTCATCAATGAATATACTGAACCGTAGAGGACCCAAGTGGGAGCCTTGCGGCACAACTGAAGTAGCAATATATTCATCAGAAATTGTTCCATGCACATATTATTGGTATTATTTTGTGTTACTCGACCTTCTGACTTACATTAGGAGTTGGACATTGGGTGTGTTTTGAAACCAGGGAGTTCTTTGTGAAAACAAATGGTTTGAAGACTGACTTAGATGGATCTGGAGTTGCTGTGACCCAATGGACACTTGGTCTGGTTGACGACAGTACTGATACCTACAAACAGTTTTTAAATATGTAGTGAAATGAGTGAATTTTTTGCCACTGTAATGTTTTACATATTTTGCTAAGAAAAACATCAACTTTTATCCGTTTTTAGTAAAGCTTAAAACATTTGATTGATTGATATGTCTAATTCCTGATAGTGATTGAAATTCGGAAACTCAAGGTGGTTATTTTATTTTAACTTGAGGTTAGTTCGGGGGCGGATAATATATTATGTAGAAAGTAAAATTAATTTTTCTGTCGAAATTTCAACATGTTGAAAAGCGGCTAGATATGTTTTGATCCACAAATCTTCATCAATATCAATATGTTGAGAGCATGATATTTGTGCAGTTATCAATGAGGTTATCAATATGTGAAAGATTTCCGTTTTGTGAAAAACCATAGATCTAAATACATGCAAATTCAACATCTAAAAAATATCCCATGAAATCTTTTACTAGTACCTAACTAGCCAACTGACTTTTCCTGAATACTTCTAACATATTTACATGGGTATATGATTAACAATTATTAATTTCCCCAATATGATAAAACATCATGATATATTATACTGGGTGTAACATGATCATGGTACACCACCATTTTGATTAACTTAATTTGCTGATAAGTCAAGAAATTTGACATTTTCCACAGGACCAAATTTTTTTAGTACTACACCTGTTGATATGAGTACATCAGACTGGATCAGAATAGCCATGGCACACTCAGATGGAAGATAAAGAATGAAATTAAAATCATTATTGTAGTTTCATATGTCACTTGTGTGGTATCATTGGATTCAGGAAATGATGCAGAATTCGAAAATGCAATGATATACAGAGTGTTCCATTTGAAAAACAAAAGTTATTACAACTTCTGGTGAAACTGAAAAATAAAACATATTTATGTCAAAACATGAAATTTATCAAGCTGAGGGGTCATTCCAAATTTTAATCAATCATCTCTAGAACTAATGGAGAAAAAGGGGGGGGTGTACAATGATCCTGTTACACCAGGTATAAGTGTGAATAGTGATCATTCTGACCTGGCTGCCTTGGGTTGCATGACCAGAGCAGGACCCTGAAGTCATGCAAATACCAGAGTCAGTGTCTCTCAGAATCTTGAACATGTCAGTTTCTCGAAAGTTGTTGGAGGATGTGTATTTTTCTAGTAGTTCCTTTCCAGACTGATATCTAGTTCCATATGGTTGCTTATTACCAGTGAAGGCTTCAGAAAAGTTGAATTCTCCCTGAAAAACATGCCCAATATTTCAGCATTTAATAACAATGGTCTTTCAAATTCCAGCTGTGGGAACAAAGAAATTGGAGAGTTTGCAATATGACCAAAATAATTTACCTGGCCATCCCAAAACCCTTTGGATATTGCATAATCCTGCAAACCATTGGAATGTCTATCTATTTTGGTTGTAATAGACATGCAGTTGGATATATTTCTATACCCACCTAAAATTCATTAAAATAAGTTCAATAATTTTATTCATCATCATTGAAAAATGCAGATGTGAATGTGATATTATTCAATTTCATCTTCACATTGACATCTCTGGTCCAGTAAATATACAATTAATCATAATTCCAAGTTGGTCACCTCCTATGATGTTAATAATAGTTCTCACAGGTCACAGGAAGGATAAATCATTTTGTCTTTTAGTTAATTTTTCCTTATTTTTGTATGCTTCTGTAATTCTAGTCTTCAAACATGGAGTGTAAAATGCATGAACCAATCTATTTATATTATTTATTCAGGAAGATGTCAGTTATTCAAAGAAGTGCCTATAAAAGAGTACTCACTGCTGACTTGTTCAGCTGCCCAATGTTTTCCAGATGTTTCTAACACCCAGGCAGTTGTTGGATCACAAATTATGAATGAATTATGGTAAACTAAGCTGGAGTCAATATTAGAACATGGTCCACCTTGTCCATACTTTTCTAATAACTGAGTTATTACTTCAAGTGCTTCAGTTGCTGATGAACTCCTTTCAAGACCCAATCTGTTGATAAAATATGAAATACCTGATATACCCACACGTGGAAGCATACATGGTTCATTGCAATATAGGGAATAAGCAGAAACCCTCTGTACAAAACTAATTGGTTTGAGCCTATATTATATGAGCAGCAGTACCTGTTACCTTAGTAAATCCATTCCTAGTAATCTTTTCACTTGAGGATCATGATCACCATCATTATCATTTGTCCATATTGCTTCATTTCCTATGGCCACCCCACATTCGTTTGCTCCCATTTCAGCCCCCCACATCCAGTTGGGTTTACTCAGTATTACAGCTTTTGTAGGACCTGCTCCTTCAATTTCAATATAAGTACACTGTAATGAAGGAAACCATTTCAATTTGAAGATTTTTGAAATATATGGTAATTATACCTTAACAAAGTCCCTAGATTCACTAGGGGGTATATAAACTACTTCTTGGACCTCATTGTCATTTCTGTCCGAGTTTTTGCCAAAAATTATCCCATGTTTCGTTAGTGGGGGGAGGACAACAAAAGTGTCACAGGAGTTGGGCTCCATTGGTTCCATCTGGATAGCATTAAAATAATTTAGTGATTTTGGAGAACTGATCAATTGATACATTGAAAATAAATGTAAATTGCTTAACTTTCGAGTTTCCTATGAACAATCTTGAACTTTCGACTTTCGAAAATTGACACATTTTAATTTTTTAAAATTTTTTATCATTATTTTGATATCAGTGGTAGAATAAAATAATTGATAATAATTGTAAAAATTACCTTGAAATAACGAAGCAAAAGAGAAGAACTAGAAGAAGTATTACTCCTATCCTACTACCAAATGACAAATGTAGTGAAATAAGATTGAAATAAAATCGATTAAATAATAATTTAAATTCGAAATCACAAAAATCGATATTACCTCAATGACGTGAACTGTGCTTTGGCATTGGCACTTACTGTTTACTGTCCTTACTGACATTAGTGACAGTCACAGCCATTTCTACCTCTTATTCTTCTTTATTCATTAGACTTAGCTCGAAATTTTATATTTTCAAACCTTTCAAACGGAAATCTTTCTTGTTTGTATAGTTATTTGCCGCACTGGAACTTAGCCAGCTTTGGGATTTCTAGTTTACTTCGTTGTGTAACTTGACTTGACACCTGACATTGTCCTTAGCGTGCGTATATTATATTTACGAAGGGCAATTATTGTCCCGTTTAAAGTGAACTAATCTTTTTAGTGACTATATTTTGGTCTATAACACAGTTGATGAGTGTGCCATCCTAAAATAAAAATTCTCATCATCTCTCCAATGACATGATGAGGCAAAAACGTATTCGAATATCATGTAGTAGACAAACATTGAGTTCATCGGTTGTCCTGAAAAAATGGACATATTAATGTATTTCGATTCATACGTCACTTATTCATCATATTTCACTTGGGAAGAGAGACATTTTGTGCTATTTTTTTACAGCAGTCTCTTTCAAGTTGAGTGTGTTATTTGTGTCATTGTGTTTTGTCATTGTCATTGCGAGAAGTTGTTCTTGCTCCTTTTTTCAATAATCAACAATTCAACAGTTTTTGATCTTATAGAAATACAATTTTTTCATAGTGGTGCCGATTTTATTCAAATTTGACACCTCTGTAGCCAAACTCACAATATAAATTGTCTAATTTTCGAAAATATGGTCAATTGCCTAACAGATTCTCATCAGTGTCTATGGTGTCAATCAAATCAGAAGCACTCAATGGTATTCGAGAATATATAACTCTCAATAAAATAGACGTGATTGATCGCAATTAAATAATAGAGATCCCGTATCGGAAATTCGGAAGGAGTAAAGCACTAAGGTGTGATAAATTCCCAAATTTTGGTGATGGATATTGTCTGATCGAAATTTATATGAGCTTTCTCATAATCACTTTAATGTTTTCATCCAAGTTCAGTCTGAGCCACAATCCTGGCGAGGTCTACGCCTATGGTTTATAACTGCGCAGTGCGCACGCTTACTGCTATTTGTGTTTTCCCTTCTTTTTCTCTATTTACCATTTCATTTCACTCACGCTTTTCTCTCTCATTTTTAATTTTTCTCATTTCTTATCAAGTGGAACGCCGCCGTCGTCGGTGCTGGTTTGGTTGGTGTGAGTGATCTTGTGCAGAATTTCTTTGAAATACTAGAAAAATGGCTTTATTTCGTAGCATAGCACCCACAAGATTAGTCGATTCACAGGTGAGTGGAATATTCATGTGGCGGCAGTGACATATTTCTGCATCCTAACCTCTAAAATCCCAGAGAAACACTACTGATGAGTCAAGGTTTTCAACTTTCAAGGGCTTCTAAAGTTCTCTGGGTGCATTTTTTCATTTCCCACAAAGTCAGTCAAATATAGGTACTTTTTAGCTGAAGTGAAAGTAGTAATATTTTTGGGAATAATTTGGGGCGAGAAATATTACCTTCAAAGTATAGTTTTCGAAAAGTACGTGTTATGTGAAAGAAACAAAAAAATGTTTATTAAAAATATATCTCGGTGATTTATTGTCCTGAAGGTTTATCTATAGTAGATTATTATATTATTTGACCTACTATACCTGCCAACAACTGTGAACACTACTACTACTGATGTGGTTATATAAGCATCTCACCTATATCAAAGAAAGTACCTAATATCGAGCCTAATATAAATTCTTCTAGTGAATTTGACATTGGTGGACAGGAGGATTTCTGTTCTTGAAGAAATGTTTAAAATGTTTTTTTGACATTAGGTCATATTTTTATCCATTTTTATCCCAACGTCCTTGTGAGAAAATGATTACACAAGAAGGACGCCTTATCATTCAGAAAGTCCACACCGAGGTCCATACATTGAAAATGAGATGAATGCAGAAATAAATGATAAATATTGTGTAGGTATGACCAACCGCCCTTATAAATTTTTAAGTTGCATGGTGACTACTTCAAATGAAATTATTGGTACCTAAACAACCTATCCTACCATCACATGATAAGGTATCGATAGAGGTAGGCATGTACTGATGTTATTATAAAAGAAAAAAATATTTGTGGAAGGTCAGCTTTAAATACCCCAGTAAATTCCCTATCATTTTTATATAATGCTTCACGTCATCAACATGTGATGAATTCGAGAGAGATAGAACGTTAAACTATTATCAATCAACGACTATACTAACCTACTACTACTAGATACTATATCTTACCTATCTTTGGTATACCTATACCAAATTATCCACTTAATTCCATGCCAAACAAATTAAGTGAAATGTACCAAAATTTATTCACAGATTGTCTAGATTACTAATATTACTATACCAGAATACCACGTGGCATTCATGAATGATTCGAGATAATTCTTGATTGGATGAAAATTTAAAATTTACTTAGGAAAGGTAGTCACCCACTTAGACTTTTTTATTGAAAAATTCAGAACCCACCTTTCTCCTTGCTACTTTGCAACCGCAAGTAGGTATGCAGGAACGAATGAGGGTTCATTTTCGTCGAGCTTTTCGTGCAATCCATAATTTGAAAATATCATGTAACAAGAGTTGATTGAACATTGAGCCGACTTTAATTTCAATTATTGGGTTGATAAACTATCGAAGGAATGAAATTGTTTGCTCAATATCATCACTGTTATTTAGGTTTTTTGTCAAATTAATATCATTTGCCGTTTTTGCCTTGGTTTTTGCCTGATATATTCTAATAATGAAAAGAACATTCAATCATCATGCAAGTTGATGTAAACTTTTTATGAGCTAATAACTGAATTCGTCATTTGAAACTGATCATACTAAACCAAAACTCTCTTGTATGATATCTTATAGTTTTCGAGATATTCGCAATTTTTAGATTTTGTTTTCCCGCCGGCTGTATCTCGGAAACTATTTGCCGCACAGATTTCGGAAAAAAATATTTATGATGAAAGTGGCCAAGAAAAATCTCTGGAAATTATTTTCAAGTTTCCAGGACAGCCGCTAGAGGGCATAATTGCATTGGCCAATTTTAAAAACGGGTTTTTATGAAAATTTGATATATTAAGACATATCAAAAACACTATTTTCATGTTCTCGAGTTGATTTCCAATCATTTCAATCAGAAAAAATTGCGCTAGCTCTTTAAATAAAAGAGTGAGGGAAGGATGAATAGTACTTTGGAAAAACTCTTATTACTACAGTTTGGTGTAACGGAATTCAACGATCTTGGTCTCATTATGAAGGGTTTTTTCAGATCTTCCAGATAAATCACGAATCAAGTCGATTCGAATCCCGTGGTGGCCGCTAGATGGCATCGTTTGAAAAATCAGCCGATTTGTAATTTTTTTCCGAGAATTTCAAATGGAACCATATATTTTTTCTGCCATAATATGAAAGTGAAGTAAACGAGAAGAAAAATAGTGAAAAACGCGAGTTGATAACTCTTGAAGAACCGGAGAAATACTTGGAATAATATTATTATAATTTAAACTGCTATATAGCATGTCAAATTCCTCCTCATTCGATATCGGCATTTTGACAAAAAAGCAATCCTCAATGAACAGTGGAAACTTCCAATAGAATTTCAATTATATTTTGACGTTTCTTTCATTCAAAGCCAACATGCCTTCTCTCATTCCTGAGCCTACTCACTACTTACATTTCAATTAACTCGCAATTAACTATTGTGAGATATAACAGCATTTTGGGAAACCAAAATAAATGAATTATTGAAATGATAATTTCATTGATACAGGATATTTCTGATGACGATTATTGAAGTTAGATTCCTGTAGTGAATATTTTCATAATATTATTTCGAGTATTTCAGCGATTCCTCAAGAGGTAACAATTCGCGGTTTTCACCATTCTTCTTCTCGTTTGCTCTACTTTCATATTAGGGTAGAATAAATATATTGTTCCATTTGAAATTCTCGAAAAAAATGGAAAATTTTCTGATTTTTCAAACGACGCCATCTAGCGACCACCTGATTAACTGGTCGTTAACTTCACAAATTGGTGTAAACATATTAAGTTGGTGAAGAAAATGAAGAAAATACGAGAAAATACTTATCACAGTATAAAATACAAAAGTTGAAAAAACAAAGGAATCACATCTCTCACGTGTTTTCGAAAAAATCCGAAGATGGCGGTTATCTCATAAACCCCAACACATCATGTGGTATGTCATTGCCTGACATTCAATCGTTATTCTTCTCTTAAAATATAGCATCAAATCGTTCATGTCAATACGTTGTTTTAATAATAACGGATTTCATCGAGGATTTCAAATGACAGAAAAATCATCGGCGAACGAAATGGCTACTCAGTTGCTCCTCTACAATCTAGGCATTTGTTTGAAAATTTTTCGCACCTGTAGCCATTATCTCATATGTAATACGAAATGAGTGGGTGCTCCATTCTGTTTGAAATATTCCGATAAAATCGGATTGAACCTTGACTTGATAATTACTTTTGATGATAATATCCTTGATAAGGATCTCGATGATGACGATGATGATGTGATTTCAATTCTATATCATTATACCGACATTTTTCATCAAACTTGATGAATCGTAGCGTACTGAATAACTGGATGCCAGCTCGCTTACCGGACTTGGCACCCAATGACTTTTTTCCGTTGGAGTTATAGGAATTGTTATTTATAAAACTCAAGCTACTGACCCTAATGATTCGAGAGAAGATTGATGATTGAATGGCAGGTAACTAACTTTTGGTGAATAATGCAAATATACCCCAACAATGCCTGCCTCCTCTTCCTGTCCTCCTTATTTATTTAATATTTACATATCGCTCCTGTAAAGCAAAAAAGGTTAACCGCCAAATAGAAAATTGTGCAGGTGAGCAAAAAAGCTGAATTTCCACTCTTTCTGTATATTATTTTTATATGAGTTTTTGTGTGAATAATTATGCAATTTTCGGTTTAAAATAAATGTTTATTTTGGAAACTTGGCGCTTGACCCCTTGTTGATCTTTGGTTAATTTTGGAATTCATATTTTCTGAAATCTTTACTCTTTAATTGTTTCTCAAAATTGCTGAATTTATTGTGTTGAATTCTCGGTTGAATTGAATTTACGTATACAACAAAAATAATTTCTATGAAAATTTCACACCAAACATTTTCGATCAATTTAAAGCCTGTATTTCGTATCGTTACCATAGCAACTAAACAAATTTCTTGGAAATTTTTCCCTCCTTGGGGGAGCATGAAATTACACTGGAAATTTTTACGTTTATAGGTTAAATGACATTTACATTCAACTTCAGATTATTTCGAGTTCATTCTATAAGTCTATAAATGAGAATCATTTATCAACAGTTAACCATATAATTTTATGTATAGGTATACTTGCAATATAATATATCAGTGTGAAATTTTCTTATCGAATACCACTTTAGCTTCAATTAATATCCAGGAATTTTTTCTCGAACACGAATATTTAGAAAATTTTCGAAATATTCGTGTTCTCGAAAAAAATTCCGGAAATAATTGAAGCAAGTGGAAATTATCACAAACTAAAGCTCAACATAACAAACATTTTTCTAGGAAATTCTTGAAAACAGTAAAGCAGGCTCCAATCATCACCCGACTCGTCAGTACCACATATTATATCGTCCTCTGTCTCATTCCTATCCCTATCCTCCCTAGGAACGCACGATGTTCTTTGAACATTATAGGGATTCCCTTTCGTGCGCTCCAAGCGATAAAAAAAAGGTGAATCTCGAGAGGTAAATCACGTGGGAAGTCCAGTGTACCCGAGTAGGCAATTCCTCGGGAAGTCCGGATATTCTTTGGGAATTCCTCGGGAAGTTCGGGAATTCATTGGGTAGTCCGGGTATTGTTTGAGAAGTCCGGGAATTTTTTGGGAATTCCGTGAATTCTCTGGGCAGTCCAGGTAGTCTTTGGGAAGTCCGGGAATTCTTTGGGATGCCCGGGAATTCCTTGGGTAGTCCGGGAAGTCCATGTAGTCTTTGGGAATTTCGTGTATTCTTTAGGAAGTCTTTCTTTGGGTAGTCTCAGGAATTCCTTGGGTAGTCCCAGGAATTCCGGGAATTCTTTCGACAAAGGGAGTCTAGTGTACCCGAAAGTGGCTACCCCTCGAAGTCCTTAAACTTTTTCAAACTAATTGGAATCTTTCCTGAGTAGGCCTTTGGAATAACGAGATATACTTACATATCCAAGCCACATTTTGATGTTGAAAAAAACATAGCAAAAAGTGTGGCGCTTAGCACCTCAGTGCACTAAATTTTTTAGGACAACAAGGGGGTCAACCACCGTCGCCAGGCACCTTTTTGCTCTCATTTCTGTTTGATTCTTGGCGCTTGTACCCACGGGTATACTTGCAGTAGCTTGTCTGGTACTTGCCCATTTATACAGGAGCTTTTGGAATTGCGTTTGGATCGGAGATCTCAAATTTTCTTATTATGGCGCTTTGCTCCTTTTTGCACTACAGGGACGATATCCACAATTAAAAAAAAAATGATTAACAATTTGAAATGATTAACAATTCGAACTTGAATATCTCGAGAACACTGTTAGTGTCAGAATTGACTAACCTTTACAATCATGTATTACACAACCCTTATTTCCTATTGTAATTCTCCAGAGGGTTGCTCTGGAGAGTAGGGGGTTGTAGTATAATGCCTTCTACACCCTCCTATCAAAAATCGATTTGGCGATTATTTGTAAAATAATATTTTGGTGAAGTATATCAATTGCAGAATATTTTTGAATAAACTGTACCAATTCATGACATATTCATACACATCACAATTTTCTAATTGTCTTTTCATAATCTACACGAGTATCTACCTAATTGTTTCAAGGATGGTACCTGCTGAAAAACGCTAAATTTATGCTTCAAAAGTTGAAATTTAGATTCATTGCCTAACTAATATAGGTACTTACTCAAATAACGATGTCAAATATGATATTTGTCATGTATTTCTACCCACAATCTTAATTGCTTATCATGTGAATATGTAATTATCACAATTTAACGTGCTGCCGCAGTTCCTATGTTTTATTTATGTATGTAAGCATACAAAAATATTATTTGTTTCTACTACAGTGCGAAAAACTCCACTTTTCCGCAATAATTTTAGTGTTGAAAGAGACACTTTGGGGAGTATACTGACATATATATTTGTATGTAAGCTCACCAAGTCTCCAAAAGGACCTATCGAATAATAGGTATTTATGTATCAAGGGCGTAAAATAGGCATTTATGGACTGTAGCATGTAACACGCCTAGGTCCATAGATGCAAGTTACGCCTGAAATACATACAACACTTTATGCACGACCGGTATATTTGATTTTTTATTGTGAATACCTCTTCACCCATCATAGCTGCATGGAAGATCATAGATAGAATCGACGTTACCATGGTAACTCAGTCAATTTTATGAAGTAGAAGTAGATGCTGTCAATTAATGTCATCACAGATAAATTATTTCTATCTATCATATTATTTTGCATCTAGGAAACATCAAGAGAACTGTAATATTAGATAAGGAACAAGGAACCATCATTACTAGAACATAAATGTGCTGAATTATACAGGAAGGCCCTCGGGAATGCCTTTTACGAGTGAACTATACGCCGGGAGGTAAAGTAGTCCTCGGGCAGTAAAGTACCACTTTACGCCCGCTGGCCCTTCCACTAGTCAGCGGCTGTCACTAGTGAAGTCTTCCAAAATGACCTCTTCAAGTCAAGTCACGGTTGCAACAATTAGTGCTGACAAAGATCTTGGAACGCTCAAGGAAACTTTGTTTTCAAACTTTAGATTCAGATTCAACATCTCCAAAAACATATAACCGCAGAGAAACCGACTACTTTATCAAACTCCTTCATCCATAGAACGGCTAGGCTCTGGAATTCATTGCCTGTGGAAGTATTCCCAACAACATATAATCTCCAAAAATTCCCAAAAAATACCAATACCTACCTCCTATCCCTATCCTCCCTAGGAACGCACGATGTTCTTTGAACATTATAGGGATTCCCTTTCATGCGCTCCAATCGATTAAAAAAAAAATGCTAATATGGTTGTTTCCATCAGTAGCGCAATAATCGAATTGGTAATAATTGTTAATAAAAACGTTGATAATTGATGTTAACCGAATGTTAACATACATCATAATATACAGTATGATGCAAATGTATGGAATAAATTCATTATTTCAGAAATGGGCGACATTTGGAAAAATTCCAAAAACACGTGAGGTTTCATTTTTGAAGCCTCATCTCATGATATTCATATGAGAGATGTTACGTCACCGGTGTTGGAGTAATGACGTAGTGAACGATTTTTTCAAATGAAAACAGGGGTCATGTGACACCTCGTTTGAAAGGTCTACTGATCGTCTATTCAACAGTCAACATTTTGCATAAGAAAATTGAAATTAAAATTGATTATCATTTGATTAACTGAATCTTGCAGAGGTCTGCTACTGAGAATTGAACAACGAAGGGTTTTCTATTTAAAAAAATACATCAATTAATAAAGTTCTGAAGTCTAGTTTTCGGATTTTTTTCGGAAGTCGTCTTGTTTTGAAATGAATTTATTCCATACATTTGCATCATACTGTACATGTTTCCCAGTTCTTATAAACCTTCTTGAATTTTCAACTAGGGAAAAAGCCAAATACTCAAAGTGGAATGCATTGGTCACGAAGAGAGAAACTCAAAGTCATTACCACAACAAGTTCATAAAATGAACTACAAAATGGTAGATAACGAGAGGAAAACAACTACTTTCCTGGCTATATGCCACGCAGAACATTGCATTACATCCTCCCGAAACCTATGCGATAGTTCGTATAAACGAATAAAATCGCAAGTGTTTCTTTCCTAAACGCTGAGCTGCGCTTAAGTGGTTCAGGAACGCTGACTACCTGCAGACCGGTTTCGAGCTCTTGGCTCTCATCAGTACAGGGCTGTCCCAGATAGCTTCTTGACCGCTATCTGGTGCGAACCTGACCCAACGTAAACACATCTCAGCATTTATACCATACGAGGCGTTCGAAGTCCGCGAAATGAAAACGCGAACGCCGAACGCCACCTGGCAAGGAAAGAAACACTCCAAAACGAAATCCCATTCCAGATGAAATGGGAGTGGCTGGTTGCCCGACTGGCGTATTTTCAACTAGGGAAAAAGCCAAATACTCAAAGTGGAATGCATTGGTCACGAAGAGAGAAACTCAAAGTCATTACCACAACAAGTTCATAAAATGAACTACAAAATGGTAGATAACGAGAGGAAAACAACTACTTTCCTGGCTATATGCCACGCAGAACATTGCATTACATCCTCCCGAAACCTATGCGATAGTTCGTGTAAACGAATAAAATCGCAAGTGTTACTTTCCTAAACGCTGAGCTGCGCTTAAGTGGTTCAGGAACGCTGACTACCTGCAGACCGGTTTCGAGCTCTTGGCTCTCATCAGTACAGGGCTGTCCCAGATAGCTTCTTGACCGCTATCTGGTGCGAACCTGACCCAACGTAAACACATCTCAGCATTTATACCATACGAGGCGTTCGAAGTCCGCGAAATGAAAACGCGAACGCCGAACGCCACCTGGCAAGGAAAGAAACACACCAAAACGAAATCCCATTCCAGATGAAATGGGAGTGGCTGGTTGCCCGACTGGCGTATTTTCAACTAGGGAAAAAGCCAAATACTCAAAGTGGAATGCATTGGTCACGAAGAGAGAAACTCAAAGTCATTACCACAGGTTTCGAGAGGATGTAATGCAATGTTCTGCGTGGCATATAGCCAGGAAAGTAGTTGTTTTCCTCTCGTTATCTACCATTTTGTAGTTCATTTTATGAACTTGTTGTGGTAATGACTTTGAGTTTCTCTCTTCGTGACCAATGCATTCCACTTTGAGTATTTGGCTTTTTCCCTAGTTGAAAATACGCCAGTCGGGCAACCAGCCACTCCCATTTCATCTGGAATGGGATTTCGTTTTGGAGTGTTTCTTTCCTTGCCAGGTGGCGTTCGGCGTCCGTCCGTTTTTTTGCCGGTAGTTCATAATTTGTTTCTGGTTCAAACGGTTTGAAAGGAAGACAAAACGAATATAAAAGATTTGTAATGACTGTCGAAAACTGTCATCAAGAGGAAATGATAGATACGACTTCCTCCTGATGGTGAATTGATAAATTCAACTCAACTAATAATTATCACAAAGAGAGAGAAACTCAAAGTCATTACCACATACTAGTCCATAAAATGAACGACAATGGTAGATAACGAGAGAAAAACAACTACTTTCCTGGCTATATGCCACGCAGAACATTGCATATAGCCAGGAAAGTAGTTGTTTTTCTCTCGTTATCTACCATTGTCGTTCATTTTATGAACTAGTATGTGGTTATGACTTTGAGTCTCTCTCTTTGTGACCATTGCATTCCACTTTGAGTATTTGGCCTTTTTCCCTAGTTGAAAATACGCCAGTCGGGCAACCAGCCACTCCCATTTCACCTGAAATGAGATTTTGTTTTGGAGTGTTTCTTTCCTTGCCAGGTGGCGTTCGACGTTCGCGTTTTAATTTCGCAGACGTCGAACGCCTCGTATGGTATAAATACTGAGATGCGTTTACGTTGGGTCAGGTTCGCACCAGATAGCGGTCAAGAAGCTATCTGGGACAGCCCTGTACTGATGAGAGCCAAGAGCTCGAAACCGGTCTGCAGGTAGTCAGCGTTCCTGAACCACTTAAGCGCAGCTCAGCGTTTAGGAAGGAAACACTTGCGATTTTATTCGTTTATTAGTTTATACGAACTATCGCATAGATTTCGGGAGGATGTAATGCAATGTTCTGCGTGGCATATAGCCAGGAAAGTAGTTGTTTTTCTCTCGTTATCTACCATTGTCGTTCATTTTATGAACTAGTATGTGGTAATGACTTTGAGTTTCTCTCTCTTTGTGACCATTGCATTCCACTTTGAGTATTTGGCCTTTTTCCCTAGTAATTAATTATCAATTAAATTAAGAATCTAGAAGGCTGAGTGGTTGAATAATTCAAATGGACCAATCAGCTTTCATGTTCCATCTTTTAATTTCCGATCTTCGTTTCTTCCAGAAAGTTGCAGTCTTTCTGAGACAACTCAGTGATGCATCCACCGACCTCAAAGCTGTTTTGGCAGCAAAAGTACCCAAGGAACAGGAAAGGGTCAAGAATTTCCGTAAATCGCATGGAAATGAAAAAGTTGGAGAAGTCACAGTTGACATGGTATGTTCAAAGTTTCAATTAATGATCAATGTTTTCATCTGAAAAGGAATATTTTCAGATAAATTATAGACCTCTAATCGCAGATTCGTGATAGAGTCTCAATTCAGAATTTCTTTCCACGCCCTGTCCCTGTATGATGAATGTCAATTTATCATACACCCAAAAGCAATGTTTTCATCATTGATAAATAACAGTTAGCTTGTTTCTGATCGATGGTATAAATATTTTTCTTCCAAAGGATATCCTTAAAGTTAGAAAAATATCAAGTTCGTTTGAATATTGAACCTTCCTTGTAATAAGAATTTCCACTCTCATTATTGGTATTTACAAAAAAATCCACCTTTTATTGGAATATATAGAAATAAATTCCTTCCTTCAGCATAAATTATTTATTTCCTCTATTATGACTATCTTGACTGTTCAAAAACAAGTTATGTTGACCTAGTTGTACCTTTCGAATTTCAATGACCTCTAAAATATAAGTTTTCTTAACGAGTCATTCTATCCATTCAGATACTTAATTGATGAATACCTAATGTATAATGTAAAATAACCATACAGGAACCTTTCTACAAGGCATTCTATTCGTGAAGGAACATGTGAAAACTAATAGATATTTTGATTCCTACATTCTTAGGTTTTTCTCTTCCTTATCCGTGTCCTTATCTCTATAAGTATCTAACTGACACCGGAAAAAATCAAGGGGTGATTCCTAACTTGCTTCTTTTTCGCGATATAGTATGTATTAATATTTCCATGGAAAATCTTCTTTCTATTCATTTCTCATCTGTTTTTTCATCAATTTCAATAGAACGTTGTGGTTTTGTTAATAGTAATATGGCGCTTCTTCTAGTGCAATTAGATTCTGAATAATATTTCCAGTGGCGTCACAATGGGCAAATTTATCGATATTCATGGTGAATGTCATTGTACACCACCGGTTTTTCTGAGTTTCATACGAGGTTTCATATTTTTATTAGATTGAATTATTGAAATAACAACAATTTTTTATCCACTGTGTGATTTTTGTATCTAGCTTAGTTTTTGAGGAAACAATAAAAATTCGATTTGACTCCAAATTTTAATGTAGGTGTTTTCAAGACTTCCATTGAGCTTACTCAATAACCCCAATTAGAATCATTCTGCAATTTTGGGGCTTTCTCAGTCTCCATCCATACTGAATTTTGGCGCCATGAAAGCTTATACAGGGGGGTTATAAATAAAAACAATTAATACTTCCAACTTCAACATCCTGTATCTAAAAAACGGAGCAAGTTAGGACACACGTTTATATGAACTTCATTTGCTAGAATGTCACAAGGAAACACCCCTTGAATTTTTTCGGTGATATTTAGATCAGGGTTGGAATAAGTCATGACTTACATAAAAAAATCATCAAAGTCCGACTTTTTGAATTAAGTCAGACTTTTATGAATTAATTCATTTGAAAAAAAAAACAAATTTCATTTATCCAAGGCGAAGTAGAAAAAAAGAAACAAAAAACTATGTTTTTATTGAAAAGGAATATTCTCAGATAAATTATGGACATACAAAAATGGATATATATGAATATGTTTTCATTCCCTTCAGAAATCTTGAAGAATAACATCATAATATATGTAATTTTTTCAAAACATAATTAAAAGTGATGATAGAATACAAAATAATAGATACATATAGATCCAGTATCATTCATAAAGTTCGTAACACATGGAGAAAAAGTATATTAGTAGAATATCGAAACATCTTTTCTCGGGGATCTATTATGCATGTCTGACTACTTGAAAGTCGATTTTGACAAATGTCACTTGATCCCTGGAGGCAAAATATTGAAACACAACCTCACTCTTCTGTGAATTATTGAAACACAACCTCACTTTTTCATTTGTTTACAGAGGAATCAAAAGGTTGAAATAGATTTTCACAATATTTTGGCATACGAATCGTGTTCCTTGCGTTATTCATTAATTCAAGCATGCCTTCGCATTGTGCTGTTGTACAATGCACAAAAAATGCAGCAAGAGACTAGGGAATATGATTTTTCAGGTAAATAGTGATCTCACATAGTTATCATTATGAAATGTTGTCATTCCTTATTAAAATTCCTTCTGCCTTCTGCCACTCCTGCAATACAAGCTAATACTGCTAATAGATTGAAAATATCTAAAACACACACGATCGTCAGCATGTCAGACCAGTCCTCCCGATTTATTGCATGAATCCAATCTTCTTGCATTATTCTAGAAATTTCAGGTATATTTCTATTAGCTCCTATTGCAGAAGGAATTCCGATGAGAAATCAGAGAAATAACCAAATTTCAAAAATGAAAACTATATGTGAGTGATATAGTAGGTACTTACTTTTAAATCATAATGTACCAACCGGATTCCTTCATCTTCCGCTGCAGTTTTTGTGCATTTTACAACAGCACAATGTGATGGCATGAGCGAATTGATGAATAGCGGAAAAATACGATTCATATGCCAAAATAATTGTGGAAAACTATTTCGATCACTTGTAAACGAATAAGAAAAGTGACGTTATGTTTCAATGTTTTGCCTCCAGCGTCGGTCATCTGACAGTTCTTGCACGCAACCCATTAATTCAAAAAATTACGATGTCAAAAAGTGGGGTTAGATGGGAAGATGAAGTTATTTAAAAAAAAATAAAAATAGCTATTTTTAGTTTTCTCAAATAATGGCTGGAAACTCCATATGTGAACATGAATTTGAATTCTATTCAACTTGTACATCAACATCACTACTGTAAAAAAAAAGAGAACTGTAACCAAATTGAAGAATATTCGAAAAAAAATAGCTATTTCCAATTCTCCTCCAAAAATTGCTCTGAACTGAATGTGGAATAGCAACTTAATAAGAAATGTATATGGATATTTTGTTATCTAACCCCACTTTTCGTCGCTTAATAGTATTATTTTTATTTATCACCATACCAGTGATCACGTGACATGTGTCAAAATCGATTTTCAAGTTATCGGATATGCATAATGGATCGCCGAGAGAAAAAAATCGATGCTGTGATAATAAACCTGTTCTCATATGTTATGTACTTTACAGGGTTGGGCTGATTTAAATCAATTGATTTAAATCAAGATAAAAATCATGATTTAAATCAAGTGATTTTTTTTTTAAATCACAATTTAAATCAAAATAATAATTTCGAGAACATTCATTATTTATTTGAATAATGAAAAATATTAAACTGAAATAAAATAGTAAAACCCCTAAAAAAACTGGATATTGAAACATATACATATACAGGCTACAGGAATTTTCTTGTACAGACATGTCGGTCGACCCACATCGTCCTACTGAGAATGGCTTTCTTTGTGAATTATATTTTGTTTTAATTTTATAATACTCAAATTCATGAAATACACAAAATTAAAATAGTTTTGAGTTAAAAAATGGACATGAATGTTGACAGGTATATTTATCGCGCATTATATAAGACCAAAATAAAAAAAAATCAAGATTTGCCCAACCCTGGTACTTTATGGATGATACTTGATACTGTATATATCTGTTAGTAAAAATCTCTGTCATGCTTGAAATAACAAAGTCTTGCCAAAATACGATCGAATTTTTCAGTTCAAACTAGTTAAAATCAAAGGTAATACTGCAATTTGTCTCATTTTTAAAAATTTGAATGAATTCATGACTTTTTCGAAAAGAGTCAATGGAATTAATTCACGAATTGAATCACTGATTTAATTCATATGAATTAATTCATGCCAACCCTGATTTAGATACACCCTGTATACCTGTTGTAAAGATCAAGACAAATCAGATGAATTGCACCAAAATGACACTGTGCTCAAAATTGGGAACCTGTGACAGAAAAATTAATAGATAGTCAGTGGTACCTTTTTGAAAAATGTTTGAAGAAGAAAATTGGGTGTATCGTGTATTGAAAAATTTAACTCATCTTTGTGCGTTTCGGGGAACAAATCTGCTCCCGTTTTCAACATAGAAAATGGAAAATTATTCTTGATAAAGACGTTTTCATGTTTGAGTTTTGACATTTCTCAATGACAGAAGTTGTCAGAAAACTATGTGAGTTACAAGTTGTTTTCTAAATGATAATTTACCATTTTCATACTCAAATTTTAGAATTGAATACCATGTTCTAACTAGTGATATTCTTTCAATCTGAACTGAAATAGTTAACATACGTTCTTTGGGAAGACCTTAATTCTGTGGACTGCATGTTATCTGATTCATTACAGTTAGTTCAAAATAAAAGAATATCACTTATATCAACTGAACAAGAAGCAATGTTGGTTTATTTTGATCTTTGTCCGATGTTTGATATCACTTATTCATGTTTTCTAATTGCCTATCGTCATATTTCCAATTCTCCTGGAATAAACCTGTCCTATTTAATTTATTGAACTGGGTGGATTCCTTGTGTAATTGATAATTTCAGATTATTACGCATAGGTTTGTTTACAACTGAGAATAAACAATTCTGGGAATCAACAAATTTTCACAATAAACAGGGTGGTCGTAGCGACAATCAACAAAATATCTTGTTCCAAAACTAAAAGTTCAGAATGTGTTCTCCTAACTAGTAAATTGAGTTTGATATATGAACAGTAGCACAACAAGACATACCCCAGGCACAAGGACGTCGATATTGGGGGGGGGGGATAATGGGGGAAATTACCTCCTCCGAAGAATAATAATTTGTAAGATAGTTAATAGATATGTTCATCGGGTTCCGAATTCAGAATTGTTCAAAAATTGTTCTTGAACTGCGCAGGACTAGTGCGCACTCGTTTCGAATCCTAGGACTGTTTCAGAACGGTTCACACATTATGAAAACCCGAACGCGACAGAAGAGAACCTCTGAGAACATCAATCGTTTCGATATGAATAGTGATAAAACATATATTGGCCAAACCAGGCGTCCCATAAAAACAAGGTTCAAAGAACACTCGGCATGTTTGAAATATGTTAGGTTAGATAAATCGTGT